AAGATGGAGGCTGGAGTCAGCACGTGCTGGCTTGGCGCAAGGGCGGGAAGTAACACGTTAGTTGGAGTTGGTACGTGCTGGTGGTCGCAAGGGTGGGGCATTTCCCGCGAAATATACTCCAGCGCGGAATGGTTTCCATGACCGCGCTCCGTTTCCACCGTTTACACAAGAACGAAAACGTTTTCAAAACGTTTCAAAACACTTTGAAGTACGTTTCCATTTCGTTCCGTTTAGGTATCGTTTTCGGGCGTTGTCGTGTTAACGATAGTAGTAAACGCAACGATTTCGTTCCGTTTAGGTCGTATTTCGTTGTCGTGTAAACACAAATCGTTTTCAATCGTTGTCGTGTAAACGCAGCCTCAATGACTACCTTCCAAACAATCCCAAGGTACACGTCGACTTCGAAATAAGTTAGACAAGTACTACGGAGGATTAGCAAGACGAAATTCGCGTTCGCGTTCGCTCTCCAAGGAAAGTCGAACTCAGTGACGGAATTCGCGTTATGAGAAGGATTAGCAAACAGAATTCGCACATGCATGACGTTCACACGACGTACATTGTGTACAGACAGTACAGCGTGGTAAATTTATGACTGCCCTGACACCATGGACACGAATCCGCGATTCGTGTTCCGACTACAAATGCGAAAGTTCGCAATCCAGTTCGCGAACTGAAAAATGTTTGCGAACGCGAATTTCGTCTTGCTAATCCTCCGTACTATCTCTAGTATATACTAGTAGACAAAACTAACACACTTTGTGCGAGCATAACATACCTAGCGGCTGATTTTTACGACGCGCTTTTCGCAATAATTGTGAGCGAAACAGGCTCACAACATTCGTCACTTCGCCATCACCCTTTCAACAGTCCAAGGCTCGTCTCTTCCAAACACACGGACATCGACAGCAAAATTTAAAGCGTTGTTCTCCCCTGGCCCTGGCAATCGAAGTCCAGATTTATGCTGGTTGATTGATTTCGAATTGAATGAAACGCCGCCCTGTCGTATCAGCTGTTCAACCGGACCAGCAGATCTACCGCAGTACCCGTATACAAAATAAATTGGCACCTGACACTTGGTAAAGTTACTAAACTGTGTACTTACTTGCTTTGTACAAAGCCAAAGGCGCCTGTGTTCCCTCGCTTTCAGCCTTTAGTTTAAATTAGAGTGTAGCCTCGGCTAGTTCAGGACAGGATGAAGAGCAAGGCAGTGCCCGCACTGCAGGTACTGCAACTACTGACTGTTTCCAACAACTGCGCGCTAGTCTGACACTAGTCATGTACAGCGCTGCCCGGGCCATGGCCCCCATGCCTGGGCCATGGCCCAGTCCATCCAATGATTATGTTCGCACTACAAAATCAAGTAGTAGTAGTAAGTACTGACTTGTGGTACTAATACTAGTAATAGTATTACTATTACTATTAGTAGTAGATCTATAGATCTACGACACAAGTCATTACGTAGTACAGACGGCCCAGTGCCAGTGGAGTGGGGTGGATGTCAAGGGCAAGGTGCCAGAGCAGTGTCGCGTGGCATTAGTCCAGCCTGATCGCCTTCTTCGACCACGAAGTCAGCAGATTCACACGCAAAGCGCCTCGATCGCTACATTTTAAATGTAGCGATCGAGGTCATTTATGTCGATCGCTACGGGCCAGGGCATGTCTTGTACTAAGTAAGTATTAGTTGTAGCGTGATCTCGACCGCCTTCAAGTCCACCTCATTCTGCTACACTCGTATTTGGGTTTGACAAGAATATGACTAGGCGGCACCACCTGCCGTCTTGAATGGGCAATTTCGAGCATGTCACTCATGCATCATGAGAAGAAAAAAAGAAGTGTTTCAGATGGTGTTCTTTCCGCAATGAGCCAAAACAATGTATTCCCAGTTCCTAGGTTAGTAGTTGTTCCGGTAGATCTACCGAATTCAGCGTATTGGCCCTTGAAATCATCCTCACGAACGCTAGTGCACGGTCTACGTCGTTTGTCCGTAAAACGAGTCCTGATCACCAGGACTAGTCACGCCTGGAGATGGTGTCCCCGTCGTAGCTTTTCTTGTGTTCTTGTGGCCGTCCGTCTCGACTGCGGCCGAGAGAGAAGCAGCGAGAAGCATGCCCGTCCGTCGCCGACAGCTCGGCGAGTCGATGAAAAAGGATGAGGCTCAGGCACCAGCCTGGGACGTTGGTAGGCCCGTTTCCATGCCAAGCTTGCTAGGAGGAACGACCCGAGATCACCGTCAGCAGCAGCAACAACAGCCAGGTTTCTTGCTCTCGAACTTGAAGAAAACTCGACTCTTCGGATCTTCGGCAGCCTTCAGGCATTCGACAAACCTCGACCAGCGAGCCGGGCAGTCCAAAGGCCTAGACAGCGGTCTATCCACGTTGGTTTCCAACGGGCGAGCTGGGCCCCCAGTGCATCATCAGTCTAACCAGAAAGAGCACCTGTATAAGGAGCTGTGCGCAGCAGTCACCGGTTACAACAAGCGCCATGGCTCTCAACGGTTTCTCATCTCACAACCCTCCAAAGTATGTTATATTTATACCCTTGGATTAGTACAAGTCAAAAAATTAGAATTTTCATGAGGCTCGCGGGCATGGTTTGTCGTCTTGTGGACGATTGGTGGCACGCAAGCTGCTACCCTGTTTACGTGGTTTAGGTAAATAACTCTTGCCAGCGTTGCTACACACACACACACACACACACACACACACACACACACACACACACACACACGCACGCACACACGCACACACACACACACACACACACACACGCACACTCGCACCCCCCCCCCACACACACGCACACTCGCACCCCCCCCCCCCCCCACACACACACACACGCCCCCCCCCCCCACACACACACACTATCCGTCTTCTTCGTGTGGATCGTGAATCATTCGCGTGTGAACAGTTTACAACTATAGTCACAAGCACAAAGCGAAGAGAAGCGCTTCATGGTTATAATTATGTCCTGAATGCGTAGTGACTAGTAAGATAGTACAGCTTGAAGTCAGGTTCTATGCTTCGAACTACTGTATAGGTACAAATTTTCGTTCACGAAATCTTTCGTTATTTCACTCCACCAGCAGGCTTGTTAATACGTACTAATTTTCGTTTTTGGTCGAGGTCTGTCACCCCGAACGTTCAGAAAAAAAACTTTAGTTTGGTGCAAACTTTAGTTATTTCGTGCCCCTAACGAATTTAGCGAAAGTTAATTCCGAACGAAAAATTTGTACTTCTACAGTAGTCACTAGTGAGCTACTTCATACTTGCACTTTTTTATTTATTTTATTTTTTACAAAAAAACACACACCATTTGACGGCACAAAGCAGCAAGGCAGCGATGAGACATATGGAATGGCAGGAGTGGGGGAGAGGCAGGGGCAGCTTGACCGACCATAGGGTCTCGCCTTCATTGCAACCCAAGCACTCCACAAAAACAAAAAAATTACAGAAAATACGCAGGGGGGGGGGGGGGTAGATAACTGGGGATTACGGGGGAAAGTATACTGTACTTGCAAGTACAAGGAAGATGGCACGACTGCATCTAATTGAAAATCCCCATCACCAGATCAAGGTGTGGGTTCTCTTCACTCAGCAGCGATAAGTCGAGCGAGCTGTACTCCTGGTGCTGAGAGCCGGGCTCACACCCCAGTGTTGCAACTTCCCCATTTCTAACCCCCAACACGAAGTGAATACTGTAGTCATCATACTGATCGAAGAAGAAAAAAGACTGCCACTTTCATTTTCTGACAAGGTATCTTGTCTTGGAAGAGTGTCAATGCAGCCCCATTATGAAATCAGTCGCCTCTTCTGACCTCTTCTCGGGGTCTCTTCTGGGGAGAGGCATGGAAAAGACTAGAACTTCTGCAAACAGTGCTAGACTTCTTCCCTTTACCCTTCAGCTGCACTGTTTGATGATGCATGTGGCCACATCAAACCGAAGCCCCAAAAGCACATAGAAATCGCGGCACAAAGGCCATCAGTTTAGCAACAACACAGCAGCAGTGTGCGGGTGGAAACCTCATCTCAGCTCTTTCAAAAATGAGTCAATGTTTTGGATGAGACCACGCAATTTCACACCTTTTTAACCGTGACTAAAGGCTCAAGGGAGAATGACACGTGATTCATGCCGTTTTAAAAGTAAGTTGTGGCGTTCTGGCCACTTACACATTGCAGACACACTTGGCCAACCAGATGCACATGCACTGCTGCTGGCTGCATTATGACACGTTTCTCCTTGCATGGCTGTATTCTTCTGTGAAGGATGACCTCATCTTCTCTGGTGTGATCGCAATTGTCTGGGAAGAGAGCAAAGCTGACGGTAACTTTGTCCACACCAAGTCAATGCTGATCAACAGTATCACAACGGTGCGATCAATCATCAACCAATGCATTGGAAAGTTTCATCTTCCAGGCAGCTCGCTCTCCTATGGCATCTATGAGTCCAACAGCCACACGAAATGTAAGATAGGCTTGCACTGGCATGCGCCACGCGTCGCCACGCGTCCTAGGCTATAGTCCATAATACAGTAAAACCTGTCAAGGCGATCGGTCGGATAAGGCGACCACCTGTCCCAGAAGACCACTGCAGCCAGGACCAAGGGATGCTGTTTCCAGTCAAATGACCCTGGATAAGGAGACCACCTGGTCACAGAGACCACACTTTGAAGGTCCTTTGAGCGGTCGTCTTAGACAGGTTTCACTGTACAGTAGAACCTGTCACGGCGACCACTCGGACAAGGCGACCACCTGTCCTTAAAAACCACTAAAACCGGAATCAAGGGATGCTGTTTCCAGTCAAATGACCCTGGATAAGGAGACCACCTGGTAACAGAGACCACATTTTGAAGATCCCTTGAGCGGTCGTCTTAGACAGGTTTCACTGTACCAATTTCTATGATGTGTGGCTGTCCACTGGAGTGTAGCCTGTGCATGCGGGTGACCTGGTGTGGCACAGAGGCTACTGAAGTGTTAGTTGTGAAGACATGTGCCACGCTGTGTGCAGTTCAGAACATAGCACCCACACTGCCGATGTCACTTTCATTCAGTGACACCGGTGTTGAGCGGCCATTGCTGGCCTGCAAGACAGGTCATGGTCGTTTTAAGAAAGGCCCGTAGCACTACGAAAATTGTAATGTTGTTCGGGACAGGACTGCGGGAAGCAGTTTTCAACTGGTCCGATCATACCGGTCTTTCATACGTTGTGTTTGACATATTGAGAACATATCCTTAGCAGTGAACATATGTTGATGGTCGCAAGTTGGTCCGGTGATAACCTTGCCAACCGGACCGGCTCCGGTGGGCCTGGGGCGTGTGGTACAGTAAAATCTGTCAAGGTGACCACTCGGATAAGGTGAACACTCGGATAAGGCCGCTGCACCTGTCCCTGAAGACCAATGCAACCAGGACCAAGGGACGCTATTTCCAGTCAAATGACCCTGGATAAGGAGACCGCCTGATAACAGACACCACGTTTTCAAGGTCCCTTGAGCGGTCGTCTTAGACAGGTTTCACTGTATACCAGGTCCACGTATACGGGTGCTCGTCCATTGCAGTGTTTCCTAGAGGCGGAGTTCACTACTACGTTAATGACGTGTGCACGCACTACGCTAGTGGGTTGAATGTGTCCACACTCACCGACCCATCTATGGTCAGTGAGTGTGGACATGGACCTGCCTCTTAGCTGAGAGGATTGCTTTTAAAGTTAGTACTGGGTGTGCGTTAATGCTTGTGTGTGTGTGCACATGTGTGTTGATGTGTGTGCACATGTGTGTGTGTGTGTGTGTGTGTGTGTATGTTTGTGTGTGTGTGTGGTGTGTGTGTCTGTGTGTGTCTGTGTGTGGATATGATTTGATTGTAATGTCCATAGCTGAGCGTAAGCTACACGAGGAAGACCGACCTCTGGTGTTAATGGTGTACGGCGACAGCACAAACCAAGGTCTGACGTTCAAGCTGCGCTGTGATCACGATGAAACCGACCAGGAAGTGCGGCTTCGCCATCGCCGTGAGAGGCAGGCCGAGCTGGACAATCAGCGATGCGCCATTCAAGAGAAGCTTCGCGGTGTCATCCCCAAACATGGCGGTGAGTACATGCACCGCTAAATGACATCATGACAAATTGACAATAGCTGGTGACGTCACATCGAAATAGATGACGATACTGTCCTTCTGGAGTGGTCTGAAGCATGTTCATATTTTGATTGCATGCATGATCACATTGATCAGATTTAGTACATGGCATCACCTCTATAAACATGTACGGTGAAATAAATAACAGGCGGCACAAGTGAGAATGATGCAAAGCGTTATTTTCTCAACCCTATGTGCCACAATAGTACGCCTGACCTTGCGGAGGCTTGATGAGAAATTGTACTGGCACTGCTTTCTGCTTGTGCCAGTGATTTGGCCATAGTGATGTACACATATGTTACTGATGTACTTCAAACTGTTACTGATGTTGATGTTGTGCTGTTCTACTTGGCACCCTGTGCAGTTGATGATGGTGGACTGGTGGCGATGGAGTCACTGCTGGATACTTCCCTCGTACACCTCTCCTCGATATCAAAACAAGCCCAATCGGCATTACTAGGTACTTGGGCTACTACCACTATGACGGGCATTGCTCTTGCATGGCATGCAATGTGTAATACCCAAGCGCGATTGCAAAAATAGGTTCACACTAGTGACCTAATGCTAAACTGATCTACTAGTAATCTGCCCCATTTCCAAAAGAAGTTCAACATACATTGTAGCATTGCAAGTTGGCATCCTTTTGAACAGGCCGGTGGTGTATCCTCACCAGTTTTGCTGTTTTCTGTTGTGCCTTGTGTAGGTCTTGTCAGAGTTATTGTGGACAACAGCAGCAGGTCGTCAGTCAACTCTGCTCGCAGGCTTGAGCTGTGGGAGCTCCTTCGGCCATTTGCCACACAGGTAAACCATACCATTTTAAGCTGGTGTTCTGCAAGCAACGCATAGGATCTTTCTTTGCAACCCAGCAGCCTTATAGCGGGTGTATCAGCCTATTGTGCATGCGATCAAGTGATTATTGCTGGTGCTCTTAGTACCTTACAGATGGGCGTCAGTTGCTAGAGGCTCTTGAGCTCAGACACTTCATCGGTCATTTGAGTGCTCGTCGCTCGAGTGTGGTGGAATGTGAACACGTTATTCTGCAATCTTCCAAACTATTGGTGCCATTCAGTAGCTCCACTATAACTTCAAACCTTGCACCATACATTGCGTCTTTTGACGTTATCACATTCTGATGTATCGTACTGTATGTACTGTGGCTCAAGCTGCGCAGACACATTGAATGGATAATTATGATTTTATGATAACCGGATGACATGTTTGCTGTGCTGCGGTGCAGGTGGTGTTCCATGTTCGGCAACTGGTGGCCGACACACACGAGATTGTCAGTCAGAACTGCTCGTCTAACACATGCTCCCTGATGACTACGAACCATCTCAACTTGATGGCGGATATGGCTAAAGAGGTGAGCTATTGAACATGTGGCTTATCACCACGCTTGCATGGCCGTTGGATCTTGAATGGATTTATGTACAGCTGGATTTCAGGGCAAGAATCTTTAGAAACTCAAAATACTAATTCCTCCCCCGGTCTCATGCGGAGAATGACTCTCTAATGTCAAAATATGTTGTGCATGCCTGATCTTACCATACACTTGGGGCCTGTGTTGTGTGCCGTCAGGCCATACCGTGAAAAAAGGTCAAAAGCCCGTGTAAGCGCTCGCCCAGTCTAACGCCCAGGACCAGGTGCCGTTTGACAACGCTCTTGTTCTGGTTTCCGGCCCACCTCTGTGTGAACACCTGTGGGCAAAAGCACAGGCCTAGTACAGAGTGCAATGTATACCGTCGCAGCTCCATGTGCATGTACGATGCGGTAGTACAGTCAACTTCGCTTATAACGACACTCGGCGGGGCATCAGAAAAGTGTCCGTATTCGCGAAGTGTCGTTATACCCGAAGTCTCATTATACGTGTCACAGTTGGATGGGACTTTGCTCTGGGCATGAAAATTATGTCGTTATTCGCGAATTGTCGTTATATCCGCAGTTGTTATTAGCGAAGTTGACTGTATGGTGTACATTGTATAGTGTAAGCTGCGCTTACCAGGTGGGTATGTATTTCTTCCTGGCTAGTATCCCATAGCCCTTAGTGGTTTATTGATAGGTTGATGTGAAAAATAATCCAGTTTCGCCTATCTGAAATAACAGCTAACGCCCAGGCCCAAATCGACTATGTTCTGGACCTTAACTAACTTTTCCGCCCAAAGTTGTATTACAGGCTTTTATGGTACACAGTGGAGTAAGTAGATCAGCCATGATCACCCAACTCTACCACCACCCTGTTTTGTTTGCGTTGCAGGTTGTTCACGCCTGCAAGGCCGTCGGTGGATGTGCTGACGCTTCGACCCAGGCACCGTACGACAAGGCTGTGGCCAGCCTGGGACAACAGGTACGGCTATGCCCCCGCCGCGCGGGCACACTGTAATGATATGTACTTTACAATGCCCAGTCCCCAGTATGGAAGTACAAATGTTAGCCTCACAAATAACGACCTCTGGTATAGCCACAACTCGCAAATTATAATGACAAATCTTCAGACTTAATGCCCACTTGACTACCAAGTACGCACATTCAACCTCATGAATAATAGCAACCTGCAAACAATTTTCTCATGCACGATTGAGGGTCGTTATTCACAAGGTTGATTGTAAATCATATCATTGGCCATTTGACAACCTTGACTTTGACACTATCTGCAAAACGTGAAACTGAGAAATGGAATGATACTTGTAAACAAGTCGCAGTGACGTTGTACTCAAACAGCCGCCACGTGTCGGGTGAATGAATCTCCAGTGCACGGTGGACATTGTGATCCTGCTGTCTATGGCGCACCACTGCCCCTGCACCTCTTCTCCCATGGCTTAGTCTTTAGCACGCAGTCTTAGAACACTGCTGTTTCCGTACGAAATGTTTCCCTGGGTCCCTTGCTCTTGTACCATACTGGCTTGTCCGTCCTTCAGGCAGATATCATGCGCCTGCTGGTGAGGCAGTGTCGGAGTATTGTTGTGGCGTGCTGCACAGCCGCTCAGCTGCTTGCAAACTGCCCACAGTGGCCAACCGGGAAGACATTGCTGGTAGGTGGCTGGAGCTGACTTTTCGAACCTGTAATTAAGGCCATTGCATTTGTGTATGTTTGTGGTGGTGGGGGGGGGGGTATCATTTTAGCATGTCCATAGTATATCACATTGCTTGTATTTCAGAAGTACATGTTCATGGCAGTAGAGATCTTCTTAAAGTGTCACTGCTCACGCATATACGGTCCTTGTTCAGACCTACTACAAACACACAATAGCCTGGATGATCATTGTAGTTGGCTGTTTCCGGGTGTTAGCAGATAGTTTTGTGTTGCTTACCATCTATATCATAGTTGGCAAGCTATAGAAGCTGCATATTGTGTTGTTGGCTGGGCTGCGATGCTATATAATGCTCCGGAGGAAATTTCTTCTCGCACCAGAATTGTATGCGGAATGTTACCAATGTAACCGTTACTTAAAAAGTTCTTATCTATTTTTGCTACCTTGTTTTGTTGGCAGCCTGAGAATCTGTTTGAAACACCACCGGTGGTGTCAAACTCGGTCATGTACGTCGTGGCAGTTGCATACACGCGTCTAATCCAGGCAAGCTTTGAGCAGCGGCTGGACGACCTGGCAGATCGCGTTGCCGACATGGTGCAGCCGTCACAGCTGATCCTCGAAGTCATTCACTCGTCCGAGGAGTAAGCAAATTGTGCATAGCTCTGGCTAGGTTCTTTAATGGAACTACTTTTGACTGTACGTATACATGTACAAACCGGACTGCCATTGCGTATAGCTCATTCTTATCAGTCAAATGGTACCATTACTCTGGTGTAGTTTCCTTCTCCCGTCTTGGCTTCACACAACCATTTCATCCCATCTACGATCTGTCACTTGGCACTGAATTTCTAGATCCATTGGATGAGATTGGTGTATTGATGTTGCCTGAACTGGCCCTTCCTATCACATACAGACATGCAATCAATGCTATCGTGCATTTTGTGTGTTGCCCCCCCCCCCTCTCTCCCTCTCTCTCTCTCTCTCTCTCTCTCTCTCTCTCTCTCTCTCTCTCTCCCTCTCTCTCTCTCTACACGCAGCTATGCATTGCTGCAGACCAGTCCACTATATACGCGGCTCAGCAAGCTAGAGGAGCTGCTGAAAGGTGACATATCGCGGCTGTTCAAAGTCGCCAAGCAGGCTGCAGACCCATCGGCTCAGATTGGTGCTGTGTCAACCATGCTGCTAGCCGCCTGCACTGTGCTCAAGGACTGCTCTCAGCTTCTCATGGCTGCACAGTGCACAAACATCCTCAACAACACCGTTCTCACAGGCTGGCAGCTACTCCGAATGACTTGGTTCTCACGCTGGCTGCAAGGTAACAGCATGAGTTTAGCATGCTTGACACATACACGCTACCCTACCATTTTCTTGACAATAATGACCTTAAAATGGTGTGTGACAGTGTGTGTACATTGCTTGCAATGAGGGTCCAACTCAGAGTTGAATTTCCGCAGGATGCATTATAGTCGAGTAGTGTTAAAAACATGGGGGAAGGGGGGGGGGGGTAAAGTCTAGTCCACAATGCATGTCCTGATGTTTCAAATTTCCCTATGCTCCTTCAGACCAACAGGCCGTCAGCAACAGCGACAGCAGCAGCTGCAACATGCTACCGGTCATCTCGTCTCACCTGCAGACGGTGCAACACGTACCAGGCCCTCGCAGTGTGGCGAGCAGTGGCATTGGCTCATCCACGGCATTGCACTCGGAGAACGAGCACGAGCCAGTCGCAAGCAAACCGCTCCAGACCGCAGAGTCCAGTACACTGCCTTCCAGAAGAGTAAGCTGGTGATTACTGACAGTCTTGCCAAAATACACCCAACAGAATCTTTGTTTGCGGCCCTGGGAATGGAGAGAAAGCAGCATTTGGGGGCAGGAACACCTCCCACCTCTCCGTTCAGTATGTGACATGGGTGTTTAATACGGCAAATCTTTTCTTCCTTTCCGTCTCTGGGAGACTTTTCCCATTTTCCTGTGTTGCTACATGACTGTGCATATGTGCATTTGATTGTGTTTTCTGCTAGACTACACCGATGGCCGATACTAGCGAGGCTGACGAGGCAGATGACGACATTGGACGGGTGCACTCCGCCTGCCAGCTACCACCGCATGACGCATCGGCCGCTTTGCCAGCCACGCTGTCCAACCTGGTTACCGGCCGGGAGGTGAGCCGGAGCATGAACAACGTGGCCGCCAGCGACGGGGGGCTGACTGGGTCGTTGGACAACCTCAGCACACTGTCCAGGGAATGCAGTGCCCTGGACGCGTTCCGCACACCGCAGGCAGCGCGGCATTTCCGACCGGCCAACGCGGCAGCCACCACGGGCCGCCTTAGCTCCCTTCACGGACTCAGCAAGTCTCGCCAGAGCATAATCAGCACGGGAAGCGAACGCTCGTACAACCGCTTTACCAGCCGTGTCAGCCTGGATTGGTCCGATGTCTACAACAGTCGGATTAAGGCAGCGGCAAGCGTCGAAAGCCTTCGGGCGTACCGTGCACCCATCTCCGAGGCCGGTCTATCCTTGTCGCGTAACAACCTACTAACAAGTGACTCTGAAGATGGAGGAAGCCGGCACAGCCTTGCACGACGTCCCGTGCACAGCCGGCCGTCCAGTGCTGGTCGAATGGCCAACAGCAACCCAACGGCAGGCACCATGGTACGTTTACTGCTTGTTTTAGAGTGCACCTGCCAGTGTGCGCCAGTAGTGGAGTAGAGTGTTTATGAGGTTGAGGAAGTTGATAATGAGAAAGTCTGAATAAAAATGACTGCATCACGAAAATTAATGTAAGGCAGAATTTCCAAGACTCAAACCAGGGACCCTCGCTTATAGCCAGCGATGCTCTACCACTAAGCTATGGTGTGCGTAGTCGTCTTAGAGTAGATTGTAGATGGCTTAAAAGATGTTGGCAGATCGAGATCTCTTCCAGTGTCGGCATTGGAGTCGAGCTCCTGCTCAAGAGTTTGAGTCCGTACTACGGCGCCAGTTTGTCCTGTGTGGATGTGGAATAGCACAATTGACTAGGGTTTTGCACGAATGAGACAGCCGGCCCAAGGTGAAGGCTAAGGGGGCTGTGGTCACCATGCTTGCCCATGCTGTGCAACGATCTACATGTCACGGTTATCTGTGTAGTGTGATCTTTGGTCACGCAAGCATGCTGTATGTAATACAGAGAACTGTCGTCTTTCCACTACAGGGGAAACTACAGAAAATGGAGCATAACCTCACTGTTAATAAGGTGAGTTTGTTTGCGATGTTCATGCTAAGCTGAAACAGGAGCCTTGCCCCAGTGCTTGCCGTGTTCACTTTTGTCAATGGGCCCGCACGTGCGATTGTGCGTGCGCGCGCGCGCGTGTGTGTGTGTGTGTGTGTGTGTGTGTGTGTGTGTGTGTGTGTGCGCGTAAAATGCTTTTTCTTTCTTCTTTTTCTCGCTTGTTACGGGTGGATTTCTGATCATGTACTGCCGTTCTGTTGGTGTTATTATGGCCGTTGTGGTCCTGTTCAGGCTGTTGGGAAGGTCTTGGAGAACATCCTCTTTTCGCTGAGACAAAAGGTCGGTTTGGCTCTCAGATGTGTACGTGTATTTGTGCATTTATGCATCCTTACTGGGGATCATGTACGAATTTGCACTATCAGTCCGTGAGTGGACAATTGGCAGTACCAAAGCCGCTACATCTCTATTTTAAAACATGACATTGAGAGAAATGATGCTATGCTATCACCTTCCCTTACTGTCACTTCATAGCAAGTTTAGTGGGTGTCCAACTGTCTGCAGCAAGTAAGTGTTCTACGACCGACGCGGCATTTTTGGAACTTGTGGATTGGCTGTTCAATGTGTCAAGGATCTATTGCAGATATGTGCACACTGTATGTTACTGTGATACGTGCACACTGTATGTTATTGTGATACGTGTACACTGTATGTTACTGTGATACGTGTACACTGTATGTTACTGTGATACGTGTACACTGTATGTTATTGTGATACGTGTACACTGTATGTTACTGTGATACGTGTACACTGTATGTTACTGTGATACGTGTACACTGTATGTTATTGTGATACGTGTACACTGTATGTTATTGTGATACGTGTACACTGTATGTTACTGTGATACGTGTACACTGTATGTTATTGTGATACGTGCACACTGTATGTTATTGTGATACGTGCACACTGTATGTTACTGTGATACGTGTACACTGTATGTTACTGTGATACGTGTACACTGTATGTTACTGTGATGTGTACACTGTATGTTATTGTGATACGTGTACAGGCATCACAACTAGAGGCAGAGCTGAACACAAGGGAGGACCACTCCGAGCTCTCCGAGAGCCACGTGCGAACGGCGGTACGACCTATCATGGAGTCCATTGAGCTACTGATGGATGAAGTAAGTCCGTTTGCTGCTTAGCAAGGAACTTAAAGGGGCTGAAATGATGGCGGTATTCCGCACAGTCATTATGAGTGTGTCTCATGTGTTCCTTTCCTCCTGGATGGAGGTCAAATGGCTTCGTTGTGATTCTGTCCTTGCTTGTCTGTGTATCCTTCTGGTTATCCTGCAGGCCAGCTCAATTGAAATGGGACAGTCGTCGGAGCTGACGAATCACTTTTCCCAGCTACAGACCTTAGCACAGGTTACCAGTCGACAGCTCAACAATGCAGTCCGGGGTCGAGTTGTTAACGGTAGGCGTCTTTGAGTCGAGCCGTTTCTAGCCGGCGCATCTGCGAATGTGTTTGCTAGACAGAATGCATGTAGCCACCCAATGCACTTTTCATGTACATGTATGCTGATAAGGTAGAATTACATAATTATACTTGTAATCCCATTATCCCTATAACTGTTATAGCTGTAGCATGCACTGTTCATTGTACATTGTGTTGCTAGAACTCTCTGATCGTGAATGCTGCGCTTGCCCAGTCAATATAAATGTGTGAAGCGTGTTGGCTCTGTATGCTGTGTTTCCCCTTTAGGTCAAGAGCCGTGGCTGGCAAAGGTCCTTAGTCTCCTGTCGCAGACACGGACAGCATGCTTTGAAATGGTATGTAGAGAAACAAAAGATTGACACTGACGGAAGTCGGTGAAGTTTTGGTGGAAGAACTATTCTAGAATTCCTAGTCTCCCTGTTTCTTATTCTAGAGCAATTGTGTTTCTTCCTCTGCTTTCTGACGTGGCAGGTATCGGCGGCTCTGAAAATTATCTCTGCTGGGAAGGAGGCCATAGAGGATTTTCGAAAACAGGTATCGAGTTGTTTTTCCACTGCACTGTGTGCCGGTCACTGATGATATTGCACCCACTGTTGTACTCTTGTTTTCTTTCCCTTCTTTTTGTAGGTGTATGCGCTGTGATACAAAAACATTGTTACAATTAGTGAAATGTGAAGATTATGAGGGGGGGGGGGGCAGAACAAGGCCGGTGAGATCATCTCACCGGCCTTGCTCTGATAAGTTGTCTCAGCGGCATGAGACCTAGCAAAGGAGCCACCCTGTAGCCTGATTTGACTCAGTCCTATGCTGCTACTTTTTCTCCTGTTTTGATGTCCAGAAGAACATGCCAGGTCCAAATCAACAAGATGAAGCTGGGTCTAACCTGAAACGGCGCCAATCCAGGCTCTATGTAAGAACCTAGACCAACGAGTATTGTGCCTGCCTTTTTAAACATATCCATCTACACACGCGCACACACACACAGACACACACAGACACACGCACACACACACACACACACACACACGTGCGCATGCACGCACATACATATGTCATGGCCGCACGTTGGCGGGTTTGTGACTTGGCTTAGATCAGTCTAGTGGCTCCCCAGGTAGACGACCAATATCATGAGTCGCCATCCAAGTTAGCTAGCTCACACAGAACGACAGGTTTCTTATTCCACTTGAACAGTGTTTATTCAACCATTGCAAAGCTAGATCGAAGATCAAGCGTGAAGAGTCAAAAGACCCAAAGCAGGAGAGAGTCAGAGGAGTAGTGAGCTCCCCGAGAGTCGAGAGAGTAGTGAGCTCCCCGAGAGTCAAGAGTCGAGAATCGAGGATGAATGTTAGCAAAACAGCTCCTTATTATATGCTACATTATGTGATCAAAAGTATACAGCGGCAAGAATGCGTAAGGATTATTTCTATATTCCAAACAGTGGTGCAATATATGCAATCAGCCAAACTAGAATATAGTACAAAGATCAATACGGGGAGCCCGCTCACCCAAATGTGAACATCAGTGATCTCCAAATGCTGGCATGATCTTGGTCCGCGATCCGGTGGACTGGGATGCATTGCAGCAGGCGGGAAGCGTAGCTGTGTCGCTCTTGTAATTGTGGCTTCACCCAATATGGGCTCTTCCCCCAAACATAGCAGCAGACGGCAATGCCGTGTTCCCTCCAACGGGCCTGGGGTCTAGAGTACGCAAAGTACTATTGACCCTTTGCGTCTTACGACACGAGAAGAGGCGCCACTCTTGCTCAATTAACAAAGGTATCAGCTCCCTTGCAGGACTAAGCGTGGTCCCCTCAAGCTCAACAGTGTAGTGAGTACAAAGCTGACGGCTTGTACTGAAGGTGTTGCCGATGTACGACAACACTTTGTGGCTCTAGGCCACGAGTTGTAAGCCATGATTGCTCAACTAACCAAAGTGCCAAATCCTTCGCAGGACTAATCATGGTTCTTACAGAACTCAGGAATATTTCGGAGTCTAGCTTTGGCTGCTGAACTCAATGCGTGGTCGCTTTCACAACGAGTATGATCCGGGTCATGACACATACACATACATACACACACACACTAATATCAACCCATAGGCGGGAAGAGAGAATGTGACGTATGTCCCATTTTCAACTCCTTTCACAACAGGTTTTGGATATGGTCTGATCTTTTGACGTATGCATTGTGATTCTTGTGTGATTGCTATCCTTGCAGCCGGCAGAAGATCGAGAAGATGATGAGCTACTGTTTGAAGCCGCACAGGTAATCTTCATTTGCCTTCGCTCTCCCTCCCCACAGTTCCCAAGGGAATGCTGATTGATTGCAGGATGAGTTACTGCTCACGGTCGGTGGGACGGCTTCAAAGAATGTGTTTCGAATTCATGTACCACAAAGCTTTTCTCCCGATGAGGCAATTTGCAAGTGGTTCAGATACATGGACTGAGGCCGAATAACTGATGCTGTGTATTTGGTTTGCGGCCTAAACTGTTCCACAACTGTACACTCATGTATATGTGCCTGCAATAGCTGAACATTTTCCACAACTGTACATGTGGCTACAATACTGAGCAAGCTAGTCACAACACATGTGCCTTGAACTGAGTTGTCCCTACTGATAGTATTGCATGCAAACCCAGCTCTAAACTGACTCTATGCTTTGCTTTTCTCCCTGTTTTAATTTTTAATTTTTGTAATTTTGCCCTGGCTAATTAATTTTAAAATAAACTAACAAACTAAGCATATGCACACTGTGTATAACTGGCTGTTTCCCGCAGGCTGCACGATCCATGGGGAAAGACCCTCGCCGAGTACGTGCAGGAAGCATAAGCCGACTGGTCCAGCGACTGACCTACCACAAGGTAGTTGGTAAGTTGCAGAGCATTGCGCATGTGCCTTGCTGGTCGTAGCCTCCAAAGATTATCCCAATCACCTTGGCCTGCTATCTGACAATTGCCCTCAGCACTGATGCTGTTCTATGTCTTGCTCACAAAGCTCGTAACTAGTCTGGTCCTGAGGGACGTGCTGGCTCCTGGCTGCATGGTGAAAATCACAATGCAAAGCGGGGCATATATGTACATCCCACACCATGCCCGATGATCCCTCAGTGGAGCCACTGGACAAGAAGATAAGCCATACCCCCCCCCCCCCCCCCCCCGTAATCATTGTAGTAGTACAGTAGTATTCAGTACTCACTGTGTAATGTGTGGCCTTTGCTGCTGGGTGCTGCTTACATGTACAGACACGGAGTTCGCGCAGGTATTCTACAACACATTCCACCTGTTCATGACACCGGAGCAGTTCTTGGAGGAGCTATTGGCAAGGTAGGAACTATAATAGTATGCGTACACACGGTGGCTGCCCAGCTGTTTGGTGGTATGGAAGCTTGTTTTCTTACCAATGGCTTCTCAACTCTGGGATTCCTGACCATGGCCTACATGAGAATGATGGTGTGCCGTAGTGAATTACAGCCTGATGTATGCTGTGTGCATACATGATCCCTGGACTTCTAGAGCAATCTCAGTAGTCCGCCTTTGTATGCCCTACACTTGGGAAATCAGCACATTTCTGCATGGATATCACACAGGCATATGCCGCTCTTGTTGTTGGTACACCTTTCTCCTCATGCAATACCAAACTCTGTTTCTTTTCTCCTCCGCGAAAGTTATTAGTTTATGTACTGAACTCTCTCTCCCTCCCTCCCCCCCCCCCCCCCCCCTCTCTCTCTCTCTCTCTCTCTCTCTCTCTCTCTCTCTCTCTCTCCCTCCGCCCCCCCCCCCCCCCTCTCTCTCTCCCTCCGCCCCCCCCCCTCTCTCCCTCTCTCCCTCTCTCTTGCAATGTATCACATGGATACTGGTGTAGGTTCAACACTCAAGTGCCGGAGGATGTCACAGAGAAGCAAGACTACATGAGCAATGTGATTATTCCCGTGCAGCTAAGGTACTTGTACAGTGTGTTATCACTGTGTGGAAGTGTCACAGTTTGATCAAAATGAAAATCAAGAACATTATAATAGATTTGGAACGCTCTGTCCCATTCCAAGACTGTTATTAGCCTTGTCGAAATGTCCTTCCGCAAAGGACCCAATCTGTTTACATTTAATTCGATAGAAAGTTGCTGTTAGCTGGCTTATGCAGTGGTAAGTTGTTTGGACCGAAAAGATGAAAAGTACTTCCGGATGGATATATTCTGCTTGTACTTTAGCATGGCAATGGTTGAGTTCATACCTTGGCTTTGAATTCTGTTGCATAAAAGCAATCTCCGTTTTGTCTTCTAGCAGCCGCAGTAACATGGACAGATGACGTGCGGGTCACGACACAGTGCTAGACCCTAGTTTAGAACGTAGCAGACACTGATTGCTATGTGCCTACAGCATTTCGGTTTTCCCGTTGTGATGAACAGCAATGCCATGAAACAGTTTGTAGATCGTCTATCACGGAAAATGTTGCCATGCAGTGTGGGGTTTTTCTTACCTGACCAGCCCCCGAATGCATAAGACCTGTTGTACCGAATGAACTTGCTTTCTTGTGTACAGGGTGTGCTCTGCGCTGAGAGCCTGGCTACGCTATGATGGCGCCAGTCTACTGCGGCAGGAGGACTTCTCGAGAATGCTGACCGACATAGATAGGTAGGTGTACATGTGCATGGTACATGTCACATGATTTTAGTACAGTAAAACCTGTCAAGGCGGCCACTCGGATAAAGCGACCACCAGTCTCGGAAGACCACTGCAACCAACATCAAGGGATGCTATTTCCAGTCGAAAGACTCTGGATAAGGAGACCACCTGGTAACAGAGACCACATTTTTAAAGTCCCGTGAGCGGTTTCACTGTAGGTTGAATGCAGGGCATACACAATGGAAATGCGGACGTTATGCCTGGGAGATTAACAAGTATGTGCGTTAAAAGGTATACAAGTTAGTCTGCAGTATTATCTTAAAGACTGTTGATCCAAAATTCAAGTGAGTAGTCAGAGGCACACATATGATGTAAAAGAACACATGCGAGTGGTGCCAACGTCCAACTACACGGCTTCTTCTCGGATGTCCGAAAACATGGCATGTGTAGTGCACTTTCTTGTCTGTAGCTTTGTTTGTTGGCATCATAGTTTGTTCTGTCCCACTCCAGAATGTTTCCATCGGCTCATCGGCACATGCTTGCCTTGATCAGAAAGTGCAATGCATATTCGTCCGTCAAATCCTCGCTGACCGCTGATTACAGCACCTACTCATCCACACGCATGCAAGTACATCACCTGCGTGGCGGCGGTTTGGGCCTGCTATCCGCTGGTGAGCCGTCGCGCGGCCGTCAGATGGAGGAGAGTGACAGGGACACTGACGTCGACGATTACTTTGCGCATCAGCAAGCCGCTTTGATCGACACGTCGGCAGAGGCATGTGCCCGAGCAAAGCACTGGCTGGAGTTTGAGCCACAGGTAATTCAGTCTCTTGTAACTGGCTGCTCAGTGACCGCATCACATTGTCTATGTTTACTTAGAACTCATATTTGGGATTTAGTAACTGACTTTGGCAGCGGAATTCTTAAGGAGAAAGATGGGTACCACTCATATTATGTCTAGCTCAGTGACACCAGATGTGTCTATTGTCTCCTATGGAGGTTAAGCGATTACATCATCAGCTGAGAGCTTTGGCAATGTGACGGCATGGCGATGCACTAGCTCAAGCGAATCCATGGACATAGGCAGTTCGGATGACTCACCATCTTGACAACATTCGCATACCCGTACCACTACTTTACTTTAGTGTTCTTGCTGGAGTGCCCTGTACATACATGTACCTAATGCTCCCATGGCCACATGCACTCCATGAATGCACTTTTCTGGTTGAAGGCCCCGGTTGGAGAAGGACAGCCTTCACGAAAAGCAATATTGTACATTTATAATATGTGTGTATATATGTGTGTGTGTGTGTGTGTGTGTGTGTGTGTGTGTGTGCGTGCGCGCGTGTGTGTGTCCACGTGCCGTGCCAATGACCTTTGTGAAATTTAGCTCAAGTCCACCAAGCCTCCGGAAGAAATAGCCAGAATCATCACACAGCTGGATTGGCAGCAGTTCGGCAAAGTCATGGTAAGCTCAGCAGTGAGTTACTGTGCACTGTTCAGGGGCGTCGGAAGGTATTTTAGTGTGGTACGGTCAGCCATCTGAAGTACAATTTACTCGTGGGGTAGTGGTTGCTGAGCCGAAAATTTTGGATTTTTCGATCCCAGATCAGTGTATTTTGTTAATTCACAGGGTATCGGGGGCAAAAAGTGGTACGGTCAATACCGTAGTGACCGTACCGTGTGCGACGCCCCTGCTGTTGATAGAGTCTTTACCCTGTATGCTGTTTGGCAGGCTGCTGTTGATTACCCGGCAAGCCGAGTACTGTAGATTTTTATCCGCAATTTTAACAATATTATCTATCGCCCAGTAAGCGGTCCATCCCTGTAAGCAGTCACAATCCTACACTGAATCAGTGACTTATTTTAGTGATGCTAGTAGTTCATTTGTAAGGGGTGGACTGCTCATAGCGTTAGGGTGCAGCATAATCCCGCTCACTGCGCTGCGCATCTCTCAACTCAGATAACCTCAATGAACACTGCTCCTCATGGTGTGTTGGGAGGTCCATAAGTGTATGTTTACATTTCTGTACTTGTTTTTTTTGTTTTTTGTTTGTGTTGATCAGAGGAAGGAGTGGTTTGCAGCTGCAAGGGGAGAGGATGCACCAAACTTTGACAACTTTCTCAACTACAGTGCAGAGGTATGTGTGTGTGTATGTGTGTGTGTGTGTGTGTGTGTGTGTGTGTGTGTGTGTGTGTGTGTGTGCGTATGTGTGTGTGTGTTTGTATGTGTGTGTGTGCGTGCGTGCGCGCGTGTGTATGTATGTGTGTGTGTGTTTGTGTGTGTGTGTGTGTGTGTCCCCAACTAACACCCAACTAACACCCATGGAACTCATTCAAAGTATAAGCACTAGAATAACAGTGCAGCATGGAGTTCATTCTCTTTTAGAAAAGCGACATTTAAAATACGACTACTGACTAAACATGCTTTTTTAAAGACTCTTGGTGCCTACATTTTGCTGAAAATCTGCTTGTTTCTTTCTTCTGAACTGCACAGATTTCCAACTGTATCACGTCAGCTATAGCTGAGACCACTGACACTGCGTATGCATCAGCGTGCCTGCGTTTCTTTGTCAACATCTCACAGGTATCTACTAGCATGTGAACAAGGTCTGCGCTCTGCACGTTGAGCACTTTTACGGCAGTTTGCCAAACCTTCCGACTGTCACCAGTAACAACATGATTGTATCTATGGATTAGTTCTACCTCCACCACATGCGCCTCTTTGGCCAACCTCATTCCTACTAGCAACATGACTGCGCCTCTTTGGCCAACCTCATTCATACTAGCAACATGACTCCACGTTGTTGTAGATACTGGCAAATATATTTCCTCTGTGCAGCTGTTTCGATCATAAAGATCTCAATAGTGAAGGTTAAGAATGCTGAATGGCTAGAATTCCTTTAACTACTGTCGTGGACATGGAAGTCCAGTCGATTGACCCGGGCCGGCGCCCTCAGCGCGTACAGAACGCTGCGTGCAGTGCACATGTTGATCCGATGCTACCACTACTAGGCACTAGTACCAGCACGCTTCAGCGCATTAATGCGTGTGTACCGCTTATCCACGGCTGCATGGCCAGCGACCTGGGGCCGCTAGACGTGCGACCGGATTTCCATGTCCACGACAGTAGCTGAAAGCTGCTGCTACTACTGTTAACTACATGTAACAGTGAATTCAAAATCCCATCATCTTGTAGTTGCTTCAAGTCTCCAGGTCTATTCCTGCCTATAGCTTGTTACTGCTACCAATCAGTGTTTAATGCTCGAGTTTGGGAGATAAAACTTTAATACCAGCTCGTCCTTGCTGTTTACCTTGTGCTGAGGGCGTGATGGAATAGATGACACAAGGCAGCGGTGTTTGAGTTACATGAGAATAGCTGAACATACATCATATTATAGTCAAGGATCATGCTGAAAATACCATAACAATTGCTTTGCCGGAAGATGCGCTAGATTTCAGCCGCCGGACTGCAAATGCAATTCAATCACATACAGTCAACTCCATCTATAAAGAACTCGCATATAGCAAATTTCTTGATAATATAACGAACCGTTGTCCATGTCCCAGATTGAGCACACAGTGTAAGTGCATTTATGTTATACAGAACTTTGGCTAAAAAGAACTAATTCTCCTGCACAATGGTGTTGGTTATATCAGGAGTCGACTGTATTTCACAAATCTATCCAACAGTCATGTTCTGTTTGCCTTCTGTGCTCCAGCATTTGCTTGATCTACACAACTACCACTCGCTGTACACCTTTGTCAGTGCACTGGTTCTCAAGCTTGGCCAGGAGAAGGTAGAATCAGACATGGTGAGTGCCGTGCAAACTGACTAACGTTAGCTAAACGAGTGTTGGAGTCCGTGTGGTCGGTGGAATGAGTATTGTCATGGACTGTACGTGTAGTTGCCATGCCGCACATGTGTAAATTATCCAGCATGAGAGAGCGCCAGCTGGTCATGCACTGTTGTGATGCAATCTCTTATGAGGGTAGCGAGAAATGAATTTGATGCTGTACAATAATGTACATTGTGTTGGGCAGCTCTTCCAGTATATATGGCCAGGTCAGACTGCGACAAATGTCCAGAGCCTGACTATGAAAGAAAACTGTTCAGGATTTTAAAAGCGCAATTACACTACATATGGGGAGAGTGACAATTCAAAATTCACTTTGAGCGTCAAGCGGAATTCCAATCATGAATTCCTTCCAATCCCTTCACCACGGTATAGCCAACAGCTTCCGTTAAATCCTTGCAATCGTTCTTTGAAGTTTTGTTGTTGTCCGTGGCCACTCAGAACTTTGATATCGAGATGAAAACTACCAAACCAGTGAGTACCAGCATCAAGCTCCTATTACAGTATTAGGAGCAGAACAGCGCAGTCCATCCTTGCTTTTTTCTAGCAGCGGCAAACCTCGATTTCGCTGCTCTTGCGTCAAGTTACAATGGAGATTCGGATTACAATCACTCTATTATTTTGTTTCGCCACAATGTGACCGGGCCATTACCTACATGATGTTACAGTGGTGAACTCAGAAGTGTGTCCAATTGTTTGAATGTGTTGACTGCAGATGGACTCGAGCAGTGGGGCAGCCGCTCTTGTGGAGCTTGTCAAGTTTTGCTCCTACGCCAACGACTACGCTGTCTATCGGGAGGCGCTCGATGCCAATCAGGACAAGTTTGCTATTCCTATACTCGGTAAGACAATCACACGCAGTACTTGTACAGTGCACTCGTGATAAGTCATTCACTAAGTCCTGTGCAAGTCCGGTGCTGGCCAGGGGAATCCCCTTTGGATGGAATAGTGTCAGGCAATACACAGTGTGCGTTTGGACATGATGCGGTATTTGTACCAGTTGTACATGTACGGTATCGCAGTTTGCAATCTCTCAATGAGTGAACACTGATCATTTACGCATTCATGTGTGTCTGCTGCCTTTGTAGGCGTTATAGTTGCCGATATGCAAGCTGTTGAGAAGGACCAGACGGACACCGTATCGCCGGAAGCGGCGGCGAGCAACTCCGACAGTGATGAGCGCCGGCCGATCAGTCTGGTCAACATCCGCAAGTTCCGCGCACTGAGCACCATCTTCCAGGCCATAAGCCACATGCAGAGCAACTCGGCGCACGGCATCATGGAGCAAGCGGTCAGCGTACTCTGACCCAGCTGTAGCAGCAATAGCAGTCCAAGAAGCGCCGCTCAGCCTATCATTTGTGTCACCACTTGTCTGTACAAGCTTCAGCAATGAGGGCAGAGATGTTAGGTTGAAGGAAGTCAGCTAATGTATAAAAAAGCTAGTATTTAAAGGGATGAACAAAGCACAAACCAAAAAACACAAATTATCATAGACCGTTGAGAATCCGTCCATAGATGAGCAAAAAAAAACACAGCAGACCATCATACGTATAGAACCAGCATGCATTTTGCACAGGCAATAATTAACCAGTTGAAACAGCTGACAGTGTTATTCTAGTGTCATGTTCTCTATCTTGCATACTTCTCACATGACTAGCATAACTTTCACTTGATAGCCTTAGCTAGTCTGTCACTGCAGTAAATAGACTTAGCTGCTCACCAAAAGAATCTTTTTATTTCGATTGCCATTGAATTGATTGTTCTGTACATTTGCCGATTAGGGCAGACACTAAACAAAATATTTAATGCCATATTGATGATCGGCATACGGTGGCGTTGATTTGCACTCGCCGGAGTTGGCTGGCACGGCAACCACATAGGATACATGCTACCTTCATCTAAGTTAGCAGTGGTTACTTGTGTTCCTACTTGTACTGGGACACACAGCAGCTCCAGGGTCTTCAAAGTCCTCCTGTGACTTCCGGCAGGTAGCTCGGTTTGCTGCCTCAGTCGCTGTTGGCACTGCATTTCCGCTTGGCCAACTTCATGTAGCCGCTGGCCTTTCCACTACAAAGTCGTTTGCTTCAGCAGAGGTTCCAAACAGAAAAGACGCTACGTACTCCTACAGGCCAACGAGGGGAGAGAAAGACAAATAATTGCTTTATCTCTTAAACTGTCAAATCCTATATATAGGGAGTTTTTGAAATTTTTCAAATAATAATGACCATGCTTCCGCCCTAAATTGTATCGTAATGTGTTAGGGCAGTATCAGTAGGTTCTCTTCAGAAGTTTTCAAGAGTGCCAGTTATTATCACTTGAGTTATAGGGCCGTTTTGGAGAGGATATGTCAGTTTTTTGTCGGATTCTATATATAGGATTTGAGTGTTCTACAATATCCAGAGTGTGGTAATGGATGCAGATGATGATAGAATGCTTAGTATGCTGAATAAGTACATAGATACAATGCATAGATGTCTATGATTGATTGGGGAGCACTGCCACAGGTTGGCATATCTAGTGCTTTTAGCTGTACTACAGCGGAAGTTTCACCCTGAAAATTGGCCGATCGCCTTAATTTGGATTATTCCTACGGAAGTGTATGGAAAACAGTTCCAAACACCTCATGAAACCCATTAATTTTCATCAATTTGCATAGGTTGTTAAGCAAAACCCTTCAGCCAAAAACCAAATCCTATAATTATAATTATTATAGGATTTGCTGGTGACAGTTTAAGAGATAATATAAAAAGCTAAGGAGAAAGCATGTGTGTGTGTATCTACTTCAGAGCATGCCTTTCACATTGCAGTGCTTTACAACGTAGACAACTGAAACACTATGTGTGCTTCAAAATGGTCTTACTCAAAATAATGCTTATTATGTCGGGAACTCCTGGACAAAGAGGGCCCAAACGTTTGATGAGTCATGATAATAGAGAGGTTCAGTGACTCGTTTGTTTCATATCAGATGAGTCAATGGGTCGGGCCTGCGTTAGAGTTTCGTGAAGATTCGCAGATTGGATTCGTTTACACAAGTCCAGGCTGTTTGATTTGTGGACAGCTTCGGGATTGCACTGTCCCAAACAAGGATCCACCATAGCAAAAAAAGAAAAGACGTAGGCACGGCTGTTCAAGTGATCCGAGTGCTGGCAATCTAATATGGCCGCCGCTAGTCACAGATTTTCAAATTTTCAAATTTCTCGTATCCCAATTATCTAAAAAGTTGGGCCAAAATTGATACGAATCAAGGCCTTCCTGACTTACTTCGATGCTGTTAGTCTAAGGAAATCGGTTTTCCGAGACCGGGAATCATCAAGGAACGTTTTGATGCCTTTTCCATGCGTCTCCTCCATCCTCTCGTCCTGCGCTGCGCGAGGTTTTTCCTGTTTGGCGATCGATGCGAGGATGCCGTGTAGAGGAATAGGCTATTGCGGATAATCATCCGTCGTGGAGTTTTGGGGGGGGGGGGGGGGGTTGTTGGTGAGTTTTTACAGGTGGAAGCACTCTTCGTCTACCCAAAAATTTGAAATTCATTCCAAGTTACTGCTTGGAAACAAAAGTCACTCGTCACCCATTTCCGAACTTTTTGTGTGATTTGAACAGACACTATTCACTCATGGACGTGCATCGAGCCATCTTGCAGTCAAGCTGTCGGGTTGGTGGCCACAAGATATTGAGCCTGACCCAGACAACGAAGTACGCGGTCGCCAACTACAAACATTTACTGCAGACGGCCCTGAAAATTGATGTTGGCCAGGATGATGATGATGTGCATCCTAAATACATATGTAGGTTATGCAAGAACGCATTAGAGAGACGTTGCAGCGGGTCAGAGGCTTGTGGTGGTGGCTGTGGCGAGCTTGTAACATGGGTTGCACACACACACACACGTTGAAAGTGCACAGTATGCACCCGTTATGCTACAAAATCGAAAGGAGGCAGACCTCCGAAGCGGAAAGCAGGATATAAAATCAGTGGAGCTGTCACAGGGACACAAAACGCCAGAAATCTAGCGAGCTTGTTTCGACAGCAACCGTTACTGCACCCACCGTTACCATCACCGCTGCAACAACAGCGATAGGAACGACAGCAACCACAGCAGTAGGAATGTCAGTGACAAATACGAGTACATGTAGAACACAAGTAGTTCCCCCCACCGTGCGTCCCAGCACACCCGAGCCTCCTGCTACCACCCGCTTAAACACGGTATCGCGCTCATCGACGGTTGCCCAAGTGTTGGCCTCCTCACCATCCAAGCTGAAAGGCGATACCACTGACCAGTTGATTGGGCATCTGGTCAAGGCAAGACAGTGCGACGGAACCCTTGCAGTACGTCAGAGTCAACGTGGCCGGGCACAAGTTTATAAGCGGGTAACGGTTGGAGAGGTGTCGTCAACATCCGCTAGCGATCGTACGAAAGGGAGAACATCCGAGCTGAGAGAGATAGGTAGGCATTGAGCATCATTATTGAGAATACATTATTTACAGAAGCGCACAATTCCGCTCTGCATATTTAATTAATGCAAAGGAGACAGCAGCCAACACAGAAACAGCACTGAAAATCTACCGCCCACAGCTAAAGGAACTGATAGCCAGCGGGGAGTGGAACGGCAAAAGGCTGTATTTCTATTTGTTTGGAGACTACGAGTTTCAAACGAGCAATTACGGCCTGTCCGGCTCCAGTGGTGTGCGACCCTGCCTGCACTGCCACTGCACAAAGAAAGCCATGGAGTTGCCCAGCAACGAGCGGGATGAGAACGACAGAACCCCTCGATCCCTGGAGTCACTGGGAGCCGACCTCGCAAGGTTTACAGCTGCAGGCGGCAACATCAGCAACGCCAAACATTACAACAATGTTATCCGGCCACCTATCCTGCCAATCCCAGTCGAGGACGCAGTGCTGCCTGCCCTCCACCCCGACCTTGGAATTTACTCACTGTTGTTCGACTGCCTGCTCCGTGATGTTCGTTCGCTTGATGCGCAGCTGGTCACGACAGCAGGCGCTGCGCTAGCGCCAGGTGACAGTGACAAGATGGTGCAGCTAGCCGAGCTCCATGCTGAGCACCGGCAGCAGATGGATCAGGTGAGGGAGAAATTCAAGCAGGCAGCCACTCTCCAGGAGCATTTAAACGTTGTCGCGCTGCATGGTGCGGAGCAAGGTGTCGCCGGTCAGAATCTGGCAGATGTGTGCGCCAACATACAAGATCAGTGGAAAGCGGCCGTGGTTGATGAGCGCAGGCTCAGCGCAGGTGCTGATGGACTCTTGCAGCAGGTGCAAGCGGCGTCGAATGAGAAAGACTTGAGCGGACCATGCGAGACGAGCATTGAGCCGATCCTGCAGCAGCACTACACTCCGCGGCAGGCGTATCACGGCGGAGCCTTCATAGGCAACCATGTACACAAAGGGCTCACAGATGAGATCATCATGCCGCTCACAGCTGCTCCTGTGTCCGTGGTTGAGCATCGGTGCCCTAGCCTTCTCCCGGACGCTACAGCCGTCCAGCAGAGGTACAGGCAGCTATTTGCTGGGTATGCTCGGTGTACGGCATCGCTCAACCATTGTAATATAGTAAGTTTGTCAAGACACGTCAACGCTCAGAGCACAGTGGACTTAGTGCGCACTCTGCCATACTCTTGGTTAGAACACACATTGTCCAGAGCACGAGTGTACAGATCCATACTGACTTATGCAGTGTATTGATCCATACTGAATTATGCAGTATATTGATCCATACTGAATTATGCAGTGTATTGATCCATACTGAATTATGCAGTGTATTGATCCATACTGAATTATGCAGTGTATAGATCCATACTGAATTATGCTGGATAAGAAGTACTTCAGATACTAAGACCATTTTCCTGCTGCTCATGGTGGTATCTTATGAGACTTCACAGTTCTACTTCCGCTGACATGATTCCATAACTTGCTCGCACGTGGATACTGTTCACAAGTGACTTTGGGAATTCTTCATGGAGACTTTGCTCGTGAAGGCGACTTGATCCAAAATATCCAGTGCAGAGCTTCGCTGTGTTCTATCTGCTCCGCTTCTGTTCTGCTAAAGGTGACTGACCAAGAAGTTCAAGATCTGAGTGGCAACATCAGAGATTTCATCGCCCTCGCCAGGTCCGAGCTGGTGGCACGCAACATGGCCCACATAACACCGAAGCTGCATTTGTTAGCGCAGCATGTTGCTCCCAGCATGATGCGCGTACGTGTCGGACTGGGCCTTCTTGCCGAGCAAGGAGCCGAGTCGATCCATGCAGAGTACAATTATCTGCTGCGGACATATGCCTCCATCCCGTCGGAGTTGCGAAGGCTGGAAGGTGTTGCGGAGGCTCACCTCGCAAAAGCAGTTGCGACCTCTGTTCAGCGCCGGGTGGAGAAATAACTGCAATCAAGGTAGGACTGCATTTCCACTTTGAAGAGTCTTCGAGCGTAGCCACTCATTATCTGCACTGTCCTGTCCTTCTTTGTCCTCCTTTTTGCAGCTTGCTCGACTACCTTGAACCAGAGCCGTAGCATATCGTCTGGTGTGATGGACTGTTGCCTGAGCATCGCTTCACTACCAAAAGAAAATACTAATACTACATGCGCTTCCTGTGTTTTTAATAACCTGCATCAAGAACTCTTGTCTTTCTCATCTTTCTCATCCTTCTTATTTTATTTCCCCTGACTAACTTGTCTTGCTCTTGCTGAGCACGATCGACTTTGGCTCTTTGTTTCCCTGCCAAACACCCGAAACACTCACTAAAATCCGGCAATAGTTTGCGTTTTTTTCTCAATTCCATCCGTTTTTGATGATATCACTTGAATTAATAAAACGAGCAGGTACACCAGATTCATGCATATTATGGCCGCCATCTTATTAGATGGCCGTGCGTGAACTGCCGTGTAGAATCTAGTGTCCGTACAGTTGTGCCCGTATTTCTGTTGCTGTTTCAGTTGCTACTGTATTGCCACGGCAATCAAAGCGCACCTTCTTCACGAGTCAGTGAACCTCTTTTACGCATTGCACAATTCGAACACAGAAAAACATTATTTCCGTCACGCCGAGCTCAACTCCATTTCTCTAAGCAACTCTTGTATCTCTTCATTACTCAGTCAGCAGCCCTAGAAGAACACTTTAGCATTGCATAAAAACGATTCTAAGGGGAATAGAAGGAATATCACCATACCTGCGTGGCGTTTTCTTTGCATGCTGCTTCTTTCTTCCTCTGCTTTCTTCCTTCAGGCGACGTCGCTTGCTCTTGGCTTGCACCTAGTAACACAAGAAATACATCCGAGAACAAGTCAGAAGCAAATAAAAAAACAGCGGACTCCACTTATAACGAACTCGCATACGTGATATAGCGAACCATTGTCCACGTCCCTGTTTGAACCCATACAAAATTGACCCTTTTGTAGCGAACAGTTTTCGTTTATAACGAAACAAATCTTGTAGGGCTGCATGTAAACCAAGTGCAGTCATACTGTCACAGGGCACATGTCGGTCGTGACTTGCTACATGTATAGTGCGAGTGCATTTCTGTTATAACAAACTTTGACTACAAAGAACTAATTCTCCTGCACAATGGTGTTCGCTATATCAGGAGTCGGCTGTTCTCCTATTGCCCATACCATACACATGCATGAACGGACCGGACCAAACACAGAACGCTTCCGGTTCCTTATCGAGGGGGGGGGGGGGGCATCAGACACTCATGGTATGGGTGTACGTGTAGTAACTAGGGATGTGAGTTGAAAGGCACATCAGAGTGTACAGTGTGCGACGAGACACACAGCACAGCGGAAGCTTAGAAATCTGACCACCCGTTATGGCTAACAGGTGGTCAGATTTCTACACATTTAAATGCCTAAAAACTCAAAAATCGCCCGTACGGCTTAGGACGAGTGCCGTTGGTACAACCTAGAACAGGATTCACCAGAACAGCGCGCTTGGTTGGGACTGCACCTGCTCTGGGTTGGCCAGAACATGTTCTGCTTGCTCCAGCCTCGAGGGTGAAGCAGCCAGAGCAGTTTTAACTGGCCGGAACATCGATTTTGGTCCAAAAATGATCACGTGCATACGCTTTTGGGTTGCATTTGGCATGCACCTGTTGTAACCGTACGAAAATGACAATGGTGACTCATACAAATGGTCATGAATGCAACCATGTTTGGTGAACTTTTCACATAAACATACTCTGTTTCTGAAGAAGCGTTTGGTTGCCATGATCCTGATCCATGTGCACCAGCCGGTCGATTCTGTTCTACAGTTGCGCTCACTGAAATCCGACCCAAAGTGCAAAACTGACTCCCTGGACCAGTTCCGTTCACATCACTGTGTTCGTACATGTGTGCGTCCAGCCGCATTTGTGACACTTCCAGGGCGTCAAGGGCCATGCAAGTTGAGAGTGTCAAATATGCACTTTGGGTCGGATTTCACCGAGCACAACTGTAGATCGTGCCAACCAAACGCGCCGCCCTAGGTCTAAAGGCCGATTCATACTTCATTTCACATACAGGAAACGCGTTGCGAAAAAGTTGATCTGAGCTCAACTATTTCGCGTACGGGAAAGCAATGACTTTCCCGTACGCGAAATGAAGTATGAATCGGCTTTAAGAACTATATTTCGTTAAATTTCAACCATAATTGAGTTGACGAATTTCCACTGAAAAGTGTCACAAGAAAATGTTTTGGAAACTAGCATAAATTTTCAACATTGTTATGACTGCACAATTCTTTGTTTTATTCATTGCCATTTGTCCGTTTATTGTATCCCCCATGATTATTCAAATACAAAATAATAATGATAATACCTGCTTGTTTCCTGCAAGCCTTGCCATCTCTTCTTCCTTCCGCTGGCGCGCCTCACGGGCACGTTTTATCCCAACAGCCATCTTGAAAGGCATTTTCTGTGGCTTTGCTTCAGCTGCACCCAGATGGCGTAGTCTTCCCTTGTCGAACTTAGATCTGTCTCGACCTTGTAAATTGGCACTGACAAAACTACTTATATCCTGATGCATAGAGGAAATATCCAAATCTGATTCTGGCTTCGACACATCCTCACGAGGACGGGGTGGTCTGGAATATCTCTTAGGTGCCTGGCTACAGAACTTTACCACTTCGACATTGCGCTGTCGCGGTTGTGAAGCAGGAAACTTCGGCATTGTCCTGAACAACAACGTTACTCTCTCTCTACTCGAACTCACTATTGTCTAAAAATAATTAGAAACAAATATTCCTGGACTCTTCACTTTCTTTTCGTTTTGTTGCAGGCAATGCCGCGATGACGATGTCATTGATGTCATCTATGCACTGTGTGACATAATCATGAGTCGCATGTGCGCTAGTAGTATGTGCGCGTCTGCGCGAGCCGCGGAATGGCGCGGATGTAGCCGCTAGCGCTATCTCCGCCGCCGCGGCACTTACCAAATTTCGCAAAGCCGTTGGTCATGTTGGTTGCACGCATGCGCGCCAAAACCCCGCGAGAGTTCAAAATCTGAGTTGTGCCACATACGTGTGCCGTCAGAGAGATTTGATTTCGATGTTCTCAATGCAGAAGTTGCCAATGACTATGTAGATTATTGTTTGTTGAACCTTTGTTGAGAATTGAAATGTTGTAGGTGTGGAACATCGAACATGTTTATCAAAGAGGTTGTCATAGACGGCTTCAAGTCGTATGCCCAAAGGACCGTCATTTCTGGATTTGACCAGCTATTTAACGCCATCACTGGATTGAACGGCAGTGGAAAATCGAACATATTGGATGCGATTTGCTTCCTGCTGGGAATCACCAACCTCTCCCAGGTAACATTTGCAAGCAGCGAAAGTTTGTTAAGTAAATAGATTTCCAGTGTATATTCAGAATACTAGTATGACAGGGAAGCAGGTCAACCAGTGTTATGATGAACATATCAGTATTCTCAAAGGTGCAGTATTAAAATGACAGAGCAAATACATGCAATAGAAAGTGTGTGTATTCAAACCAGTGACATCATGGCCGTAGGAGTGTTAGGTAGGCAACAATGCTGTCATGTGCGGTCTCTAGCAAAGCCGATAAAAAATTCACGGTTCGCGTAGAGACTCGTTTAGACCGAGTTTTCCGCCTCCGTAGGAACACCACCGCCCTCAAGTATCAAGGCGCAGATGCAGCTCCTAAAGCGGTGGGAGGTGAGTAGATCACACCCACCATCATTCGCTGCATCCATGTCCTTCGTGCCAGGCCACGAGTTCCCAATTTACTGTGGGTCGCAGCATGGCTGGGAAAACCTTTTTTGGCACCCTCTGATTCTCAATCATGGTCTTAGACCATCTCACTATGCCTGCCTGCTAAAACCGATAAGCCCCATAGACCTATGGTAATTCACGTCAATACTGCCACCACCACAACCAAGTTATCCGAGCAGACACGATACTGCTCCACACACACCTTCATCATGGCACACGCTGACATGTCGGCGAACGGTGAATATGGCTTGTGTGTGTGTGTGTGTGTGTGTGTGTGTGTGTGTGTGTGTGCGTGTGTGTGTGTGTGTGACCAGTGTGTGTGCTTGTAATCCACACCAGAACTGATTTAGAACTTTAACTTACCATAGTAAAACTACCAAATGCAGCGAAAATACCCTCTGGAACACTTGGCTAAACACAGAGCTGTTCCCAAATGCCACACACTCGCACCTCCGACATCATGACAGGGAGTACTTCGACAGTAGCTTACATGGCAGTCATAGAATTAGAAATACCAGACTGTCAAGTAGAACCTCGGGGAAACACTTCTTCTGCCGCTTAAGGGTTGGTTCACATATCGCCGGTATGCGCCGGGGGTCACCGGCAGTGGGCCTCTTGCAACCACTCCCGGCGCATTGCGATTATGTGAACCAGTGCAGTCGTAACAAAATCATACCGTAAATAATCGCAAGGGACCGCCGGCAAAGTTGGGCACTGCCCAACTCTTGCGATCTGCCCCGGCGCTGATCCCGTACAATTTTGACCAAAAGCGGTTTGTGAACCGTTCGCGCCGGTGCCGGACCCAGACTTTGTCAAAATTTCAAACCAAGACTGGTCCTAAATTTTCCTAAATTGAAGCTAAAGATGAGGTCCGGTCACCATTCTTGTAGCCGCTTCAAGGTGGCAAATTAAGTCAGCATACCAACCCGTCCTTCTCGGATGATCTGCTTGACTGTTGTGCAACTTATGAGACAAATACAGTTGAAATTTGAAACAAATAAAAAATACGAAAGATACATTGGCAAGTTCTTGTGACTTCATCAACGTTTGCATGCATAATTTCGACACCATCGCTTACTAGACTGCAATAAAAAGGTGTACAAGTAGTTTCATGATCTCCAGTAAAAGGTAGCACCGAGTGGCCATCGCCGAAAGACCTAGGGTCCTTGAACTACTGAAGAAACAAAGAATTCAAGCTTCAATTGGCAAACCTGTCGTAGGATTTGGGCGCATTCTGTACTACTTTGTAGTAGATTTGGTACTCGAACCGTATGCGGGACGGATCGGGAGCTGGGCTCACCGCCGGTACTTCCCGGCGCCGATTTGACTTACCGTAAAGTCACGGATAAAAGCCGGGCTTATAAGCACATAAGCTGCCGGGCTTATAAGCACATAAACCGCTTTCTGCATCAGGCTTTAATGCAAACCATGCTTATATGCACCACTGATATTTTTGCCAGGCTTGTATGCACATACAAATGTAGAAGCCAGGCTTCTACGCGCGACACGCGTAGATCTACCACTGACTACCGGTATGGCGGCAGTTTTACTATGCACTGTACATAGCGCATGCACTCTTGACCTACCCGATCCGCGCTTGCATAGAAGTCAGGCTTCTACGCGCGACAGGCTTATATGCATTTGACCCGTTCGATTTTCAGGCTTCTATCCGCGATGTGCTTGTATGCAAACCCGGCTTTTATCCGCGACTTTACGGTATACTATGTGAACCAACCCCCTAATGCAACAACCCAACCACAAACTGAAGTGCCAAGAGATGAAAGCCAGATGTGAAGGAAAACGTTGCAAACGCACACATGTATGCAATACAGATTGGTTCAAAGTCCATTGCACACCAGCTGAAAGATCATACAGTAGAGTGGCACGCCGAAGAACGTGTGGCCCAAGAACGCCCAGCCTGAAATGCTAAGAAGTTCGCCGCAGCCTAAAGTTAAGAACCTGGGTACTTTGTTGCGGTAATTTGCTCAGTCAAATCTGGCCCATTTATGTGTTACGGCTTTTGTGGACGTGGCAGAGACTGTATGAGCAGCAGTTGTGCACGTTCCTATAAGGCTATAGCCAGCCTACAGTCCATTCATTGGAAACTGGCACCCTAACTTTTTGGTGTCTCTCTCACATAGTTGTAGATATCGTGAAAACAACAGTACATCCTGCATTTTGTGACCCGTGCAATTACTCCTTGCCACATTTGAGGCCAGAAAAGTCCAAGAACAGGGAAATAGAAATTCAGCCAGGTTTTACAAAATTAGGACAGGTATGCCATGGCAAAATGTATGGAGAAGCAGATCCAAAACCCAGATTTTTGAGATTTAAAGTGGGTTTTTGATCCTCAATTCGGCCCAAATCCGACTTTCAAAAGCCAGCGGGCCAGTTTCCGATGAATGGACTGTAGCGCCTGTTTAGGTACTTTCCCGGTAGCGAGCCTGTTGAATTGCCTATAGCGAAGGTACCTGCCTGGTTGAGTTCCACACAGATTGTAGATTTTGTAAATCACTCAAAAATTGTAAATCACTAAAAAAAGGCAGTTATGTGCTGTTTTGTTTTGTACAGGTGCGCGCAACAAACCTTCAAGAACTTGTGTATAAGAATGGACAGGCCGGTGTGACAAAGGCATCGGTGACTGTGACCTGGGATAATGCCGACAAGAAACACAGTCCAGTCGGCTACGAGGCATGGGATGAGATTGTTGTTACGCGCCAGGTATGTGTATCAGACCCTGTGATTTGAAAATAGGTGGCGGGTGATCTATCGCTCTCCTCGCCTGTGTCAGGCGAGCTGTAGGAGAGTGATCCAAAAATTCTCACTCCAACAACACAGCACATTATTGATATCATTTTTTTAGAGAAAAAATTCTGGATGCTTTCTGAATTTCCACCATTGTCTTGAAAGATGACAGCGGTTGGCCGTGAACTGCCATTAAATATGCAGTGTGGAAGAGCTTTTCGTATGCGTCCTCCGCTTGGACTAGAATAGCTGTGTGTATGCGTGGCTGCTGAGGCGCTTGTGTTGCCTTGCTCCCTGATGCAGACGTCGACGATGATTTGTCGGTGTCACCCAATAGCTTCGCATGGCTCACTCCGATGCTATGCGCCTACATGACAACAAGCGAAGAAAACAAGGAGAATGGTCGCGAGTCCGATCGACTTTACTTTCGACATTGAATTGACCACTTACCTGTCCAGACAAATGTCGAGTGACAGCGTGCTTCGTCATGTAGTCCGATCCCTCCACAAACCTCAACGCATCGACCTTCGCTTGACCTCTCAGCCATAGAGTCGCTCCGGATAACGTCAGAATACTTCGCACACGACTTGCACCACACTTTCACGACCAGCTCTTTACCTTCCTTCTTCGCCGAGTTGAAGCCTATGTCCTCATCTACTTTCCAGCTGAGGAAAGTGGACAACTGCACACTGTTCCCTTTCGACATTTCTACTGCTAGCAGCAGCAGGAGATCACCAACAAGGGATCATGTCGCAAGGAAAGAAAACAACTGGTATGATCAACTCCAGTTGACCAATTGGCCTTTTTCTAAGAATAAGAGGACGAAAGCGCCATTTGGGTGCATTTACTTGCAACGCGTGCACTAGCAGAACTTCCAGAACTACTAGTCTATGTCAGACTGCGGTCTATCTTGCTACTCGGACCCGCCAGGCGCTAGTTTAGAGGGTTGTACGGACCCCTGCGCTGCATGCAGGGGTCCGTAAAACCCGTTGAACTGGAGTGTTTCATGAGTGGTGGTAGATCTACGCGGCACAGCTCTGACTAGTTCAAGCCGCAATCATTCATCCAGACGTGTGAAATGCCCCGAGGTCATGCCAGGCTAGCTGGGCGCGCCAGTGCAGTGCCTGTGTCACACTCACAGTGTACGTGCAGTGAACTAACTTGCCTACTCAGTACTGTCAAGAGTCCAGAGGGGGGTTATGGACTCTTGGTACTGTGCATGTCACTACACATGACTAACTCACTGTCTAGTCTGTTTCATAACAGCGCGAGCGGGCACAGTTCCGGCCTGCGCACGGATCGATGAGTGCACTTGACACCATACTGTATACACTCGTACTAGTCATAGTACAGTAGTAGTTGCGCTGCACTCCGAAAAGCGTACATGCAGCCAAAAATAGTTTCAGGCGCGCGACAAAAAGTGCACCTTCCAAGAAAATAAGGCGCGCGATGGCGCGCGAGAGCGATCGCTCGCCTCAAATCACAGGGTCTGGTGTATTTGTATGTACAGGTCAGACCTCACTATAACGACCCTCACTATAGCGTGCGAAATGCGAATTAGCTTGTACTTTCCTGTAACATGTATTTTGAGTTTGCCTGACTAAAGGCTACAATAATTATGACTGATGTTCCGAATAAAGTCCTCTCCCGCAAGTACTACCATCACCTTGCCAAGCAACTAACTTCTTGTCTGCGCTTGTATTCTTCTTGGCTTGGTCCGCTACAGGTGGTCATCGGTGGCAGGAACAAGTACTTGATCAATGGTGTCAATGCCACCAACCAGCGCGTCCAGGACTTGTTTCGCTCCGTGCAGCTCAACGTCAACAACCCTCACTTTCTCATCATGCAGGTACACAAGTACTGTACTGTACAGTGCTGCTCAATGAAATCCAGCCGCATCACTCAAGTACGCGCCCGGCGTTGCGCAGCCCAGACCTGCCAACACTGGACTGTGAAAGGGTGCAATGCGCAAACTTGAGTGACGTGACTGGATTTCATCGAGCAGGACTGTAGCATTCATTGCCTGTGTTGGAGTTACCTGCTGATGTGTGCTCTTCGCAGGCCATTCAATGATCTTTTTTGTTTGCATTTGGCTTTTGGTGTGCTCACCTGTCCATCTGAACTGCACCACCACCTTGCTGCTGCATCCACTGGAAGTGACCTGCAGTGGATATAGCAGGTCTCCTAGATATACGACTACCGGTATATTGTATCGTTCAGCAACGGAAATAATTTATTAAATAATTTATTATTATTACATACCTGTGTGTGTGCATGTGTGTGTGTCTCCGTGCTCTCTTCAGGGTCGCATCACAAAGGTCATGAACATGAAGCCCCCTGAGGTATGAGAGTGATTTGCTGCTCGACTGAAGTTCCAGCATGTCGGATTTTTGCAACATTGTGTGACAATGGTGTTTGCTTGCTACTGCCTACAAGTACTTTATAGTATGATGAATGAGAAGGCGTTTTTTGTCAGAATGCCACACATGGTAAATGAATAAATTCCTTTTGTAGATTGGACTCTTGAAACATGAACGTCTTGATTCCCAGACACCCTGCATGCGTTTGTTTTGTTTTTTGTTCAATTCACCAGATGGTGAAAATTGCTTTCCTGCATGTGTGTGTGTGTGTGTGTGTGTGTGTGTGTGTGTGTGTGTGTGTGTGTGTGTGTGTGTGTGTGTGTGTGTGTGTGTGTGTGTGTGTGTGTGTGTTCTTCCTGCATTTTAGTCTTCTTTACTTGTTCCGCTTTTGACTGTGTTTTCCATAGCTGTGGTGTGATGGTTTGCCACCTTCATCCTTGCCTGTCCACCTTGGGGTTCTGAATCGCCTCTGTCCTTGTTTTCTTGTTTTCATCTTTTCATTATCAATTTGCTCGTTCAGATTTTGTCTATGATTGAGGAGGCTGCTGGAACCAAGATGTATGAGACCAAGAAAGCCTCTGCTGAGCGTACGGTTGAAAAGAAAGAGACAAAGCTGCAGGAGATCAACACGGTATGGTTTCAAAGTTGCACCGATGTCAGCATGCGTGGCAATTTCTTTGTGCATGTACATGTGTACTGGAATATTCAGGCCGCCCCTACCCTCTGAGATGCTCGGCAGACCAAAACGGTTGTGGCATACCGGTACATGCATTCATGTCAGAGAAATTAGCGACAGACTCGGTCATTACATAAGCAGGCGCGTGCCCCGTATGGGTTCCTGGGTGCCCGGAACCCCCCTTTTTTCGCTCAAAATGCAGGATTTTGCTTAATTTTCTGAAAATTTTCCCGGGGAGGTCCCCGGAACCCCCTTGAAAGGCACCGGCGCACGCGCCTGGTATCAGTCCCACGGCCACTTCACAATGTACTCAACCGACCCATTCCACTTGAACATCACCACCATAGCGAGGACAATTCCGTTGAGATATTGATATTGCAGACTCTCCAGACAGCTGTTTTGCTCCACTCGACCTCACAAGTGGAGGGAGAAGAAAATGGATCACTCAGGTGAATGAATGATGTTTATATAGCGCAAAACGCCGCTTTTTGTATTGCACACATTCTCTACATAGAAGTGTGGCTAGGAAACTGAGGTCTAGTTTACATTCGCCTGACCTTGGCACGTCACAGGGACCACTACAAGCACCAGCCTCCCAACATGTGTATGTATGTGTGGCTACTAGTAATGTAGTCTGTACCTCCTACTATCTGTTGATTGCTATTTTCGCACCAATACTAGCACTGCATGCCATGTTCCAGCAGTGCGCGCTTGCAGTGTCACCTCTGTTAGAACTGTCTGTGATCACTTACACTTCAGTTGCCTAGTGCATGCCATTCTTATCCCGTAGAAAGTGTGGAATTGCGCCAGCTTACAAGCCCTATGTAAAATTCATGCACCTGAATCATCCATTTTCTTCTTCCTCCGCTGATGAGCTCTTTTAGAGCAAAACAGCTGTCTGGAGAGTCTGCAACATCAATATCTCAATGGAATTGTTGTCCTCGCTATGGTGGTGATGTGCACATGGAATGGGTCTGTTGAGAGTGCATTGTGGAATAGTTGTGTGACGGATGTGTGCTAACAGAGTCTCACTAATTTGTGGAAGTGTTGCCAATTTGTGTTGTGCGATTATTCTTACTCTTTTCGTGTAGGAATCAACATGTGTCTTTTTTCTTCTCCACTGTAGATCTTGGCTGAGGAAATCACACCAACCCTCACCAAATTGAAGGAGGTATGGCAATGATCAGTCATGTGCGGCTCTGCTGGGTGTTTGCTGTACAATGCTGTATTGTATACCTGCATAGTAGTCCAGGACAAACCTAGCAAGAAGATCTCTCACTCACTCTCTCTCACTCTCTCTCTCTCTCTCTCACTCTCTTTCTCTCTCTCTCTCTCTCTCTCTCTCTCTCTCTCTCTCTCTCTCTCTCTCTCTCTCTCTCTCTCTCTCTCTCTCCAAGCAGTGTAGTTATGTCGTAACGTGCAGGCGGGGTATCAGCTGTGTTTTTTCCTTGATCCTGCTGCTGCTGCTACAGGAGCGTTCGGCATACATGGAGTACACAAAGCTACAGAGAGAAGTGGAGTACCTCACCAAGCTCTATATTGCCTTTCAGTTTGTTACCGCGGAGGTAAGTTTGCTTGCCATCTCTGCTGAATTTAATTTTGTTGAGTAACGGTGGCATTCTTTTGATCATGCTTGCCAATGTCACCACATTGTACGTAATGGTTCTCACCAGTATTGACATTACAGGCAGTATTGACATTACAGGCAAAATGTTCTGTTGCTGAGACTATACTGACTATATCACTGGTACCGTAAGGCCCGTAACGTACCGGGAGAGCACCCCACCAACTCGACCTTTCATGGTCGTGCTGTGGGGGGGGGGGGGGGGTCCAGTTTGTAGGTCATACGACACATACCTTGTGCACGCATTGCACACTGTGCAGCCATTTCATGCGCAGTTTACCTTGAAACTCCACACAAGACCATGCTAAGTGTGACGTTAGTACACCAAGTTTCTCGAACCGGACAAACTTAGTTGCACTCTCCCGTACGATTTTCCTTTCCCTGGTTATAAAATTAAGGCGGGGGCGCTGTCTCCGACGGGGCACTCTCGCGGTACTTTATACAGTATTGGTATATTTTATTGTCCTTGGTGAGGAACTAACTGCTTCCTATTGTGTGCACTGGCTCCAGTGCATCGCAGCACTTTCGAGCACTCTTTACGGTGGACGGGATCATTTCTTCTGTGTTGTACATGCACGCGTGCTAGAGGGGTTAGATGTAGCAATGCGTGTGCTGTCCGTCTGAATGAGTGGCCATGATGTACGCAGGGCTCAACATTGCTGGTATTATTAGTGTGCCATTGAGATGAGAATGACGGATCCCAGCAGCGACTGCCAGAAAAGAAATGGCATGTGCCACTGTCACATGCTTCATGTATGTCTTTGTATACTGCACAGATCGTTGGACCTGTGTTGATTGCAGATGTGAACACAGCAATCTACTGGTCATGCTATATTCTGTTATTATCATTCTGACTTGGTTTGTGACTTGTACTTGCCGTGCTGCTTTCCCCATCACCACCCTCTCCTGGCTTGCATGCAGGCAACACGAGATAGCTCGGCTCAGCAGCAGGCTGAGGTGGCGGAGCACATCGCCACTCTCAAGCGACGCATGGGAGAGGTGAGCTTGCAGGCGTGTGCATCGCGTGCATCATGCATCACGGCTGTCTCGTTGTCAGCATTGTGCTATCTGCGTAACCTTGCTTAACGTTGTGCTGGCAATCGTTGCCAGTGTTCTCTTTCTCGAAACTGCTCTACAGAGACACACTGCAATGCACACTGCAATGCTCTCATTCACACTTGAACACTGCGCAAATTAGCTGTTGGCCCTCATTGGTCTAGTAGCCAGCAGAACTCACCATCGGAAGTCCACATCATTAAATATACGATTTTACTATGGAATCAGTCGCTGTGTCTTGCTTCGGACTGACCTTCTAGTGCAAGTGTAACTGGATTCCTTTGTCTGGGCTGTTTCTCGTCTGTCTTCTTTGATTGTGTAGATTGATGGCGAGGTCAAGAAGAGTGTTGTGGAAATGAGGGAGCTGGAGAAGAAGAAAGAAGCGGTACGCTGAAGGTGTTAGTGTGTTGCGTGTGTATGTCCACGAGTAAATGATCACTATTGATGTAGCGTATGTGCCAAGTACCGAATTTAAATGTGAGCCAATGTTTGTTAGCACCATGGGGAGACTTACTTCCGTCGTTTTAAACTTGTTGATGCAATGGTGCTTTCCATTCTCCTTTTGTTGCTTCAGGAATCCAACTCCGGCTTGAAGCAGTTGGAAGATAACTTCGCCAGTGCAAGCAAGGTGGGTTTGGTTGTTGATGTTGTTGGTTTTTTGTTTTACTTTTCTGGTAATCTTTTTTCCAGAATGCTAATTCTTCAGAGCTATTTCTGGCCGGTAGAAATGTGTGTGTGTGCTTTCATCTGAACTGCGCTACGCGTGCCATGCATTCATGTGCATCCTGCTAAAATGAGTGACCGTGATTGCTTTAGAATGAATTCTCTTAGAATTGGCTGTTGGAAGGTTGGGGTTTTAGGCATGTATGTGTACGTATAATTTGATAATATAATTAATGTCCCCAAAGTGCCAACCTGGTCTGATGCTCCAGTACTTATTTTGGGTATGTGCCTGGAAAAATATGCTGGCTACTGTACACTTTACCTCCTTTCCTCGTCTGTAAATTTGCCAATGGGTCGCTCTGCATTGTGTCCTTTATTTTGTGTAGGTTGTCGCTAAAGCTGAGTCCATGCGTGACAACTGTAGGTCGTCCATGACTGCTGAGCGGCGGAAGCAGAAGGAAGTATCAAAGGGCATAACTGATGTAAGCTTCACTGTACTACTTCAAGGCAGTGTCTCCAGCATGCACTGTGGTACTTTTCAGCTATTTGCAGTTTGTTTTCCACACCATTTCATACGTTGTGTGTGTGTGTGTGTGTGTGTGTGTGTGTGTGTGTGTGTGTGTGTATGTGTGTGTGTGTGTGTACCCAGCGCATACCAATCACCAGCCATCCGTGTTGCAACCAGCACTGCGCTACCTGTGATCGCTGTTTTAAATCTGCTCCTGGCTTTCGGCGACACGATTGCAATCGTGGACGGCGTCGTGGCGGAGCGGCTTCCTAGTGGCAGTGCTGACTTCTCTCGAACTCTCTCTTCTACTCTCCCCTGTCTCGGGGGCGGCGTGGCCAAGCATTTGGCAGCTGTACACCAGACCAGGTGTATGTGTGTGTGTGTGTGTGTGTGTGTGTGTGTGTGTGTGTGTGTGTGTGTGTGTGTGTGTGTGTGTGTGTGTGTGTGTGTGTGTGTGTGTGTGTAGTGGCCTCCACTGACGTCACAGAGTCCCAGTTTGCTGATGATGCGGCTCTCTACACCACCTCTTTGAGCCACCTGGAGACGGTGACAAACGAGTTTGTGTCCTGTGCTTCGGGTTGGGGTCTAACTGTGAGCGTCCAGAAGACCAAGGCCATGGCGGTGAACTGCTCTGACCCGCCACCTTCCATTGATCTTCAGGATGGAGGAAGCGTGGAGGTTGTGGACAGCTTTAGCTATCTTGGCAGTGTCCTGAGTGCAGACGGTGCTCTGGACAAGGAGCTCACGTCCCGCCTTGCCAAGGCCTCTCGTGCTTTTGGCGCTCTCCAAAAGCCAATCTTCGGGTGTAGCGGCCTATCCATCAAGTCAAAGCGTCTTGTCTACAAGGCCATTGTCCTCCCTACCCTCTTCTATGGAGCAGAGACTTGGCCCATGAAGGCCCGGCAGATGAATCGCCTGAATCTGTTTCATCGCTCATGCGTCCGTTCCATCTTGGGAGTCTCGAGGAGCGATCAGCACTCCCGTCATCTTACTACTGCTGATCTAGCCCAGAGAGCGCGTCTTCCTGAGGACATTGGCACTCTCCTGCGTGAGCACCGTCTGCGTTGGCTGGGTCATGTTGCCCGTATGGACGCGGCCCGGATTCCTCAACAAGTGTTGTTTGGGGAGCTCGAGGCAACCGGACCACGGCATGGGCCAAAGAAGCGTTGGCGAGACACGATTGTCGGTGATCTGCGCTCGCTGGATATTCCGGAGTCCGAGTGGTATCGGCTCGCACAAGATCGCCCGGAATGGCGCAGACGGGTCCATCAACATCGTCTTCCTCCCCCGGCACCGAAGGACTTTCACTGCGCATGCGGCAGAGCGTTTAGGAGAAGGGCGATTTGAAGCGTCACATCAAGTACTGCCCAACTCAGTAGCCTATCATCTCCACTGGAGATGGGGCGTCAAAGGTCAAGGTGTATGTGTGTGTATATATATATGTGCATGTGTGTGTGTGTGTGAGCATGTGTGTGTGTGCATTCGTCTTTTCAAAAAGTATATGGTTGCTTTACTGCTTATACATCAGCATGTGATCATTGTCACAAGGGCTCCTGTCAAATTATTTAGACACTGGTGCTTGGAATTTGCAAAAAAATATCTTCTATTCTCTTATTGACGCTGTTGATGGCATTACTTCTGTTCTTTTCCTGTGTGAACTTCAGGCCGAAGGCCAACAAGCTGGCAAGCAGAAGGAAGTGTCCAAACTCGAGTCGCAGCTGGAGAAGCTACGTGACGCCAGCGACAAGGATGCCAGTGGTCTGCAGCAGGCTAAGAAGCACTTTGAGGCGATCTCACAGGGATTGTCTAGTGCGGATGATGGACAGGTGCAGACCCTGGCAGAACAGCTTATGGGTAAGTTCTAGACAGTGTGTGTGTGGGGGGGGGGGGGGGGTATGCATGTGTGTGCATGTGTGTGCATGTGTGTGCATGTGTGTGCGTGTGTGTGTGGGGGGGGGGGGGGGGTGCGTGTGTGTGCATGTGGGTGTGGGTGTCACCACATACTACCGTCAGTATTTATTCGTCAGGTGCTGGTTGAGTAATTGTTAGATGCTTGTCCTATCGTGAGTTTGTTCGCTTTCTTCTGTGCTTAGGCTTCGAAGAACAAGTTAGCTCGTCTAAAACGGAACGAGAGCAAGCCACTGCCAGGTATGGTGCAGTAGACTTGTCATGGGCATCTCCTTTTTCAGGGTATAACTGTTACAACAAATGCCCAGTGCTTTATTTTCTCATGGTCCCTGGGTACCGTAGTGTCTTGTATTAAAGCCTATCTGGAATAGAAGCCTGTTCTGAATACAAGCATGATTTTCAAGATACACTGTCGGCTCATACGCCTGGTCTTAGTGTTGACATACATAGAAATACCTGGTTTGAATAGAAGCCTAGCCCGTACATCGGCTTCTACAGGAATAAACCCGGCTTTAATACGCGACATTACGGTATAGATACCTAAGGTGTTTGTTGGTTGGAATGGTACGTGATAACTGATGACGTTTGCGTTAGTTAACCCTACTATTTCCTTTGCCTGCGTGACCGTAGACTCAAGGCAGCCCAGGAGGATGTGAAAGGCCAGCAGGCCAAGTGCAAGGCCTACGAGCAAGAGTACACGCGTGACACGGCCGCACTGGACGACGTCAAGAAGGCCGTGGCCAAGATGAAGGCCAACTTGGGCAAGATTGGCTTCGACCCTGCGGCTGTAGACAAGATGACGGCGGAGCGGTGAGGAATAGCTGCATGCATTACTCTCGCCTGGCGGGCAAAACCCTTGACTTTGGTTGATGCATGTGTCATGATGTGTTTGGAACCTATTAGTGTACACGTCGTGTTCATAGTGTGTATTCGTATTGGCTTGGGAAATGGCATAGGTGCGGGATCTACTTTGTCCAAGCCCAGCAGAACACAGCTTTATCTAGGCATGGTGTGTTTCGCAACATGGCAAGTACATGTGCAGTGAAACTTCAGTGTAAAGTACCTGCACACAGCATACTTTTCTCTTTACATGGGATATGAAGTACTTTGTTGAGGGCTCTGCATATCCTTTTTCTGTCGTTTGACCTCGGATATACACTAATAACAGTACTGTAAAGCGAACAACTTTCGCGGCGTGCAAATTTAGCGTTTTCCTAAATCGGGCTGGTTCAGGATGAGAAACGTTTGCGATTCTATCTCTTCAGTCGGACCTTGTACTGTCTACAATCAATGTACGGAGAGGTTTGCGGCGATTTATATTCGCGAAAATAGCGAAATTTAATCTCTAGCGAAAATTTCTCACTTTACTGTAGTTTGGATATATAGTGCAGACTGTATGTCCATTGGAGGTGCCCTACACTAAAGTTTCGCTGTGGTACAAGTTCCTACATAGTACATTGTATGTGGAGTGAAGTATACATGTATCTCTTTCCTCCTGTAATAAACACTTGACTTCGATCGGGCTGTCAGTTCTGGTGAATCGAGCTCTGACAAATCGAGCAATAGGGACTCCAAGTGAGACTTGAACGGTCCCAAATTCTTTAGTATAAGCTCCCAAGAGTGTGCCACTCTGGATACCCTTTCTATGCGGTCTGCCGCAGTTGGAGACCCCAATGTAGAGTTGCACACTCTTGGGAGCTTATTTACGCTTGGTGATATTTTGCGTGTTTTGTAAATTACTCATCCTGCAATTCTTCTACTCTGTCTAATTCTGTCTATTCTTGTCCTGATATAAACACTTCAGGGATGAGCTCCATCACGAATGTGATCGTATGCGCACAGATCTGCAGAGGATGGAGGCGAGGTAAGTGCGCAGCACCAATAAAAATAGATCTCCCATCTGGTCTACGAGTATGTGCTGTCCCTTTACAGTCGTAGGCTTTTGTTACAACGGATATCCAGCCAGCAAATTGGCTTGGGTTTATTCCGTACTTCAAAGTTAAAGCTTGCAGTACATGGATATGTGGAGTGCACTTCAATTGAATTGGGAGGGGAAGATCGAAGAATTGTCACTTGTGGCGCATGTGTCCTGCTCATGGTTCTCCTGTTCCTGTGCCAAAGATTGTTTCAAATACTGCTTCCAGCTTGTTTCCTTGGGTAACTCGTGTTAGTATTGGTAGATGCAATGGTCTTGTCTATTGTTTTGCTATGTGCGCTTAGCTTTCCACGGCTCTCTTTTGACTACAAGGATCCCGAGCGTAGCTTTGATCGACGGAAGGTGAGTGTATACAGCTATGTGCAACTCATTTTTCACGTCGACACTCTATTTGTAACTTGTTTATGAAGCACTCCTTGTGTGTTTGATATGATTTGCTGTCACCTCTTCTCCTCCTGCGTGTCCCCTTAGTTTTGTGTACATTTGGACTTGCTTTGTATGTGCCGAAACCATTCTTAACACACGCACACACACACACACACACACACACACACACACACACACACACACACACACACACACATCAGTACCTAACTTCTGTGCGGCATCACAAACCTTCACTGTGATCAATGGGACTCCCCCAAGCGTGCACACATTCACACTGATCCTCTGCCTTGTCCGACAAGACTGTAGGAGAATTCGATGGTGTCCTGTCTGACTAATGTACATGTTTGACTTCAACGGTGTCATGGCTGGTTTGTGTGCAGGTACGCGGTAAGGCTGCTAAGCTGATCAGCGTTCCGGACGAACGGCATGCTACTGCATTGGAAGTTGCCGCTGGTGCAAAGGTACGTGTACTGACTCCGCTTGAGTACGGTGGAGACAGCTTTTGGACAAAATGTCCTTCAAAAATGCCGTCTTCATATTCTGTGTGTGTTGAGATATAATCTTAGGGATTGATCCTATGCATGCTAGTATCAACTTACTCGTAGAACAGAGAAAACCAGCACTGTGAAAGTGTTCCCCTCCAAAGAAGTTTGTGCTGCCTTTCAAAGGGCTCTGACTGTAGCATTTGCTCAGCTAGTACATTGCATTGAAGTGCAACACAAGGTTCTAGTACCGTGGGCTTATCTGTTTCACAAGGACATTTCGGTGGGCTTATACGATAACATGGGCTTATACGCAGGCATGGGCTTATACGCCGACACCAAGTTGTGCGATTGAAAAGTATCAAGGAAGTGAGAAGTACATTGCTGAAAACCACTATGCAAACAAAAACAACCGATGATTGTGCTGAAATGTACGGAAAAAAACTACTGTGCATTGTATTACGTACATGGTATGGCCAAAGTCCATAATTTATGGACTCTCGGTATGACCTAGGCCCATGGGCTTGTACGATGAAGCTTTGTGATGTTCGAACAAACCCTGGGCTTATGCGCGGGCATGGGCTTATCCGCGGGATTCTACGGTATTTCACAAAAAAATTACAGCGCTAATTGTTGGTGAGGATGGCCGAGATAGATGATTGCATAGAGAACGTGTTAGCTTGCGCTTACGCTTTGCCTTTTCCTGTGTTTTACGGACCTTTGCTGCAGCTCTACAATGTAGTGGTGTCGGACGAGGTTGTGGCCAAGCAACTGCTGGACAAAGGGCAGCTTCGGATGCGAACTACGTTCCTGCCGCTGAACAAAATCCAGAGCCACCCTGTATCTGCCGACACCGTGCGGAGAGCACAGCAGCTGGTAAGTGCGCATAAACACGACTGTATGTGTTGCACAGTCTCCATTAGAACCTTTGACGTCACAATGTAAAGCTACTCTCCTTTCCATCGAATTCCGGTAGCTCTAACGGCTTCGATCTCTGGCTAAGACAATGTTATGTTGATCACCGGACGGATCCATTTTTCTTCTAATCCGGCTCGAAGGACGAAATGTTACACACTCCTCATTAGAACTGTGTTCTCATGAGTCACAACTTCAGACACTTCGATCAAAGACTGTATATTTCTTCTGACTTGGAAACAATCGAATGGTGGGGAAAAATAACCTACTTGTCGCTACTAAAACCAAACAAGAACTCAGCAAAGGCAACAAAAGATACATCATGTATCAGAAAGCAGGAGCATGCGCATTGCACGTTGAGATTTTAGCGCTGCATAATTAACTAGGTCGAAAGTACATGTAGCTAGCTGCATCACTGCGCACGTGCCAGCGGCCTAAAGATGAAGCAATGCATTGTGTAATACAAGACAGAACTGCCAGGCAGTGCGGGCACCTTGCAGTACCAATGAATCACCAAGAACACAATACAACCAAACAGTGTGTGTGTGTGTGTGTGTGTGTGTGTGTGTGTGTGTGTGTGTGTGTGTGTGTGTGTGTGTGTGTGTAGGTGTGTAGGTGTGTGTAGGTGTGTGTAGGTGTGTGTAGGTGTGTGTAGGTGTGTGTGTGTGTGTGTGTGTGTGTGTGTGTGTTTGTGTGTGTGTGTGTAGGTGTAGGTGTAGGTGTAGGTGTGTAGGTGTGTGTGTGTAGGTGTGTGTGTATAGGTGTGTGTAGGTGTGTGTAGGTGTGTGTGTGTGTGTGTAGGTGTGTAGGTGTGTAGGTGTGTGTGTGTGTGTGTGTGTGTGTGTGTGTGTGACTGTGTGTGTGCGCTTGTGTGAGTAAACACACACGCACACACACACACACACACACCACACACACCCGTACACACACGAATACATTCAGGCAGTATCGCCAGCCTAGATAAGCCCTTACTCCTTTACAGTCTAACAGAAGCTGTGCTGCCGTGCCTTTGCTACTCGCTTGCGAATGGAGAGATGTATGCATCATGATCAGTTGGGTCAGCGCGCATACACCGCTATACGGGGCTTGGTGGAACTCTAGCATGTTTGTTATTCGGTGTCCGGCAGTACTGTAGCGGCTTTCCCACACTCACGAATAAGTATTGTCTTTGTGTGTACAGTCTATAGTGATTGTGTTTGTATTGATCTCCCGTGTGTGACTTTGACTGCCTCAGGTTGGAAAGGAGAATGTCGACAGTGCTTTGGCCCTGGTCAAGTTTGCGCCGGTCGATCGGCCGGCCATGGAGTTCATTTTCGGCTCGGTTCTCGTCTGCAGGACCAGCGACCATGCGAAGAAGGTGACTACACAGATAGTGTAATGCACAGTGCTGCTCAATGAAATCATTGAAATGCGATCGCGTGGGTCAAGTATGCCATGCGGGGCACCGTGCACTGGCATGCAGCCCTAGACCTGTGAACACCGGGCTGTGAAATGGTGCAGTACGCACGCTTGACTCACGCAATCGGATTTCCTTTGGCCGCACTGTAGCCGCACTTACTATAAACAGGGAAACATCAGTATTTGCATGTTGCATTTACAGTAAAACTCCCCTGATCGGGGCACGTCCGTCTATCGGGCACCTTTCTCACCCATTTTACATTCAAGTCACCAAAAATTGGCTTTTCAACGAAAAAATCATTGATTGGCGTAAAGATATGTTTACTTGCAGTAAGTATGAATGGTCTGAGTTACTGGCACTGCTCGGTCCAACCTGCCCAGATTAGGGGAGTTTTACTGTATTACAATGTCTCAGAGCGCAGTGAGGACACTGGCCATTATGAATAGATTGAGTGTTAGCACTGTTAGGTAACCACAGCAGACAAGGAAAGAAATAGGGGTATGATGGGTTTAGGGTAGGGCTGAAGCGATATGTAAAAACTGCTTAACGATAACACTTATAGCATAACAATCGATATACTGTAAAAGCCATATACCGTATATTCTCTATTATAAGCGCCGTGCTTATATTTTTTCAACACCCCTCTGCCCCGTGCTTATATTTTTTCAACCAATGCATCCATACAGAGCGAGAAGAAATACATGCTAGATATCATGCATGCAGCATTGATTTCCACCAAGACCGTGCTAATAATAGAGACTGTGCTTATAATGTTTCGAAAGGTGCTCACAGTGTGCTAGTATTAGAGACTGTGCTAGTAATGGAGACCTGTGCTTATAATAGAGAATATACGGTATATAACGAAGTGCTAACTCTACGAGTTAACGAGGAGAAATCTGTCGTTAAAATAGAAATCGTTATACAGAAATCGATACATATACTGTCGTATTGAGCGTTGAGAATGAGTGAGAATCGTTACCTTTGGTACACGTAAACTAGTCAATTTTGGGAAATCGTTATATATGCGCCTCGTTGGGAATAATGGCTTTTACAGTAACGATATTTCAAGCCGACATTTGGCTGCGTAAGGTGAGTATAGTGTTGGTATAGCTACCAAAATGAATTAATTATTATGAGTGGTGACATAACACCAGCTAACATGTCATATTACTGTTCAAGCTACTATCAAGGCCCAGCGGCAGCAACTAAAGTGGAGAAAGAAGATTGAGAGTGAGTGAGTGAATGCACGAGGAAGAGAAAAATGTGAATTGACTTCATGGATAACCAAATAGTGCATTCTTTTTTTTCTTTTTTCTTTTTTTTCAGAGTTTGCCACCATTATAATTATAATGTAGTGCAAAAGGACAATGTAGAAAGGAAAGGAACTCGAAAGCCTCTTTTACGGGCAACAAAACACAATTTGCCAAGATGAAGGAAATGAAGAGAATATGTATGAAGAAAAAAAGAAAGAAAAGAACTTCAATAAGCCAACCTCTACAATCAGCACTACGGAAGAAAACCAGGCGGAATGCCCAAAACCAACATGGAACGAATCCAATCATAGTACAACTAACTTCAGACAAGAACAATACAAAATCCAGACCTCTGAATGTGATGTAAACTGTCATTGTCTCTCAGCCACTCACAGGCGGCCCTCAGCCACCGCCAACTCCCGCAGTGCGTTGACTGGTCGGTGGTACGATGATCTAGCTCCGCGAATGCACATAAGAGGGAGGTTTCGCTCTACGGAATTACGTATGAAAATAACGTATGAACTGCACGGACTTTTCATACGTAAAAATCAGAGCTGTTGGGTTTCGCTCTACGTGATTTCTCCACGACTGCTCAACATGCGTTGTTGCTTTGGAGACGCGTTGGCTGCATGCGCCCACCGCATGCACCATGAGCCGAAACCGCGTTTTCCATGATATTTTGCATGTGGTGTACGGTGTGTGTACCTTGTGTTTCGCGCGGCTTGAATGTTGCCATGGACAAATGCGGAAAATGCGAAAAAATATTTCAAAAAGTCCTACGGAGGACCCAACGTAGGAAAGAGCTTTCCTACGGAAATCCGTAGAGAGATTTACGTATGAAAGTTGCCCTCGCTCCCCGGCGCGTACGACATACGGATTTTCATACGTAATTACGTAGAGCGAAACCTCCCTAATAGCTGACCGTAACAGTACAAAGGCCAGGCGACAGCGTACATATGTCGTCATCTCCGCATACTTCTTTTTCTCTCCCCTGGAAAGCAGACCCCACAAACGCTTGATGAAACGCGAGCACTCTGGCACACAACAACCGGCCGTGGTGAAAATGAGAGGAGTGAATGTACCACGATCTACATTGATTATGCGTTCAGCATACTCGGATTTCTTTCTGCGCTCGTGCTCTGCCAAAAGCTTCTCCAGTGGCTTCGCAGCATAGGAGCTCTGGAAGACCCAGTTCCTCTTCCTCCAGCTCCTCGGCCAAGCTCAATGAATTAGATCCTGAGCTAGTATTCTGGTAGCGAGCCCCGGGAAATACGCTGTTGACGGACAGGAAGATGGACTATGTGAGCAGGGGACAAGCCATTGCGGAGCTTGGTCACCTGCCGACCAGCAGCAGAGAAGATTCTCTCAGATGGCACTGACGTCGCGGGCACAGAGAGGTATCTCCTGACGAGAGTTGAGAGACCAGGAAAGCGGTGCTCATTCTTTCTCCACCACTCCAGGGGGGCTGTCATCTACATCCAGATCATCTTCCATGAAGAACAACTCCACTTCCCCGTCTCTGAGCCGAGTTTCAGCATCATCATTGGTGGTGGATGGGACGTCTTTGCTTGGTTGACTGCGACCAAACAGGCGGGACAGTCCACCAGACGGCGCGCATGCCTTCTTGCGAGGTGGCTCACTTGCGCTGGTCACGGCCGTACTCTCTGCAAGCAATGACTTCACGTGATCTTTTGCTGCAGATGCGTTATCGTCATCCAGAAACTGGAGGAACCGGAAACGCGGGTCAAGTGCAGCACACACTACAGGCATCGACGTCGGCAACGGGCACGACACATTTGGGAATTTGCGGATCAGCTCCGACTTCAGCTTTGTAGCCACCGACTTGGCAGCTGTTGTCAGGGGCTTCGCACGCTCACCCTCCATGACCGAAAGCAGATGGCATGTGATGGGGGGGAAAGTAGTGAGAGTGTCACGTACTTTTGGCCACTGATGGCGGATGCCATGTCAAGAGGTCCCCGAGTATTGTACAACTGAAGGTAGTGGGTTGATGACTATCCCCATGCCGGGTACTAGTATGTAGTGCTATATACACCATCGGTACCAGTGTAATCTCCTTCTTGATGTCTGGCTTCTCTGTTGTGATGCCGATGCTGTGCACCTGTTTTAGGTGCTCTTTGTATTCCTGCATGTATAGCATGTGATGCCACCTTAACTAGAGAGCTTGGTCCACCAACACGACAGACATGGACCATTGTCCGTCCATGCCTGTCCACTAAGGAAATCGCATGGGACCTAGTTAGGCTGCATGGGACTTAACCCTTTGCCGGTCTAACTCAATGTATGTGAGGGGTGGTCACGCAAATACATGTACACACAACCAGCAATAACTCAAGAACCATGTGATGTAGGTATGGGTAAACCATATATTTTCAAAATCTGTATGCCTGAACGCGTCCAGAAAATTCAAATATGACTAGGCAAGGATAGGGCCCATGGTAGCCCTTCAAGTTGAGAGAAAATACAATTGCGAATGAAATACACGAATATCACAGCACGAAGGGCATACCAAGTTCGTGATGGAGCTGAAGTCGTACGATAAACAATCAGGTAAGGGCTACATCTTTACAAGAAATGTAGGCTCTCTACAATACCGCCATTGAACACCAACACCTCGCCATCGGCGATACGCCAGCAGCAGCAATTCCCATTCCACGATATCGCAGCTTCGGTTTGTTCATCTCAGGGCTGCTCGCGTCAGATTCACTCTCGCTCAGATGATCACTCAGGCGCGAGCTTACGCATGCCGTAATTCTCACGGCCAGGCGAATCAGCTGATCGCACCTGACAAGTCCTTGTGACAGTCGCTGTCGCCGTGTCGCCAGCAAGAAGGCTTCCTCTCTGTTTGGAGAATTTTGTTTCTTCATTCGTGGACGATATATTTTTGAACTAGCAGGACTCAACGGAGCTCTTTTTCTCAACACACTACACTGCAAAACCTCCCGGGAGATCCAGCCTGGACTGGTGGTGTTACTGCTCTCAGAACGCTTGTCAAACACGGCCCCAAGAGATGCACTCGCATTCTCGAAATGCACGCATGGCGGATGGTCGTCTTTTCCAATTTCAACAAACTTCAGTCGATCGATACGGCAAGAATGTGTATGGTAAGCATGGTTGTTTTGTACATCGTCAGAAAGCCTTGGACCTCAGCTACGCGTAGAGCGCCATTTTAGCTGTCTCCTAGCAACAAGACCCCAAAAAAATGAGGGCCAAACGTACCGATACTATAGTATCGGTTCGCTTATGGTAGACCGGTGAAGGGTTAACCAGGCACGAACAAAACAAATAAGTAAGGCCGGAAGCAGCCAACTTAAACTTGTTTATACGGTTGGTTTTCTTGTTTTCTGCCTCTTTTCCTGTACAAGGTTTGTTTCGATCCGCAAATCAGGTGCAAGACAGTGTCGTGGGATGGGGATCTCTTCGATCCGTCCGGTACCCTCTCCGGAGGTAAGCCTTGCATGGACGAGTGTAGTAATGTTGTCACGAAACCCCAAGGCAAACGCACATGCAGGCCAAGTTCGTACTGAGTATCACTGGTGGCCACAGTGCCAAGTATCACTGTAGGTGACATTCAGCACAAGCTTTTAAAATGTGTATCCAGGGTCATCGGAAGATATTCTACATTGTTGCGATTATGAAAAGGCGGGGGGGGGGGGGGGGGAGGCTCCCGCAGGAGAATTTTAGGAAATTTCGGCTCAAATAGCCCATATTTCTTTACTTCAAAGTCACAGGATAAAATTATTTGCTGCACCTCTTCTGCCGCGCCTGGTATCCTAGTACTGGTAGGAGAGTATGAACATTGATTCCATGTGTCTTGGTCATTGCTCAGGATCTCGACCTACTGGTAATAGCTCCGTGCTGGTGCGTCTGCAAGCGTTCAGCGCTCGCCAAGCCGACTTTGATGCCAAGGCACAGCGTGTTCAGCAACTGAACTCGCAGCTGGAAATGTCTACGAGCATGGCAGCCAAGTAAGCTACATCCTCTGGTTATTGGGTATCAGCTGCTTTTCTTGTGGAATCTTATACAAGGAGTGCATGGTTCTAAGGGTTGCTGCTCTGCTTTTCTGAAATTTTGTCATCTCTTTCTCATTTTCATTCTCCCCCCCCCCCCCCCCCCCCCCCCCCCTCTCTCTCTCTTTCTCCTGCTTCATACACACACGCACACGCACGCACACATTGGGTCTTTGGGTGACCATTGCCCTGTGCGATGGTAGCATCAGGCGACCATTCTTTCCTATATTTTCAGGCACCGTCGGTGACATTACTGGAATGATTGGTCGTGTCTATGCTACTTTGTTCTAGCTACCAGAAGATGTCCGAGGAAGTCTTTCTCAAGGAACGCGAGATCGAACAGGTCCAACAGCGCATTGAGTCCTCTACACACCACCAGCAACTCGAGAAGCTCAAAGAGCTTCAGAGAACTATTGGTATGTGAAGTAAAGTGCTCCCCGTGATATTTGACGTTTCAACTTTTGAACCAAGAGAATGGTGTTGGATATGCCGCCATTGCTTGACGGAGTCAATCTATTATTCTCTGTCCTCTCATGTGCAGATGGCACCAAGACTGCTGTGGAACAGACGAAGGAAACAGAAAAGAAAGCCGTTGCCAAGTGCAAGGAGATCCAGGAGAAGATGAAGGTGCGTGCATCTATGGGCGGCCCCTTGTCGTTTCTTGCGTCTTCTCAATCTTGTTTCCCTTTTTTTGTTATAATTTAAATTGTTTCTCAGCTGTCCTCTGCTCTCACCCTCTATCCATTTTCTCTTTCATGGTTTCCTTTTTACTCCAGGATGCCAAAAAGTTCCGGGAGCGTGAACTGAAAGCTGCCGAGCAAGGTGTGACCAAGGCCAAAACAAAATCTGAAGAGTCGCTCAAGCAACTCAAGGCCAGAGAGCAGGTGAGCTTTTCAAGCTGCACATCTGGGCAGCTGTGAGATAGGGGAAGAGCAGGTCGTTGTCTCTCTCTCTCTCTCTATCTCTCCCTCTCTCTCTCTCTCTCTCCCTCTCTCTCTCTCTCTCCCTCTCTCTCTCTCTCTCTCTCTCTCTCTCTCTCTCTCTCTCTCTCTTTCTCTCTCTCTCTCTCTCTCTCTCTCTCTCTCTCCCTCTCTCTCTCTCTCTCTCTATTCTCACTTGGAATATGCACTATGTTCTACTGAGGCTCTCTTAGTCTGTGTTTACATGAGAAATTTCAACCCGGGTCGAGTTCAGCCCGGGTTGAAAGTCTGTACGATAGACAAAAGAGGTGAGCGTTTACATGAAGACAGTTGACCCGGGTCAAATACTGATATGCCGCCAAAAGTCCACTTCTACAGTCATGCATGGTCACGTGAAAGCGTTCGCGCGAAATTTGCATCCGCAGTGCTGTTCAAACCTGGCGCGAGATACGCACAGAAGTACGTTTGTACGATTTTCTTGACCCGGGTTGGTTTCAACCCTCCCCTTGGGGGGAGGGTTGAAATCAACCCGGGGCGAAATTTCAACCCGGGTCAAGCGCAATGCGTCATGTAAACGCGCCATTCACTTTGTGCACATGGCGGGTTGAAATCTGACCCGGGTCGAACTCAACCCGGGTTGAAACGCCTCATGTAAACACAGCCCGATGCTGTAAGGAACACGATAGGCGACCTGCTGGTGCAGCAGGGATCTTAACTATGCACTCACCAAATGTCTTTTGCCAGGGGCTCTACTTTTAGGTGGGTGGCTATGTGTATTTCAGCTGCATCTACGTGTACTTCTGTGTCACTTCTTCAGGAATCCGAAGAGCTGAAGCTTGAAGCTGAGAGTTTGTCCCAAGATGTCGATGGGCTGCGAAAGCAGGTATGGCTGCACTGACAACGTTTAACACGTCTCAATATATGCATGCTGTGCAGTACAATGCAGGGCAATGCTGTACACTATTTATTTCGAAAAGTACAGTCAACTCCAGTCAGAACGAACTCGCATATAGAGAATTTTGTAATATAGCGAAATAGTGTACATGTCCCTGTTTGAACCCATACAATTGACCAATTATAGCGAACCATATCTTGTAAGTTGTAGGGCCGCATGTAAACCAAGTGTGATGGTACTAGAGACCATTAGCAAACCGTCACGTGTATAGTCGAACGATTGGACAGCTCCGATTTCCAATCGTCAAAGCATGCATGGCACGAAGCCGTGCGTTGAACCATTCAGGCACGTGATGTGGGTGATGCGCGATGCGTGATGCAACCGGAATCGTAATCGGAATCGTTTCGTGATCACCCGTTGGGGCTGCTCCAATCGTGCTCACGAAACGATTCGAGTTTCCCGCGCGCGCGCTGGCCTCGTTCCCAGTTTGTCCCGATCGTCGCGTCCGACGGTTTACTAATGGTCTCTACTGTGGTGGGCCCTACTGTGGTGGGCCACATGCCAGTCATGATGTGTTACTGGTATGGTGTAGGTGCATTCCGGTTATACAGAACTTTGGCTATATCAGGAGTCGACTTTAAGCACAGTGAAGTAGAATAGTTTGCCTCTAAGGAGTGACATAAAGGTGCAGGTGTGAAGAACCCTATAAACAAACTTATGGTGTGTTGGGACAACCATAGGCAACCGGTGGTCAAAACTCTAGCGATTGTTGATGACCTGGCAAACAGCCTAAGTGTGAACTGGAATTGAAGATTACTGCTCTAGTATAGTATGTGTATACAGGTCACTCCGAGCTTTGCTGATGAAACCTACCAAGGTCAGTCCAGATACTCTGCGTTTGAGAAGTTATCTTTGTGTCATGTGTCATTTTGTGTACATAGCTTGCTGGTATGGAGGAGACCCTCAAATTACTTCAGAAGGAGCTGGAGGAACACCAGGCTACTGTGGATGGAGCTAAGGTACATACAGTGTACAGTGTATTCCAGGTCATCAAGCATGACTGCCTATGTTCAGATGATGGTGCAGTACTGCTAACGTGTATTGAGGCTGCAGATTACGGTAGATACGAACCCATGTTGTTGATGTTTGTGTTATTAAAGAGTATGCTATGCTCTTCACATTGCCAGTGCCTCTAACTTGTGTCTCCGGCTAACATGTTTTCTTGAACTGCCTTGCTGACGGCTGCGCGTGGTGTTACAGGCATCAGCAAAGGAAGCGGAAGGTCTTGTCAAGGACAAGCGGAAAGCGCTGCAAGAATTCAGCAAGGTCAGTCTGCTTGCATAGGTGATATCAGTCTGGTGAGAATCGGTGTGCCGTGCATGATAACAGTATGCATGTACCGGTACATGCACTTTGCGATTACACTCCTGCAAGGAAATATTTCGGCATATTGGAGAGATAAGTTCAGTAAAATACATGACACACTTTCTCTCTCTCTGTCTCTCTGTCTCTCTCTCTCTCTCTCTCTCTCTCTCTCTCTCTCTCTCTCTCTCTCTCTCTCTCTCTCTCTCTCTCTCTCTCTCTCTTCTCTCTCTCTCTCTCTCTCTCTCTCTCTCTCTCTCTCTCTCTTTCTCTCTCTCTCTCTCTTTCTCTCTCTCTTTCTCTCTCTCTCTCTCTCTCTCTCTCTCTCTCTCTCTCTCTCTCTCTCTCTCCTGTAAAGGCTGTAATCAGTGGATATTCTGGATGCATGCAATTTCAGATATACTGGCAGTAGCTATGTCTGTATCTCTGTATGTCTGTATCCTGCTGGACACTGGTCCATTACTGTGGTAGTGCCGGGTTTTCCCTTACACTCCATCACTGGGCTATCTCATTGCAGCTGACATCTCCGCTCTATGGTGTGTGTGTGTGTGTGTGTGTGTGTGTGTGTGTGTGTGTGTGTGTGTGTGTGCGTGTGTGTGTGTGTGTGTGTACAGGAAATCAGCCGGTGTGCCGAGGACCAGAAGAACTTGGAGAAGGAGAAAAATGAAGCCACGATCAGCTTGAAAGAGCTGGAGCACTCCATAGGTGTTTTGCTGAAAGAAAGCAAGGAGGCTGCACACAATGTAAGGATATTATTTGTTCGGTGGATGTAAGATCTCTAGCCAAAAATAGGGATTCCCTGGCCCGGACAAAAAAGCTACCTCTGCGAGCTGTGTGTGCCTAAACTAAAGGGTTAGGAGCCATCCGTAAATACCGATATTTTTTCATTACGACCACTGTTCATTTCTCCCCTGACCCCCACCCTCCTCCCGCGAAACGAACATACAAACGTTTATGCAGGGGATCAGTATTTTTTTTAATGAAGTGACATCTTCTTGTGAAACGTAAGCGGCAAGCAGCAACTCCAAATTAACCGTTTTGTGTGCATGCATGCGGGGCTATGCTTTGTGTTGTGTGTGTATGTGTGTGTTTCCCATGTTCAGGTTCAAGTGTTGAAAGAAAAGCATGAGTGGATAGCACTTGAGCGCGAGTTCTTTGGCCAGCCCAACACCGCCTTTGACTTTGAGGCAAACGACCCCGTGGAGGCTGGCAGGCGCTTGTCCAAACTACAGGAAAAGAAAGTGAGAAATGCATGAGATGTGTACTATTTGAACGTTTTGCGTCATGTATGTGTGGGGGGGGGGGGTACGTGTATGTGAGGGTTGGGGGGGGGGGGGTACGTGTATGTGTGGGGGGGGGGGGGGTACGTGTATGTGAGGGTTGGGGGGGGGGGTACGTGTATGTGTGGGTTGGGGTGGGGGGGGGGGGGGGTACGTGTATGTGTGGGTTGGGGTGGGGGGTACGTGTATGTGTGGGTTGGGGGGGGGGGGGGGGAGTATGTCTACCTAGGCATGTGCGAGTGTGTGCATGTGCATGTGGGTGTACCGTCACCAAGGTGTGTGCCACTTCTTGGCACCCTGTGGCGATGAGCATAGTTTCTGGCGCGTGCACACATGCACTGTCTGTAGGGTGTAATGTTAATGGTGGTTTAGCGTGTGCGCTAAGCCCTGTTAACGAACGTGGAACATCTACCACTCATACTTAGTCTGATGATCATGCATCTGATTATGATGTCATTGCTATACATGCGCATGCGCAGCGCGCGCCACTCTCCCACGCGTGCTTTCCAAATCTTGCTTTAGAGAGAGAGAGCAAGAGAAAAGAGAGACTCCTTTGTCACATTTGCTTTCCGACGACTTGACTGTTCACTGGTTTGTCCGTCAGCTGTCAATTTCCCCTTCCCTCCCGACCCCATTCGACTGGGGATCACTATCTCTCCGTCACTGTCACCATAATTTCCTCAATAACAGTGTCAGTACAACTCTTGTCAATATACTTATATCGGGTGAGGGCAGTCTATCTCCGCAGCTGGCTCATTTCAATCACTACCGGTCGCAGCTCCTGCCCACGGCAGGCCGACCGTCTCTCGTTCACACTCTGTGTGCTCCAGGTCACAGCTCCTGCGCAGAGCAGGCCGACCTGTCTGTCTCTCTCTCTCTCACACACACTATGTGTGCACCGGGTCACAGCTCCTGCGCAGAGCAGGCCGACCTGTCTTTCTCATGCACGCCAGCTGCTCCGCCCAATATCCCTGATATGCCAACCAGAAAACAATGTGTTCTGAGCCGGGTGCATGCCTGTATGTGGAGAGTGCGTTAACAACTATTTAGTGAGAGTGCCAGTCAGTGTACATGTAACCTGTGAGAGTGTTGTATGAAAAGCCTCTTGTACGGGCAAAGCAAATCCGCTTACATAATATTTTAATATGACACAAAATCTCAATACAAACAAAAATGAACAAAACGCCAAGGATCTGAAGAAAAAGACTCAGACTCAGGATGTAATGTTAGCAGCTATTTAGTGAGAGTGCCGTCTGTGTAGGGTGTAATGTTAGCAGCTATTTAGTGAGAGTGTCGTATGTGTATGGTGTAGTGCTAGCAGCTATTTAATTTTTGTAAGAGTGTCGTGTGTGTATGGTGTAATGTTAGTGGCTATATTGTGAGAGTGCTGTATGTTCCACATCCTTATCACCTAGATAATACCCTTGTCTTGCTGAGGCCATTGCCAGTACCAGTTTCAGTGTCAGTCCAAGTCCAGCAGCAGTAGCAGCAATCTATTTCTTTTTGTCTGCACAAGAGGCTTTAGCAGCAGTAGCAGCTGACACTAGTATGTGTGTATTACTCTTTCTGCTCTCAATCTCTGACACATGTACGAGTACAGCTTAGCTATGAGACTATGCTAGTAGTGTACTGTGGAGCATCTAGTGCACTTGCTAGTGCAGTGTGTTCTAGAGCTTTGCATGTATCCAATATGGTGGTGTGCTAGTGTAATGTGTAATTGCAGTGTATTGCAGTGTATTGCAGTGTAATTGCAGTGTATTGCAGTGTATTGCAGTGTATTGCAGTGTAATTGCAGTGTATTGCAGTGTATTGCAGTGTATTGCAGTGTATTGCAGTGTAATTGCAGTGTATTGCAGTGTATTGCAGTGTATTGCAGTGTATTGCAGTGTATTGCAGTGTATTGCAGTGTATTGCAGTGTATTGCAGTGTATTGCAGTGTATTGCAGTGTATTGCAGTGCTGTCATTGCGGTGTGTTATTCATGGTGGTGTGTTATTCATGGTGGTGTGTTATTCATGGTCTTTCTTACAAGTACCGTAGTGGAAAAGTTGGCTGGCTGTTGCAATTCGTGTGTGTGTACGGTAATGTTGTAGAGTACAGTAGATATTGGTTATAACGTGCCTTTCTGATTTTTCACATTTTATCACTATATTAAGTATCTAATATTGACTGAGTACGAGGTCAATATAGGAAATAAAAGCCGAGTAAAAGACCGAGGCGAAGCCGAGGTTTTTATTTCCTATACTGACCAAGTACGAAGTCAATATTAGATTTATCACGACAAACAGTCCGTATTTCAAATTCCAGAACGATAACCTCATGAATCCCGGTTTTATGATTGCACAACCGTTGCACCACGGCCTACTCATGCAGTGACAATGCTGCACTAGGCACCGTTCAACTGCGCAACCCCTAAGCAGTCAAATATAAGCAGTCAATATAGCCCTAAGGAGTGAAATATGCAGGAATATTTGACTGCTTAGGTATGGCAAAAATCTATGTGAGTCAATACTAAGGGAGTGATAAACCGGTATATCACTACAGGCGATTTTCAACTGCGCTCATCTTACATACACATTATACACGTGTGGGTACTCGATCGCGCTAATGTAGCGTTCTGATACAGGATTCATGCTGCTGCACCTCCCCCAGTCTAGAGTGAAGAACTTCTTGGCCCAAAGGCATCATCCAGGAAACATCAGACCAGAATACACTATGAAAACACACATGTGGCTCCAAGTCGAGACATCAATGCCTCACACTCGTGTGTTGCTATCACTATAGACGATATTTTTTCTGGGAGGTGTTTTGAATGGTGATTCTGTATCCTTATAGCCGATTTATCGCTATACAGTCGTCCCTCTCTAATCCGGCACTTGTTAATCCGGAACCCTTGCCAACCGGCGCACTTTCTGATGAAACCGATTTTTTTCGTTCAATTCCTACATCGTAATCCGGCACTTGAATTCCGCCTCCGGCAGTGACTTTTTGAAATGAATCGCTCAAACTGCACGTAGTTTGATTTCATAATCCGGCAGTCGTAAATCGCGTTCAGTTATCGATCGAATTCAGTTGACAACTGTACTCGACCTCGCGCGGGAGAGTTCAGTTCGGTTGGTTGTTAGGACTTTTCCGAACCCGAACTCAATTTATACAAAGAGAAAGACCAAGGAACTACAAGTTACGCTATACTGTCCACTAACACCACCAGTTACAAAACAGTCAGCGACGATGCACGACACTGACCGACGGTACTGACGTTCTACAACTAACTGGCTAACAGCTCTAGCACATCTTGGATGCGCACTCCAACAGCCTTCCAACTCTGGCACAAGCATCTCGCGCACTTGCTGATGCAATTGTTTGCTTCGAAGGACATCCGTCGTTCGACCTGCATGATGTCGACTGCTTGCGTGGCCTTCTCAAGAGGGTCAATGTTGTCCAGGAGACAACTGCTAAGCAGTCAACCATACTTTCTTATTTTAGCAAGGAGTAGTGTCCTGCCAATTTTCAGGTCTGTGTGTGTGTGCGTGTGTGTGCAAGAGTACATGTGAACATATTCTCTGTTTTACTTTATCACTTTATCACTGTGTATATTCCTGGAGAACAGTTGAGAATATAAAGTTGTGCATCAAATACTTGGATCGACACGGAAAAACCCTGAGTTTCGACGTATGACACATGCATGCAATTGGGTAGGGCCGGGTCAGAGGGCAGGATTTCTTAATCCAGCACCCTCGTTAATCCAGCAGAAAACGCCGTAGCAAAAGGTGCCGGATTAGAGAGGGACGACTGTATACGATATATTGGTTATAATGATAATTTGAGTGGCTTTTTCTGGTTTTGCTTTTGATATTTTCATTTTGTATCAATATAGCCGGTTTATCACTATGTCCGATGACTTTATAACCGATATCCACTGTACTTGCAACTGAGGTAATGTTGTAGAGTAGAGTTTGTGATTGTGTGTTGGATGACCTTGCTGCATATCTCCGGTGACAGCATGGCTACCTTCCTATCTAACATTTGATTGACTGTGACTGTTGTGACTGTGTAGCTGCCTTTCTGAATAATTGATTGTCTTGTGTCTGCATGTCTGTGCGTGTTTGTGTGTGTCTGTGCTTGTGTGTGTGTGTGTGTGTGTATGTGTGTGTGTGCGTGCGCGCGCGTGCGTGCGTGTGTATGTGCATATGACGACAGGACAAGCTCAGCAAGAGTGTCAACATGAGGGCTATGAACATGCTGGGAAAGGCGGAAGAAAAGGTGCTGTCGCACGTGACGCTACTTGCAGCATTTTGTGTTACTAGTAACTACATGACATTGTACTCAGCTTGTGTACTCAGCTTGTGTACTCAGCTTGTGTACTCAGCTTGTGTACTCAGCTTTTGTACTCAGCTTTTGTACTCAGCTTTTGTACTCAGCTTTTGTACTCAGCTTGTGTACTCAGCTTGTGTACTCAGCTTGTGTACTCAGCTTGTGTACTCAGCTTGTGTACTCAGCTTGTGTACTCAGCTTGTGTACTCAGCTTGTGTACTCAGCTTGTGTACTCAGCTTGTGTACTCAGCTTGTGTACTCAGCTTGTGTACTCAGCTTGTGTACTCAGCTTTTGTACTCAGCTTTTGTACTCAGCTTTTGTACTCAGCTTGTGTACTCAGCTTGTGTACTCAGCTTGTGTACTCAGCTTGTGTACTCAGCTTGTGTACTCAGCTTGTGTACTCAGCTTGTGTACTCAGCTTGTGTACTCAGCTTGTGTACTCAGCTTGTGTACTCAGCTTGTGTACTCAGCTTGTGTACTCAGCTTGTGTACTCAGCTTGTGTACTCAGCTTGTGTACTCAGCTTGTGTACTCAGCTTGTGTACTCAGCTTGTGTACTCAGCTTGTGTACTCAGCTTGTGTACTCAGCTTTTGTACTCAGCTTGTGTACTTTTTTTACAACTTGTACAAATTTATTGATTGAGTAATTATACTAAAAATGTTTGGCACCTATGATCAGGGGATGGCCCACGCCTGGTAAAAAAGTAAGTAATTAAAAAAAATTAAAAATAAGAGGTTCTGTGTTCCGGCTCTCCGCCTTCTCCGCGAACATAAGAGAACTAGAGGAGAACAAACAAACACAAGAAGCAAGAATGACACGAAAAGCAGAAATTATGAGAACATGGTATAAATGAGCACGGCCATCAACCTCAACAGGGGATAGCCGCCTCGGCAACAATAAGAGCAGCTGAGTCCGCGGCAAAGACCGGTGCATAGAGCCGCCTAGCACCCCTCAGGCACATCACACTGGATCGGACCAAGGCAAAGCTGATTTGACACCGGATCGAAGCCATCACGGCACTGTAGGCCTCTCCGGTCTTGTCGGCGATGAGGGACGCTATCCTCTTGTACAGAGAGGTGGCAGATTTCCCCATGCCTCCCGTAGTGGAGAACACGGCGGGAACAAAGCTGGAGTGTTCCACTTCTCGGATTCTCTGCTCATAGGCACGGCGCTTGGCTTTTTCGTGACGGGTGTAGCTAGCAGCAAGTGAGTTGAGGCGATTCGAGGACGCAAAAGGGTTAAACACCCGGACATCAATGTAGGTGCGCTCGAACCGCCCTCCCCAAATACCACTAGCCACCACGTCAAGGCGGGCTTGGTCGTCGCCCACAGCAGTACGGTACCGGAGCTGCTCTCCAGTGAGTGGCTGCAAATGTGGCTCAATAGCCACCTGGTGGCCAACACGCTTCGCAAGGCGAGCTGTCACATCGCGTACCTCGTTGTGGCGGAGGGTTGGGAAACCGCCTAACGGGCAGGAGAGGGCATGGCTGACGGTGAACTGCTGTCCACAGGAACATGATGTTGGCAGTCGTACTGGGTGCCAGCCATACCGGAGGTGCACAGCATCGCGGAACTCAGCCTTCGTGAGGGTGAAGCCGTGGGCCTTTAGGGGCCGGCAGGTGAGCCAGCTGGATGCCCCCCGCTCCGAAGCAAGGTCGATGGTACGTTGAACCTCTGGAGGTGCGGCAGAATGCAGAGCGACGGCCTCGGCTTGGAGTGATGTCTTTGCCTTCGCCCTCAACAGCTGCTTGTTCTTCCGCACTTCCTGCAGGACATCGCCAAGCGTGGCAGTCTGCTGCTGAATGCGCCGCACCAGGGGGCCAACGATGGTCTTGGAGTGGGCGTACTGGGCCCCGAGGGAGGCAGGTGTGATGAGCCCCAGACCACAGCTTGTGTACTCAGCTTTTGTACTCAGCTTGTGTACTCAGCTTGTGTACTCAGCTTGTGTACTCAGCTTGTGTACTCAGCTTGTGTACTCAGCTTGTGTACTCAGCTTGTGTACTCAGCTTGTGTACTCAGCTTGTGTACTCAGCTTGTGTACTCAGCTTGTGTACTCAGCTTGTGTACTCAGCTTGTGTACTCAGCTTGTGTACTCAGCTTGTGTACTCAGCTTGTGTACTCAGCTTGTGCCACAGTGTGCCGTCATCTACATGTATCTCTGTTACAGTTCTTGTCGATACCTGCATGTTGCAGTGTGGGGCATGCGTGTACATGTATGTGTGTCGCAGGCACATTCCAATATATACTATACTATGCTTTGTATAGTGGCTGTGTAATTTCTTGTCCTTTACCAGACACTATTGTAACTGCTATGCCTGTCTGTTGGTGTTGTTGCCATGCAGTATCAAGATCTGATGAAGAAGAAGAAGATCGTAGAAGAAGATAAAGCTAAGATTGCACGTGTCATCGAGGAGCTTGATGAGAAGAAGAGCGAAGCACTGCTCACGGCCTACCAACAAGTCAACAAGGTAAGCTGTAACTCAGAAGCTGCCACGGACTCCGGGCCATTTGAAAATAAGAAGAACTATCCACCTCTCCACCTCTCTAGTAGACCATAGCTAGACCGTAGCAGGTCTGAGGAGCTCTCAATGAGCGAAACAGCCGTCTGGAGGATGTGGAACATCTATCCAAGAACGAACTCCCCGCTATGGTGTGGTGAATTGCACACTCTTGGGAGCTTATTTTACTCTTGTTGATAGTTGATACCGGGTACTCTATTGCATTTCAGTGCAGCATTAGAGAGGTTCCGCACTACGTAAAGTTAAGCAACTTTACGTTAGTGGGCGGGAAAAACCCGTGAATTCGCGAGTTTGCACTCCACTTACGGAAAGTTGTATACGGAGAGTACGTAGATAGGGCTCTGATAACGTAGCTGGTCCGTTAATGGATTGGGTACAAATTTATGACTCTCTCCCCAGGTCGATCTGGTCGTACACTGCCGCGTTCGGAGTTGCCAAGGGCAGCTACGTGATTTGAAAACTCCGTATGGCGGAACCCAGATCCGCATGCAGTTTACGTAAGACTTTCCGTAGATCGACTACGTTTTTTACTAACGTAATTACGTTATGCGGAACCTCTCTATTATCATGATTGTATTTGTCTAACTTGACTATGTTCACTTCCACTCTTGCTTCTGTGGGGATGCTGTTACAGGATTTCTGCTCCATCTTCGGCTCCTTGCTGCCCGGGTCCAAGGCACGCCTGACGCCACCAGAAGGCATGACCGTGCTGGATGGGCTGGAGTTCCGTGTCGCATTCGGTGACGTGTGGAAGGACAACTTGTCTGAGCTCAGCGGCGGCCAGCGTTCGTTGGTAGCGTTGTCGTTGATTCTAGCAATGCTGCTGTTCAAACCGGCCCCTCTCTACATCCTCGATGAGATCGACGCAGCTCTGGATCTTAGTCACACGCAGAACATCGGACAGATGCTGCGTACTCATTTCCGGAACTCACAGTTTGTCGTAGTCTCTCTCAAGGTATGGATCTCTTCTATTGTGGCTTCAGATCTGTTCTTCTTTACTACTTGAAGTACATGATTATGTGTGTTGATGTACAGGTGCACATATGCCCGTCTTTGGCTGCTATCTTTCCGCGTTCGCAGCGTACACGCGCGCACGTGCACTTACACACACACACACGCGCGCACACACACACACATTCTGCACTATACTCTACTCCACACTCTAAGGCACATTGATCAAATGTTGAACGGCCTCTGCTTGGATGACAGCTACACCATAGCTCAGTGGTTAGAGCATCGCTAGCCTCAAGTGAAGGTCCCTGGTTCAAGTCCTGGTGGTGAATCAATTTTTTTCTTCAGACTTTTCCTGTTTGTATCTTTCCCTCAAATCAATGAATGTCCTCATGACATTGTCCTTGTGCTCTGCAGGATGGTATGTTCAATAACGCCAACGTTCTCTTCAAGACTAAATTTGTGGATGGTGTTTCAACAGTGACACGTCACGTTCAGAGCTCGTCCAGTCATCATGCTGCTGCCGCCACTGCCAAGTCCAGCTCCTCCAGTAAACGTGCCAAAATCAGTAAGGATTTGTTTGTTGCACAAGTCTTATCATCCATGCACGCTGTATTTGCAGGGAGTGTTTCCCTCTCTCCTTCATGCATGCTACACATTCACAGGCTGCAAGTGGTACATAGTGGCTGCTGGCCAGCTCTGTGCTGAAGATTCTTTTGTTATTACTTGTAATCTTAATATGCTTACATGTAAGCCAGTGGGGTTGGCTGTGGTGTGCTGAGTGCTAGTGTTGCTCTAATCGGATGCTGTTCTTCTTCTTGACTCACAGGATGAGCGGCGACAGTGCTGACTGTATTGTTGAAGTATACCCAATGCAAGACGGTCCCATCTATCAGTTGCAGCACGCACCACATCATCAATACGACACACTCCACCACATCATCAATACGACACACTCTACAAGAGGTGAATTTCATTTTTTTACAATGCAAGCAGTGCAATAACCTGAACCGGTGCATGAGAATAATCATTTGGACGCCAATGTTTGCACGTTTTAGATACATAGAGACTGCTGTACAGATGTCATGAAACTATAACTCCTTTTGCACCATATTTTCAGCTCATATTCTTTTCACTAAGCATGATAACAGTGCAGTGAAGTAGCACTGCTTGTCATGAGATTTTTGTTATCATTATGTATTCTTTAGACCAGTTCATAGGCAGTAGCAGCTTTGCATTGCTCTTCAATCCACGACAGCTGTGCTTTCAAAGTGTATGATTGTAGCACACCAACGCACACTGTACCACCACCATATTAACCTACTCTCAAATGATAATCAAGTCGTCGTCATCTGTCTTTGGTTTTTATAGCACTACTTCTCCTTTAGCTGTTTTCCTTTCTGTTCTCTTCTCGTGACCGGTGTTACTCTCGATTGTTAGCATCTCTGATGCTGGTTTTGTATTTCCTAGCCATGCCATCATCCTCTTCCAGCTAACACAAGAAATGTGGGGTGGCACATGCTGTCGTCATCACCTCATTATATTCCACAATACCAGGAATAAACTGTGACAATAGTGTGTGTGTGTGTCCCAACAGCATTAAGCGCAGTGCTGTCCTGCCGGTTTTCCCACCAGACACGTGAGCCGCTAACGGTTGTTGCACTTTCATGTGTGGAGGGGAAAAGATGATAGTAGAAGAAATGCTAGTTAAACCAAGTAGTAACGTTATGATGTATTAGTACTTTTGTAGGTCTGCACTACCACACACACTGGATAACGTTCAGAATATCCATGAGAGCAAACAGATGACTCTGTCAGAGGGGAAAATATGGTTGGCGTGAAATCGTACTAAAGCAAACAAAATGTTGTACAGGCTAGAGAGTCAACTAAGTTCATGATAGAAATGATTTTTTTAAAGTTCCGAATGATTGTGACTTCAACAACCAAAGATAGGACTGTGGCTGATTAGACGGGTTGGATTGTAGTTGCTACAGGTTCAGGCTTGCAATAGAATCTTTCATGGGTATGCTTCGACGATCATGGCATGGCCCTACGAAGAGTATAGAACAAAGAGCACACATATTTTAATATTATAAAGTCATTAGCCGGTGTTGACACTGCAGTCTTCTTGATGCATGGTCACACTAGTTACTGTGCTTGCCACATGTACTACCAGTAGATGCTGCACAGGCATGTAATTTCATTCACTCGAATGTGCTGAAAATGAGCCAGTGCACATACTGTGCTACTAGCAACAGTATGTGTGCTTGCAAGTCCTTGAATTGCAAACTCACAAGTCCCAAAGCAACAGTATGTCACAGTATCAGCACACAGCCCAAACAACCTGGCATTGACTGTTTGACACGATGCATAGCTAGATGCACTACAGTGTATACTAGCACTGGGACGTACATGTAGAACTGATCTCAACACAAACATCGTGTCCTCTTGGAACATGCTGTCAGTCGTCCAACATGACTAGATCTACCACACACGCTGTGTACCATGTGTACTTGGCCTACTACTGGCCCTTCACAACTCGCTGCTACTTTATTCATGAGGTAGAATTTCTCTGGCCAGGGGCCACACAAGACCATGCACATATCTTACCTGACCACCAGCCGCACAAGCAGCGACCAGAGCGTAGCGGCCACCTTCCTTTCTCAACCGGTTAGCAGCGTACGTCACCAAACGGCAGCCGGTGGCGCCGAATGGATGACCGATGGAGAGTGAGCCACCCCAGAGGTTCAGTTTGTCCATGGGGACTTGGCCGACCTGTATGTTGAACAAGGGAAGCAAGTGACAGTCAGTTACAACACGATGCTCATGACATCTGACAGCCACCACACCACTGATTTACAAACCGTGATATATCATATGCTTGGTACGATACCAGAATCGAGAATTCACAACTGAACCTCATCCACAGCATAGAGTACCCAGTACGCATACACATACACATGCCATACAGTAAGTCAGAGAGGTCAGTCACAAACCCAGTGGAGAACACCTGTTGCAGTCATCATCACCAGTTCTCCTCAGAGAACTGGTGATGCCGGACATACAGCTGCCGGACATACAGCTGGCTGCATATTGTGCACTGGACCATTGTGAATGGAGATGTTCCAAGCAATCCCAAGCCAAGTCAGTCAGCTGGCCTACACACCACGAAGCTCTGCTTGAGTGGCAGCTGGTGGCTTGGTACGTTTGGGATGCGACGTGTGAAACAAACACAGAGTCACACACGCACACACACACACACACAGAGTCACACACACACGTACACACAGTGACATACCTTGCCAGATAGTCCCATGTACTCCTTGCAGAAGTAGTCAGAGTCCAATGCTTTCAAGTTGGCCAAGATCTGACCCTAAGCCAAGGCAAGCACACCATAGCATATGCAGTGCACGCCCAGACACGAGTAGCAACACACAATCAAGATGAAAGGGATATTATGAGGAACACAAAACAAACACACAGCACAAGCTAAGAAAGGGATAGAATCATACTTCTTACATTAAAAGACGGAAGAACTTTGCACCATAGTCCTTTCAGGGGGAGGGGAGCTGAGAACTACACACTGATGTTGTGGCACACTATGTCAACAAAACTCGTTGCAACTACTGGTACATGACATTATGTTGTCATCTGTGCATCACAAATAGAAACTTGACATAGTGAGTAGAGGACCAGCACAGGTAGAGAACAGAACTTACTGCAAAAGCTTCATGGTACTCAAATACACTGATGTCGGAGAGCTTGAGGCCAGCCTTCTCAAGCACACGAGGAGTGCAGTAAGCAGGTCTGTCAAGCAGAAATCGAGAAAAAACAAGACATTTAGTACACCAGTACACAGTAGAGAGAGAGAGAGAGAGAGAGAGAGAGAGAGAGAGAGAGAGAGAGAGAGAGAGAGAGAGAGAGAGAGAGAGAGAGAGAGAGAGAGAGAGAGAGGGAGAGAGAGAGAGAGAGGGAGAGAGAGAGAGGGAGAGAGAGAGAGAGGGAGGGAGAGAGGGAGGGAGAGAGAGAGAGAGAGAGAGAGAGAGAGAGAGAGAGAGAGAGAGAGAGAGAGAGAGAGAGAGAGAGAGAGAGAGAGGGAGAGAGAGAGGGAGAGAGAGAGAGGGAGAGAGAGAGAGAGAGAGAGAGAGAGAGAGAGAGAGAGAGAGAGAGAGAGAGAGAGAGAGAGAGAGAGAGAGAGAAAGAGAGAGAGAGAGAGAGGGAGAGAGGCACATACAAGAGGCCTGAAGAAAGGAGTCCACTCAGAATAACACACCATACGAAACACTAGATGAGTAGGCATACTGAAATGTACCAACCACACACCAGGTAAACAGTATCACAAAGAACAAAGAAAGCCCCAGCTGGCCAGTGGCAGTTTAGACTTTACAGGCTATTCACAAATCCAAACATCAACCGACAGAGGCATGAAACCAACAAGACAATGATGGTGCTTGAAAAGAATGTAACACAGCAGAGAAACCTAACTGATTGAAGAATGAGTTTTCTGACTGGAGAGGCTTCTGAAGAATGAGCTCAGTTTGGTATCTAGCACTGTACACCATGCCGTACTTCACACATGCATGCTACAGTCAAGACCCAAACTTGCCAAAGTATGGACATGCTACATGTAGTATAGATCACACTTCCAAGGTTGCACTACTTTCATTTCCCACTGCACTCTTTCGACATAAGACATCACGGCACAGGACCTTACAGCGCAGTGAGTTCTCACTACCATTAACCAATAATGGCTTTGAGGCCAATCACAACAAATTCACACTGAGTCACAGTGTGAACGCCCTCACACCATACTCCAGAGCCAAGGTGAAGGTCTGAACCACCACATTTAGCCTAGGTCTCCATGGTGAAGGTCTGAGCCACCACATTTAGCCTAGGTCTCCAGAGCCAAGGTGAAGGTCTGAACCACCACATTTAGCCTAGGTCTCCAGAGCCATGGTGAAGGTCTGAACCACCACATTTAGCCTAGGTCTCCAGAGCCAAGGTGAAGGTCTGAACCACCACATTTAGCCTAGGTCTCCAGAGCCATGGTGAAGGTCTGAACCACCACATTTAGCCTAGGTCTCCAGAGCCATGGTGAAGGTCTGAGCCACCACATTTAGCCTAGGTCTCCAGAGCCATGGTGAAGGTCTGAACCACCACATTTAGCCTAGGTCTCCAGAGCCATGGTGAAGGTCTGAACCACCACATTTAGCCTAGGTCTCCAGAGCCATGGTGAAGGTCTGAACCACCACATTTAGCCTAGGTCTCCAGAGCCATGGTGAAGGTCTGAACCACCACATTTAGCCTAAGTCTGCAGAGCCAAGGTGAAGTCCACCTCACGCTCACGTGACTCAGCACAACCCAACCAAGGACTCATTGACAATGTACAATGCAGTTCAGAGTACAACTGCTGGTAACCCATCATACCACTTGCCACTTTCAGCGCAAGCAACCCATCGTGTTACTTTGCTATGATGCAGAGCTAGGGATGGGATGAACAGCGACAGAACTTTCCACCAACAGATTCCAGCACTGTCTCAATCACACCTGTCCTCCTGCTGACAGCTAAACAGCACCTCTACGCTTCCCCAGCAGCCGGACGGACATCCACAATAACTAGCATTGACCTACCCAAGCAACAGCTGATCCTTGGGGTCTTGAGACATGAAGACAAAGTCCCTGTAAGGAATAACAAACACACAAGGACCACGTGAGTTGGAAAGCCATTCAGAGATAGCAGTACAGCAGGAACACATGACAGGGAGTACCGTATTATCTCTAATATACGCACAGTCTCCAATAATAGCACAGTCTCCAATAATAGAACACCTTGGGGCGGCATTCAAAAAATAAAGTGCTCAGTCTCCATTATAAGCACACTGTGCAAATTCATTATCTGTACCGGCGAAAAAAACCTGAAATGTGTGTGTCTGACATGAATTTGGCATGGCAACATGCCTCTGAAAATGAGGTTGAAATAATAATGGAACAGTCTCCAATAAAGGAACGTCTCCATTAATAGCACGGGGCGGAGGTACATTGAAAAAATAAAGGACCGTGCTTATATTAGAGATAATACCGTATACAACAAAGGACACGACGTTTACCAAGAGAACAACACAGCAAAAAGCATACAAAACAGGTAAATGTACTGAAGTATGTTATGATAGAATCCTATAGGTGGAGTAGGTAAGAAGCCAGATGCTACACACATTGATGTTGATTTCTTTGTGCACAGTCTACTCCCAATAAGCCACGCGCTCGCGATCAGCACTTTAAAATCCGGACGGTATTTACTTTTGTATATGATTAGTCTGTTGTGTAAGTCACGCACTCGCGATAAGTCACACATTTCGTCTCCAAGATTGGGTGCGTGACTTATTGAGAGTAGACTGTACTTCTGTCAGCCACACAGGTAACAGCTGCACGACATCGCCTACATGCATTGCTCACGTACCTCAGGTAAGCCTTGGGCTTGAAACCCATTGCCAGTGCTTTCTCCTCCGTCATCATCAACACAGCCGATGCACCGTCAGTCTGGACATAGCAGCAGCAACAGTAGACACACATACATTACATGCACATAATAACAATGCAGCATCACACCAACACAATCACAAATCGCAACAGAGCTAGCTTAAAGGGGCCGCTGTTAACGCGCAGTAACAGCAGCAGCAGCAGACACACATACATGCACACAGTAATACATGTAACACAGCATCACACTAATCACACATATCTGCCGTGCTTGGCCAACGTCCACTATCTTCACATTGGCCGGTGCTCCCACTGCACCTTGAGGTGTTGCAGTGAATAAATAAAGTCCTACACAGAACTCGCTTCAATGGGCACAGTCCACATGCAGCAAGCAGCCACCAATGCCCCAGTCTGAATGCATCGTGTCGGAGCTGGACGTTACCAGTACATGCATTACGTCTTCTGTTCTCATGAGGTGGGGCGGGACGCGTACACAGATGGTACTACGGTGAATGTTGTGTCAGAAGCATACACGTCACACGTACTGTGGACACGTCACATGTGTTAGGAATATACTAAAACAACGGAATTGTAAAAAAATTAACAGTGCAAGAATTAGTATCCTCCGGAGTCCGTGGCACAGCGAACACACTACACACCATGACTACACTAACCAAGAATGAGGAGTTAGCAGCAGTGATAGAACCGTAGGGGCGAACGAAAGCTGGTCTCAGCTTGGCCATCTGCTCTTGGGTCGACACTCGCACGCCGTTGTCGGCTGTTACTGGCTTCGACGCACCTGGCACGAACGTGGGCACAATATCTTCCAGGTGACCATCCTACGAGCAAAGGGGAGAGAGAGAGAGAGAGAGAGAGAGAGAGAGAGAGAGAGAGAGTGAGAGAGAGAGAGACAACCCGAAAGCAAGAGTGATGCTGTGGCCCAGCAGGATAAAGAATGGAGATGCAATGACCCTTCGCATGGGTGTACATTATGCGGAAAGCACACCGAGTTGAGAACAATCCAGTTGGAGGGAAGTATTACTAGGTTCATTGCACACATACACACACACACACACACATCACCACCCCCTCCCCACACACACGTGCACACACAAACAGTAACACACATAAACACACACACTTACGATGTGAGCATTCTGTGCATTCTGGTGAGAACGACGAGCGAAGTCATCCTACAACAACACAGGGAGGAGATAAACCAAAGATCAGAAATAGATCAGATTTACACAAAATACATGTACAGTAGAACCTACATAGGACACGTGTCAACAAACTGGAGCAAAAGATACGTTAACGACACACTTGTCCAGACCAGGCTGCGTCCTATCAAGTTGTGGTGCACGGCGTAATCAGGTCACCTTCCAAATACAGGAGATACGTTACACTGACGTCACACACTGTATTTCATGCAGTAGCATGTGATACCAATGTCAGCCATCAAGTCCTTACTACTGTGTGACAAACTAAGAAGTAGCAAATACCGGTACTGTAATTTCACAAATTTTCGGTGTACTTTTATTTTCGGTACTTTCGGTGCATCTGTTTCATACCGAAAATTTCAACACACCGAACAAACACTAACACACGTAATCCAATAGGGAACTGCTTCTCTGTACCTAAATTTTCTGCTCACCTAACCTGGCCTTTTGCCCTCATACTGAAAATACTGAGCACCGAAAACTTCTGAAATTAGAGTATATCAGTACAATACATTATCCAGCCAGTCATTCCATCCCCATTGACATACCTGTTCCCTGCGGGAAACACCGAATGCAGCAGCCAGCCTGCACACAAAAACGAATACACATACACCCAGCCACCATCAGATGCGCACTCCATCTCCCTGCAGCTATTGCAAACCAGGAAGTGTACACTCACGCATGACTGAGAGCAGGCACTCACAGCTTACAATGTAGCAAACACGGACCCACTACACGAAAAATGTCAAAGCGGCAGTCGGGACCTTGGGGTACAGATAATAGTGTTGTTATACACCAGGTTTTCACAGTTTGGGTCAAACGGACGTTTACTCGGGCAACGAATGCATGCCGTCATTTGTGATTTCTCCAATTAGCCAAGGGCGCTAATGTCGTCATTCGTGATTTGCCAATTTAGCCAATGTCGCCAATGGCGCAGTTGATTGTAACATAGCAGTCTAAGGGTGAGCTACAACAAATGATTTTATGTACAAAAGCTGTTGCAAAGCATTGCAGAGGCAAGGCTATGGCAGGTTGGTACTTGCCTATCGGCACTCTCTCCCATGATTTCATCTGTAGAGAACTCCTTGACACCGGGAGCCTAAGAGCACAGGCAAACAAAGCAAGGACTTGGTGATACAAAAAGATACATTGCAAGTCACAGACTCACACTGGTAACAGGAGTACTAGTACATGTTCACCAGTGAAATACAGCCTCTGTCAGTGCAGGTGCAGCACCTCCAATAAGCTAATCACTACACTGCCCCCCCCCCCCCCGTATTTTAGAACAGGAAGAAATCTATTCGGATGGAGAGCCAAGGATTAATTTATAGTAAAGAAAAGGACCAAGGAACTACAAGTTACGCTGTAATGTCCACTAACACCACCAGTTACTCGACAAATCAGCTCATGCGATAACATTGCACGACATAGACCGACAGTACTGACGTTCTACAACTTAGGGCCGTTTCACACGAGGTACAAAATCGCGTACATGTCACGTTTCCGGTTATGTTCCCTAGGAGATGGAGCACTTTTGGCGCGAAATGTGAAACGCATCGTGTACGTTTTCAGCAAGACCAGGAGGGGTGTAGAAAGCAGGATATACCCAGCGTTCTACTGACAAATTTCGTTTTCCTTGCATCGTGATCTGTCGTCGTGTTTGCTTTTTTTGCTTCTGTTTGCTTTCATTGCTGGTTGCTGGTTGTGCCTTCCGTTTCGGACCATGCCTCGCCAAATATTCTCTGATGACCTGGAGGCTAGACTTATTGAGTTGTGGGCCGACTATCAAAAGTCAAAAAGTGGCCAGATGGTGAAGCGTATTGTGAGGGAAAGGGAGATCGCCGAGAAACTCAATGCTTTTGCCAAAGAGAGCAATTTGGATATCGAGATCACCCCCTTGATAGTCCACAACAAGGTGGACAATTTGAAGGCAAAGGCGAGGGACTTGTACCGAAGATTTCGGAGATCGACTGCGACTGGTACTCAAGCTGACAAGACGGATATTGATTTGGAAGCAGCGTACTTGATGTGGGGCAATTTCAAACGCTGGAACCATCACTTTCGTGAAGTCCCTGGTCTGGGCCCGCTCCACAGCTTGGACACGTGCGTCGTCTCGGCACCTGCTCCTCCACCGAACACCAGTGGAGTTCCCGCTTCACCCAGAGGTATGAGAGCCACTCCTTTCTTTGTTATATTTTTTAGGATGCAATTGGTATTTTGATGTGTGGCAAACTGCTATAATAAATTTGTTGGTACTGGGTGTTGAGTACAGTATTCTGTTGTGGCTTTCACACAAAACACCTAGACATTCTGCAACAGTATTGTAAAAAAATTACCCTGCCCATTGGCAAGTGAAATTTCCTGTACCTGTATTGTGTTCGTTCTCCTACACTTTCAGGTCACCTCAACCCGGGTACCCCTCCTGCTAGTACGCAGGTGCAGCCAACAACACCCACCATGTCAAGCTTGAGCTCTCTAGACCCGACTCAAGCTGTCAACACCAATCCAGCAAATGCCAGGACAAGTTCTTCCGTGAGTGGGAGGTCTTCTTGCGCTCGGTCTGTGTCGAGGCCCCCGATGAGGATGGAAGGAGACGAATACGATTTCCTTGCTGATTCTGCTCCCGTGACACCAGTTCTGGACGACGTGCCAGTCTCCCGGGTATCTCCAACACCAGCGGTGGATGAAGTGGAGATATATGAACCTGGTGCTATTGCTGCATCAAGCCAAAGGCAGCGATAACGCCCACGTCAGCTGGAAAGTGCGGAAGAGGCACCACCTTGTACAAGGAAAGAAGGCGGCGCCAAGAAGGTAGCGAAGAAAGCAGCTGTTGGTTTAGCTGCAGGCATCACAGCAGCAAACCTACAAGATGTTGTGAGCGGTATGGCTGAAACTGAGTTCCAGCTACAGCGCAATCAGCATGAGTTCCTGACCTCGATAATTCAACAACAGCAAGCACACACACAAACGTTGACCCAGACCCTTGTGCAGAGTCAGATGGCTTTTCAAGCCAAGCTTTTGACAAGTACTTTGGCAAAGATGATTAATCTTTTTCTTTGTGTGATCTTCACACAATCCTTAAACATAATCTGCACTTTTTTTGTCCCTAGCCTTTCACACGCTTCCCTCGTTTTATAGTCCTTGCATTGTTCACCTTCCCCTGTTGGCTGTGTTTTACCGTGAAGAGAAGCCGTGAAAATCGATTTGGAAAATTGAAGTGATAACTATGTTGGCGAAGCGTGTAAAGCTTTGGTTGTCTGCAGTAATTCTGTCTCCAAGAAGATTCTTTGGGTGACTTTTAATATTAATTACCAGACAAGCATGACTTGATGGCACAGAGAGAGAGAGAGAAAGAGTCAAATTGATATCAATAATGTGCTGTGTTGGAGTGAGAATTTTTGGATCACTCTGTTACAGCTCGCCTGGAACAGGTGAGGAGAGCGATAGATCACTCGCCACCTATTTTCAAATCACATGGTCTGAAGAGAGAAAGAGATCACCATACAAATAGATGGGCAAGAGTGAGAGAAACACAAGTGGCATTCCGTCCGTTCCACGAAAGACAGAAAGATCACATATCACTCCTGCCCCAGCAAATTGAAAACAAAGTGAGCAAGGGAATTGCGAACATTTCCAGCAGGTGATGGCTCCATTGCGACTAGTGGCACAGGAGCATACTCTTGCAGGTCGGGCAGGAAGCCATCATCCTCTCTCTCCAGGATATTATGGAGCGCACAGCAGAACAAGCTCACTTGGCTGACAAAGGCAGGATTATTGCTGTTGCTGCTTTGCATTACAACGAATCTTTCCTTCAAGCGGCCAAAGGCACACTCTACCACTCTCCTGGTGCGTATCTGGCCATGGTTGAAGCTCTTCTGTTCCGCTGTGAGAATGGCGCCACCATAGATTTTCATCAGGCATGAACTAAGAGCAAAGGCACTGTCACCCACAAGATACGGTCGCACACATGAATCACCACATTGCCACGGCTGGTAATTGAGCCACTGGCCATTCTCACAGTTTGCTTTGAGGCGACTGTTGTTGAAGACGGCAGCATCCCCCACACTTCCAGGAGCACCAACATCAACAAATGTAAATAATCCATGACTATCGACACAGGCGAGGAGTAAAATAGCTGACATCTGTTTATAACACCAATAGATGTCTCCGTACTGCACTGGCTTGACTATTTGGACGAATGTCCCATCTACTGCACCAGCGCACATGGGCAAATTCGAAAGTTGTTCGAAATTTGCCATTGTCTCCACCAGTTTCTTTCCAATAGGGAATATGATACTGTCATGCACCAGGTTTCCTTGCAACACAGCAATACCCTCGTGGATAATTTCGGATACGGTGCTGATTCCAAGGTGAAAAAGGGCAGCAATCTCCGAGAACGTTTCACCATGACATACGTAGTATAGGATGATAGCTAGACGTTTGTCAGGTTGGATGGTCCTGCGCATGTTGGTCACCTCCTTCTGCAGCAGGTGCCCATATCGTCGTGACAAAAAATCAAAACTCTGCTTCATCCTGAAATGGGTTTTCCACGCTGATTTCCACCATTGCCTGGAGTGGAGCTTCACCTCTTCCCAGTTCCCTTGCACCTCCTTCTCCCAGAATCCTGCCATTGGTCCATACTCATTCTCAGGGTGAGCTGTCCATATCTGACGTCCAATTCGAGATCCGCTTGCTCCACAGATCCTCATCAACAAGAGCATAAATTTCGCGCGACGCCTGCGAGAAGACACCTGAGTGGACTCGATCAAATTGAGGAAATCAAACCTTCCGCTCAGGATGGTTGAATCCAGAGAAAAACTTGAAATTACACTTTGAACAAGCGAGGGCAATGCAGTCCTTCTACGCCTCACCATCCTTTGCAACCTCTCTCGTCCGTTCATCTTTCTCTCCTTGTGGCGATCAAAGAAACGAGAATCAGGGAGAGAACATCTCCTTGCCAAACTAATAATAATTATTTTGTGTTCAAAACTCCCGCGTTCGCGTGCGGATTCCGTATTTTACGACTTCTGTGCGAGGCAGGTCAAAGCTGCCATGGCAACTGCTGCTTGAAAAGCATGTTGCGACACTCGTGTGAAATCACGCGCTGTGTACTGTGCCTAGAACGCCCATTCGTGAAAAGCCATGTATACCTCGTGTGAAACGGCCCTAACTGGCTATCAGCTCTAGCACGTCTTGGATGCGCACTCCAACAGCTTTCTAACTTGGAAAGTTCTAAGTTATATGATAACATTGATAACATAGGAGGGGAAGGTGAGCGCAACCAAGACAAGCACAAGCTGAAAGTCTCAGCTGTGAAAGACGTTGGCGGATATACATGCATGTAGCACACACTACACAATAGCTAGCATAACACTTCAGAAGTACTTTGAAAGTACTTACCTCTGGCACTATGTGTCCTGGACGAAGTTTTGCAAGGAGACTCAACCTCTGGCCCATGGTCTTTGCCTGATAAAGACAGAAGAAAACATCCGAAAAATGTATTCAATTGTTATTGCTTACTGTGCCTTAGCTCGAGTAGTGTGTGTGTGTGTGTGGGGGGGGGGGGGGGGGGGTGCACGTGCCTGCACGGCACTATGTACGCACGATAAAGGAATGAGCAGGGCATGGCACACAGTAGGCAGCACTTACCCTGTTGAGCTGCAGCAGGATGGGTCTGAGCTTGCGATTGAATCTAATGGGCACATCAGACATGAAGTCTACACCACCAGCTACAACCACATCAGCTTGGCCAGCGCTGATATAGCCAACACCTGTTACAGCGTACAGGCACACACAGACACAGACAGACACACAGACACACAGCAAAGTCACACCCAAGTAACGGCGTATCACCTACCAAACACGCAAACACCAAAGGACATCCTTCAAGGAAGCGAATCATCTGAGAACTGAGAGGCTCTTTCTTCTCAGATAGGCAGATGCAAGCAAGCGTGGTTGCACACAAATAAACTTTTTGATGAACCATTGACAAAAGCGACACTGGCAATACATTTATAATAGGCATAGCACCTTGTAGTGGAAGAGAAATAAATATGTGGATACAATTCAACAGCTTGAAATATTGAGGAATTGCCAATCATTATCTTCAGCCATACCCACTTGCACTTACCCGCAGCCATGGCCTGGTTAGAAGAGATACATGCCTGAGTGACGGTGTGTGCTGGAACACGGTCTGAGAAACCAGCACCAAGTGCAGCCTGAGAGAGAGAGAGAGAGAGAGAGAGAGAGAGAGAGAGAGAGAGAGAGAGAGAGAGAGAGAGAGGGAGAGAGGAAGAGAGAGAGAGAGAGAGAGAGAGAGAGAGAGAGAGAGAGAGAGAGAGAGAGAGAGAGAGAGAGACAGAGAGAGGGAGAGAGTGAGACAGAGGAAGAGAGAGAGAGAGACAGAGAGAGGGAGAGAGGAAGAGGGAGAGAGGAAGAGGGAGAGAGGGAGGGAGAGAGAGAGAGAGGGAGGGAGAGAGAGAGAGAGAGAGAGAGAGAGAGAGAGAGAGAGAGAGAGAGAGAGAGAGAGAGAGAGAGAGAGAGAGAGAGAGAGAGAGAGAGAGAGAGAGAGAGAGAGAGAGAGAGAGAGAGAGAGAGAGAGAGACAGAGAGAGAGAGAGAGACAGAGAGACAGAAGAGAGAGAGAGAGAGAGAGAGACAGACAGACAGACAGACAGAAAGAGAGTGAGTGAGTGAATGGAGAGAGAGAGAGGGAAAGAGAGAGAAAGAAAGAGAGAGAGAGAGAGACAGAGAGAGAGAGAGAGAGAGACAGACAGACAGACAGAAAGAGAGTGAGTGAGAGAGAGAGAGGGAAAGAGAGAGAAAGAAAGAGAGAGAGAGAGAGACAGAGAGAGAGAGAGAGACAGAGAGAGAGAGAGAGAGAGAGAGAGAGAGAGAGAGAGAGAGAGAGAGAGAGAGAGAGAGAGAGAGAGAGAGAGACAGACAGAGAGAGACACACACGCAGACACAGAGAGAGACAGAGAGTGAGTGAGAGACCGCGGAAAACAAGGGTATGTGCAGGAAGACACAAGATGCAACAGACTTAGTTTCGTATTTCCAAGGCTGTTTACTTTCACACACGGGCACACACACAGACACACACACACACGGGCACACACACATACACACATGCATTACACATAACTTACTTCTCTTGCAATGTTGCTAGTCTTGACTTCCTGGATGACGGTTCCCACAACAATGTGATCCACATCACCTACACAATAAGGGCATCAAGGAGAGGTGACTCTCAGACACAGTAATATTGGTACGGCCTACGCGCAACCACTGCTGTAAACTACTGAGCAATCATGTACCAAAAATACACAGCCCGTATCATACTGCCACTGGTGTTAAAAAAATAGCTGTTCGCTTGTGTGTGTGTGTGCGCGTGTGTGCGTGTGTGTGTGTGCGTGTGTGTGCGCGCGTATATGTACATGTGCATGCAAACACATACACAAGACCCTTTGAGTGGACTGTATAGAAGATAGGACAACTGGGGTAAGGCTAGAGCAATAAAATCAGCTGACTAGCTGCATACCTGGTGCAATTCCAGTGCGGTTCAGAAGTCCCCTGCAAGAGAAACATTCATGTATGGACAGAATCAAATAACTAAAATCAGGTCTATAAGCCCATGCTATTCAAGTTAACCACAGTAACATTCAAACATACCCATCAGATCTCCACGAACATCAAGGCACTCGATACAGAGCATCTGGTGCAAATCTGGTGTACTGGTGGATCCTGCCCCCCCCCCCCCCCCCAATACATATGCAACCATAGCCATGCTTTCAAACTGATTTCATGGCCAATACAGTCAGGCAATATCAACCAAAACAATACCAGCACATTACACAGTCACACACAGCATGCTTTTGCATAGTTCTCAAATCCATGTGTCCACACCACTTACTGGAAAGCAGCACGCTGGAGGTCATGGGGCATCAACTTCTTGTAGCTGCAACGGGACACGGAGGAACGAAACACAGTGGAAGTAAAATGATTTGAAAGACTTACGGTGGTGTTTGCCTGGCAAAAAAATAATAATGCGAAACTGGCTCTGTGCTACAGTTCGTAAAAAAAAAGTGTGATTTCAATCGTCCGATCTCATCGTGGACATTCTATTAGTAGCGGCTCATTTTCAAGTTCTTCTTGACCACTTGCCCAGCGAGAGTAGGTGGCCAAGGCGAATCATGGACAGGTCAACCAGTCATCAGCCAACCGCCTTTCTAATTCACCTGCTGAATTTCGATCATCCATCAAGACTTTCTTAGGGTTCCCTGTAAAAAGGCGATGACGCCTGTTGGGAATTCCCTAGTAAAATAAGAATAAAATAAAAAATAAAAAAACAGCATTATGCTCATCACGGGGAGGACAAAGGGCTCCGTGCGTGATCAGCATTGATACATGCCACAGGGAACAAACACCGTAGTATGAACTCACTCGGACCCGGACGTCAGAAATGGCGTTCTCACGCCGTCGACGAGCACAATGTTGCGCTTGCCAGACGCAGCCGGTACCACTGCAACACGATCATCCGAGCAAAGTAACACAAAACACAGTCAAGCAGGGCATGGCAATCTCACACAGGTGACAAGATTTAACAAGGGCCACAGTACCTGGTTGTGCACAATGTCCAGACATCGAAGCATAACACACTGTCAGTTTGATAATGCACATCTACAGTACAGTGCCAGCCTATGAAGCTCTACGTCACGTTCGGGGCATGCGGGCCGGCACAAGAGAACATGCATCTAGGGTTGGATTTCACTGGCCGGCATAAGAGAACATGCGCCCGGGGTTGGATTTCACTGGTCAGCACAAGAGAACATGCGCCCGGGGTTGGATTTCACTGGTCAGCACAAGAGAACATGCGCCTGGGGTTGGATTTCACAGGCCGGCACAAGAGAACATGCATCTCGGGTTGGATTTCACTGGCCGGCACAAGAGAACGTTCATTGTAGGGTTGGATTTCACTGGCCGGCGCAAGAGAACATGCGCCCGGGGTTGGATTTCACTGGTCAGCACAATGGACATGCACCTGAGGTTGGATTTCACAGGCCGGCACAAAAGAACATGCACCTGGGGTTGGATTTTACTGGCCGGCACAAGAGAACATGCCCCCTGGAGTTGGATTTTACTGGTCAGCCCTATGTAGAGGTGACGCGAGTAACATTATTCTATATATCAGGGGATCGAGTGGCAAACCAGCGCTCCTCTAATGATGACATAACGACCAAACGTTCATGCATGGTGCTGTCTAGGCCTAGGGTGAAAGCAGTGCTGTGCTGTTCAGGAAAATGGGCACAGCTACACCAACCTGATTTTCTTTCAAAGTGACTGGTAATATGATGCCAAATCCCAAATCCCAAATCCCAGCCGGTCTGCCTGCCAGCCTATGCATGTCTGCGCGCGCGTGCGTGTGTATGTATGTGTGTGTATGCGCGCGAGCGCGTCTACGGGCATTGCTATAGCCTAGGCAGCCAGCTATTCTCTCTACATCACATAGCTCACTGTGGCCGAAGCTGAGGATTAATAGGACACCTACATCGTAGCAAGGCCTCTAAAGCCCTCTTTGCTTCTTACATGTTGTGCTTTGCTACGCAACATGTAGCTTCTGGTTACTACAGTAAAAGACCAGAATGTGCAAGTACGTAGAAGTCAACTTGCTGTTGTTTACAATTATATTGTGCCTCACTTGCCGGCATTTCCGGCATTCACACAGCAAAGGGCATAGCTTTGCATTATTTTGTTGTATTACATTATACGTATACTTGTACTTCATTTGTAGTGCACATATTCGAATTTGTATTTTCGTAGAAAAAGCAATACCAGCAAATGTTGTGTAGGAAGATGGCAGAAAGCAACACGAGTAATTCTGCAGGACAACCAACCTCTCTTCACGGTCTCTGCTTGTGTCGCGGCATTACGAACTGTATTCAGGTACACACGCACACAACACCAGCAATAGCACAGCAGCAACAGAAATTTGACCTCTCACCTTGACTTTCCAAATCGCTACTCGACAGCAAATACTCACGAGAAACACCGCCCAGAGAAGCAGAACGGCCACTCGACCTGAGCCAAGCTGAGCTCGCCATATCCAATGATCAAGAAAAGTGCCGGCCAAGCAGCACCAAAGGCAAAGCGAGCAATGTCGGCTCAGTCAGATCAGAGAGAAAGAATTGAAAAATTGAATGCTGACTTTTCTCGCTCTGACAGTGCAGCCCAGTCTGGAAGTGGGATTGTCAAGGCGGTTCATCGCCGTCACTTTTGTTTTTGCATCGGAACAGATTTGCAGAACCGAGATCACATGCACAGAGTAGTATTATTACTCCCTGATCACATGTGACCAGGTGACCTCTGAGGCTCTGTGCAGAGCTGGGCCGCTGGGCGCTGGCTCTCTCGATCTCTGCAGTCTGCACTCTGCAGACACAGTGCAGTGAGTGCAATGTGATCTGATGGATTCGCCGTTTCCTTGCCTACTGTATGGCGTCAACACAGCGTCATGCTCGGCAAAATCATCTCCCACTTTTGTCAGTGGTCAGTTTTAGCTTCGAACGTCTGGAACCAAAATACTTATCAGAGTCATACTCAGACTTCAGAGTTCAAAGGCAAATGAAGCAATGGTCCCCCAAGCCAAAAGCAAAACAAGCATTGAACTAATAAAAAAGTCTTTGAAGCAAGCGGACTGCAGTACTGGTACATGGTAGGTAGGTGACAACAAGCTTTCTATAATTATGGAAAATTAATTGTCACTCGTTGAAGCACATCGATGCTGGTGGGAAGGAAGCCTGCATGCAGCTAACATCAACAGCTCTTGGCGAGGAGCTTCCTTCAAACGGGACATGGGTGTTGCTTACTAAGATTTCACCATGATCCACGACGCGGAGTAAACACCATGTTTGAATTTTCACCGATTTTCAGTCTAGGTGAGAGCCTCCTGCCATTTGTTGCTCATTTGATCACCGAAACGAAAGAAGATGGATCGTTTGCGTCCATGGATGAGCGTGGTCAGGCGGCGGTGAAGCTGCTGAAAGCGAAGGTGATAGGAAGAGAGCGCGATGGCAGTGTGCTCGTGTCGTGGGTGGGTGTAACGAACAAGGATGGGTCTGATGGCAAAGCGGTGACGCTGATAGGGCTGCTGGAGGGCCGTAATCCCCTGACATTGCTATACGCTCATGATGAGCTGACACACGTCGTGTCAGCCAGTATTGACCAGGGTAGATCTCTATTGTCGTTCACTGAAGTCACGCGTCAAACAACGGACAATGAAGGTGAGCACGGCAATGAAGCAGGCGATGAGGCCTCGCGATCCATTGCGGGTGCGTCGCCGATTAGAACGTATCGTTCTTATGTGGTGGAACTCAAGCCTGCTGGCCGACTGCTGGCTCTGAACGTGGAGCGCTCTCTGTACCAGCGGACACAGTTCATTTACGCCAACACCGGCCGATCGGCAGCGCCGAGCAAGGACGTGTACATGCTGTATATCCTGCACCGCGAATCTGTCGGCATCTATCATTTCAAACTACAACAGCTTGACAATGTGTTGGTGATCTGCGGTCAGCCAGTTACATGCGAGCTGTGGTCTCGCCCGGTCTGGTTCCAGTGGTCACACGCTAATCAAAGATTGTACTTTGTATACAACAAGCCACAGGTGGATGCAGGTAATTCCGATCTAGAGTATTCGGACCTGGACAGTTTGAACGGGAGTGGGTGCAGCTTGGACGATGACGCTTCTTTCTATCCGGTGTTGCGAGTTGCCGAGTTCTTTGATGGTGGTGCCCACGAAGTTGTAATGGAAGTACGTCTGCAGTTCTCGATGGTGATCAGCGATGCACCGGTGTACGATCTGGACGCAACGTGGTGCGAGTGCGTTCCCGACATCAACTGTAACATGGCCGTGTTGCAGCTGGGTGGCGAGCAGCGTGTTGGATCGCTGTGCGTCGCTTACCAGCACGCCGGCGGCAGGAGCCAGGACTCGCAGTTCCCGGCGTCGCTGAAGTACTCGGTGTGCATACTGCACCACGCGTACCACATGGAGCTGTCCATGCCCCTCATGCCGGCACTGCAGGAGAACCAGCGGCCGCAGCAGCTGCTCTTCGCCGCTCTGGGCGACTACGTCATGGTCTACATGCCCGGCAGGATGCTGCATCTGCTGGACTGCTCCACGGAGCACGGGGCATTCCATCACTTGCTGTTACAGGAGGATGTGCCTGTGTTGCCATTCAATGGAACAAGAGTATCGCCGTGGCCCGTGTTGGCGCTGCAGCCGTCCACTGGTGGCATTTTCAACGTGCAGCGGCAGGAAGCGTACACAGTCAGTATTCATCGCCAGGAGCTGGCCATTCTGTTTGCGGAGACGCAGCAGGAATCACTGCGAGCCGCCGTGCTTCACTTGGCTCTGATTCACCAGCGTGACAGTGGCCTGGCGAGAAAGATGATTGAGCACCTGTGCCGCGACCCGGCTGCGCCGGACTGCACCACGCTACTCGCCGAGTATCTCCTGGCTGCTTCTTACACTCACATGCGCCGTGAGCAACTCGACCAAACTGTCATGCAGCTGCTGCCCATATCCCTGGCCGATCCCTTTCGCAATCATGTCGAAGAAGGCCGCGATGGCTGCCAGCATGTTCGCATTTCCTACAGCCGCATGCATGGACTGAAGGAGCAGATTATTGGTTGGCAGCCGGACCCGACGCAGGAACCGCTAGCTCAAGTGGTTGTGCCGTCTCAGAACAAGCTACTGCTTGGCCTGCAGCGCAATCTCCGTCTTCGTGACGGTCCAGCTCGCTTCAACCTGCGGGCAATCCAGCACAAGTTGGAAAGTGCTCCGTCACCGTCACCAACGTCGGACTCGCCGTCAACATCTATCTCCGGCACACAGCCAACCGAGTCGCTCGGCTTCTTCCGTCGTCTTTCCTCCTCACTCAATGCCCGGCGCAGTGCCTCGGCTCAACGTCCCACCACGCTGGCACCAGCGTCCTCACTACCTTTCCTGGAAACGCAACCCGAAGAAGAGATCCTCGCCGATCATCGGCGAACTCTTGTTGTCGATCACTTTCGTTTCCACCTGAAACGCCACTCGCACGAGTCAGCGGAGAAGTGCCAGCAGATCGCACATGAGTATGCCAGCACGCAGATGCACCACAGCAAATACCTGCTGAATGCCATCTGGACATCACTGCGTCACCCGACACTCGGTCAGCCATCGCAGGTGCTTCTTAGTGACCGAGGTGGGCCACGCGACAAGGCACTGTTCACCATGGCCGAACACTTCTCAGCCGCGGTACGTAGCTGTGGTTTCCCGACGCCAAGCGGATTCAACCAGTTCTTTGCTGCGCTGGGTCTGCGTTGCCTGGAACACCTGACATTCCTGCAGTATGCACAGCAGAATGTCTTCAGTCTACCGCTGGAGTTTGTTCGCCGTGTCGTCCGGGAACTGAACAACACACCAGAGAATGCAGAGCTAAAGTTCCAGGTGAGGCTTTTTTAGTATTTTTATCCAGCCTTCTCATGGCTGCTTGCGTGTTCATCTCGATACTATGTGGTAGTTTGTTGTTTGGCATGCTTCACTGAATGGGGTGGGGGTGCTCTTGTTTGTATTCGCGTGGCAGTTATCCGGTACCTCCAAGACCGGACGCTGTTGGATAAATAGCTATTCTGGAGAACTGAAGCTACATCGCCATCTTGTGTTCACAAATCAAGAGGACCGCGGAGCATGATTTTACCTGTATGTTTGATGCTCTGTTTACCAGTATTGTCCTGAGGCAGTCGTCATGCTCCTTTCTAGAGACTGACTTGTATGTAGCGTTGCGCAAAGGCAACGTTCCTGATGCTCACTGTCCACATTGTCTTGAAGTAGGACTGTATAATATAATCGACCTTATGCAGGCAGGCATAGTGGGATAGTATAAGACCATGATTGAGAAACAGAGGGTACCAGGTTCAAGTCCTGCTTGGAAGCGAAAGGATTTTTCCAGCCGTGCTGCGACCCACAGTTAATTGGGAACTCGTGGCCTGGCACGAGGAAAACATGGATGCAGTGAATGGGATTTTCGGTCTTTGACCACTTGCTGGTGAGCTGATCTACTTACCTCCCACCGCTTTAGGAGCTGCATCTGCGCCTTGATCCTTGAAGGGTGGTGGCGTTCCTACGGATGCGGAAAACCCGGCTTCCAGCCGAGTCTCACGCGAACCGTGAAATTAATTTATGCCATTTGTACAGATCCACGAAATCCCGTAGAATCCCGTAGACCCGGTACGAGGTGATTATGCATTTTTAAGCATGATTGTAAAATCGTACAATATCGGGGTGTCAGTGCGCATGTGTATACATTTTTTGGCCTCACTCAGAAGATGATCCCTTTCTTTCTATCTTCACCAAGTTTCAACTGAATATGACTATCATAACGCCCCAAGGAATGGATTACATTTGGGTTGATATGATGCTATGAATATGAACGTTTTAGATTCTAAGCATTGTGTAAAATGACTATGTTTAGTGTTATTTCATCGCACTCTTCCATTCTACACACATACATGTACATGCTAGAACAGTGACAAGTACTAATGCCAAAAAAACAAAGTCTTCCGCAAGCAATTAGAGCCCTAAAGAAGTGGCTTCCCAGCATCCACTGAAACCAAAAAGTTTTAAAGAACCACAACATGTGCATTACAATTGAAATAGAGCATGGCCCGGGTCTGGCAACACCATAGAAGCATGATTACTTGAAGATCATAGTAGCGTGTGGACTATGAACAGAACAATGAACCGGAATAAATAAGAAAGAAGAAGAAATTGTCCGAAGGGCCGCCAGGAGAACGTGTCCAAACCTGCGCCACACATGGTCATCAGCTCAACTGGATCCACTGGATGATGGTGGGTTTCCTCTTGGTGTCGGCCGAGCAGCATATCCAGTTGGTAGCCTGGGTCCGCTGTAATTGCTGGGCAGTGGGAGTCTAGGCTGCATCAGGAAGGCTGGTCGAGGTGAAACAGCCGCCGTTGCCCTGGGTAGTGGAGTTGAAACACTCCTAGGCCAGAAGGATGCACCAGGGGATGCTGATGGCGACATGGTGGCCGCCGGGGACGGGAGACTGCTGATGGTCGTGGTTGTTGACGCTGACGCTGGGGAACATGACACTGGGATTTCGTAGAAGAGGTTGACAAGCTCTCGTATATTCTTGTCTTGCTTCTCCAGGTCATCGCTCTTGAGCTTGTTCTCAAGGTGTGAGGCCAACACACCATGCGTTTCATTGCCTTTAACCGGGCTCTTGGTGAGAATCAGAAGGGCAGAAAGGTGCTTCTTCTGAAGTTTACCAAGTGCGTGTGCTAGGCCCTGGTGATGGTGGCTCCACAACAGCTTTGCTGCATCCTTGGCAGCCAGCTGACGATGAAGATGAAGACCGAGGGAAGTCTCTCACTGTGCTATATTTGGAATATTGTACCGCATGCATTGGATATGTACGAGACGGTTTGCTGATTTTACGCATTTGCTTCACAGCAATGCCACACTGAATCATACCAACCATCACGACTTCATAGCAGAAGTGATCACTTGTTGTCCACCTCTTGCTGTCCATTTCCAGCCGGACCTGGTTTTTCATCTTAATGCCATAGCGGTTCATGAACGAGTAATACCAAGCATAGGTTACTTGCTTGTCCTTGAACAAGTCAGCTAGCTCAGTTCCTTTGATGAGGTGGTTAGCTGCACCAACTATCAGCGACTTGCCTGCCTTTAGGTTCAGAGCACGTAATTTCTGTACGAACTCCACAAGTTGGACTTCATATCGCATCGGTAACTTCGCTCTCTGGCCAGTTGTGCATGGTGTCTGGACATTCACGACGGTAACATCAGGTTTCAGCGAAGCCTCATATTCTCTCAACTTCAGGTGAAGTGTCGTGTCAGACACTTTGATGTTCATCAAGGCTAACAGCTCAGATGCTCTGCGCCCATCCTTCCGCAGATTGCCCGTGTGCATTGACTCCACGGCCCATTTCACGCCCTCACGATACATGCCCACCAATCCATGTGTCCCATACTTGACATTGTCACCAGAACGTGTGCATTTGGCTTTGATGGCAGCCTCCACTGTTGCCATGTCAAACTCTATGCCACCAGGTGCAGATGGTGTGGTCACTGAACCATTGTCGTGAACATCTGGCAGAGGTGGAGGAGGAAGGTGCCCACTCTTGATGTTTGACAACACGCCAGACACCTCCAGTTCCTTCTCTATATGTCGGAACATCTGCCGACTCACGTCAAATGCATTTGCCGCAGCGACCTTCGAACGAAATGCACTGCTCGTTACAGGAGAATAGAATGCTCTGACAGCGAGCGTTGCTCGCTTGCTAGCTGAATCTGTGCTGGGTTCATCCGGCTCAATATTTGATGCCATATCTGTATCAGAAGTCGTTTTATGGCTTTCTTCTCCATTAGCAGATCCAGTGCTGTCGCTACTACTGCTATTACATGAACTTTCTGGGCCTGGTTCGGCAGGCTCCTCACAAACGGGATCCATAAAAGGGCGATTTTACATTATTTCTGCTACTGAAGCGATCGTGAAGAGCAACAAACTGCTCTAAAATAAAGACAAACCTAGTCTTCTTGAACAAAACACATGCTGGGAAAGGAAGATGAAGACCGAGGGAAGTCTCTCACTGTGCTATATTTTGGAATATTGTACCGCATGCATTGGATATGTACGAGACGGTTTGCTGATTTTACGCATTTGCTTAGAAACGAAAAATGCTTAGAAATGCATAATCACCTCGTAGGGTGTTCATTGTGTGCTAGGCATGCGCATTTGACCTTTTGAGCCTCATAATTTAATGACCAGCAATCACTTTTCCAGCTTCTTCACTTTGGTTAGAACTAATGACTAGCTAGATCTTTGTCAGAAAAAGGTTTTCATATGAAATGCCTTCAGGGCCCATTTCTTAGTGGAAATAGCAGAAAACACAATAGGGTCCTGCACATTCAGCACCCTACCGGGTCTACGGGATTTCGTGGATCTGTACAAATGGCATAAGGTCCATTATAGTGTGGTGTGAGCTGTCAGTGCGTTGTTGGATAGCCGAGGTGCTGGATGACTGAATGCCAGATAAGCGACATGCAACATCCAACTTACTACAGTAGCTTAGCAGCTTGTACAGTTCTGGTCAGAGAAATCCGACCTCATGAATATAGTAGCACTGTGCTCAAGTGAGCAGAGTGTTGCGTGCAGTGCTAGGACCGCATAGCCCCCGGCGCTATTATTATTCATGAGGTTGGATTTCTCTGGCCAGGACAGTGTGTGTTCCACGCAGGGCAAGCTACATGTGCTCCAAGTACAGTGCTGCTCATTGAAATACAGTCGAGTCGCTCAAGTATGCGCCGGGCGCTGCACAGCCCTGGACCTGCAAACACTGCGCTGCGAAATGGTACAAGGCATAAACTTGACTCACACGACCGGATTTCATTGATCAGCACTGTACTTCAGTACAACCTTATTGTGCAGGATGGTGTCCATAGGCCATCGTGACAGTGAACGATTCAAGTATGATGTCATTGATGACATCAGCACCCAAAGGAAACTGAGCACTTCTTTGCCCTGTGTGCACACTCTTGCACCGCATGTGTGTGCGTGTGTGTGTGTGCGTGTGTGTGTGTGTGTGTGTGTGTGTGTGTAGATCCTGAATCGGTTGAAGTACGAAGACGTGGTTACTCTGCTGGTGGAGTGGGGTCACCCAGCCGCGTCACGCTACATGTCACAGAAGTACGTCACTGCAGCCATGCAAACTGATGCCAAGGAAAGCTGGGAACTCTCCTCTTTCAGTCAGAAAGGCCATGCGAAATCGATACCAAACAGCAGCAGCAAAGCCAGTTTCACTGATGACGGAACCAACGAAGTGGACGGCAGTGAATCGCTTTCCTCGACGGAAGATGGCATTGGTATCAATTTCCCGCCAGTTGCTAACCTGATGCAAGTCCTGCGCACCATGGAGCTGGATTTGAAGCGTTCCCAGCTGCCTCAGCACCTGCAGCAGTGGAGCATGAACCGCGTTGAAGATGCTTGCCTACAAGAATCGCAGACTGCCTCATCGTCCAGCCGGCCTGGATGTGTTTTTCCATTGTAAGAAATAAGATTTGAGGGAGCGTAGTGCACGTACTCTGAAACGCTGCCGCTGATTTGTAGCTATGCGTGGCCAGTGGCCGCTATCTACAGGATTTGTCTGCTCAGACTCCATCTATTTAATTTCTGCATTCCTCCCACCAGGCTCTGATGTGCTTCCATGCTATTACTTTTGCATTATTCATGCCCCTGGTTAGTAGCGCATTCCATAGGTAGCAGCGACACGAACACACTTGATGAAGAGTTAGAAGCGAATAACTGACTACATTGTAATGAATTTGTTTTCACATTCAACGCGTAAACTGAAAACGCTAGCCTTTGATTTGAAATTTCAAAACAGCTGGCCTGCTTTTTATTATTACCAATTCACCACTAACTAATGCGCTATTATAATTCAATTTTATTACATTATTCCGGGAATGATGAGATGTCGAGTACATGTATATAATTTGAACAACCGCGCACCCGAGCATTTCTGAAGCTGGCCTGCTGCTCGTTTCGATTGACTTTATTTTGGAGTACACTCGGACGTCTCTTATCCGGGCAACTTGGGACCGGGCACTGCCCGTATCTCAGGATAACTCATCTACCATGTATCATATCATTTTTGAAGGAGTTTATTTGGAATGTATTGCACATGTTCAGGATTCAAAAGGAACCCATTGATAAAAAACGTGTGGATTACACAGGTTGGCAGTGAAAAATAGGCACTTCCACCTATGGGAAAAAGTTCAACACCCCCAAATTCGAAGCATTTTTGCCATAGGAACTCAAGCTTAAGGTGCCCGGTAGAGAGACGTGCCCGTATCTGAGGCGTCCGGATAAGAGGCGTTTGAGTGTATTTTCAAAAGAGTTTGCTCCCCAGGAGCGCGTGTTATGCTGGAGTTGAAAAAAAAGGTTGTTCCACAGTGGAATACGGATGTTCTCAAGTGGCATTCTATGTACAAAAATCAACACTCAATATTTAGTGTACTAGTATCCAGCACCAGTGCTCCCAAGTACTAAGTTTTGACTCTAGGACTGGTGAAATGCCAAGAAAGTAAGGATATCAGTTTGAACATTGAACTGGCCTAATCCTGGTCTGGACCAGCAACCCATTCATTTTATGTTTCAAAGCATAGATGGTAGTGGAGGGTGCATGTACTGTCATATCCTAAATTCCTAGTAGTATGTAGTATGGAAGATTTGTTGTTGATACTGGCCAGAAGGTGCTATGCGTGGATGACCATCGAGGCTGTATGATTTCGCTGCGCAATCAGTCTCTTATCGTCTGGAGTCCACCGATGCTGTGACGAGGCCGAGTACTGTTGCATCAGGGTTGCGACCGCGATGTTCTTAGTGTTATCTGGCAGCTGCAGCAGGCTCCTGGACGTTGAGTAACCGCACACAGCCCAGCAACCAGTGTTCCCCATGCATGGGTGCAGGACTGCCTTTACAACGGTGCCTGCTGATTGTCTGGAATGGGCTTGGACAGGAGAGCGTCAAGCAGCTTCAACTGGGCCTTGCAGTACTGCACAACAAGCACATATGCACATACACACGCGCACACACGCACGCGCGCACACACACACACACACACACACACACACACACACACACACACATCCGTGAATACTCAAGCCGATGTACATGTGAAGCAGAACAGTTTACCAAGACCACACCATTCTTCTCCAGAGTAAGTTAACCATTGTGTATCCTACGGACCTGTGCAACTTTCCATCACATCAGTACAGAGCATCATGATGTAACGTTACTTAGAGAAGTCCTAGTTCACTAGGACTGCAGTTCATGGTTACGCTAGCTGACGACTCTACATTGATACTGTACAGCGCAACTGCGTCAATGAACGTTTATGCGAGTCATGTACAAAATCACCACAGAATCGGCAGCATAAATCTCGTGCACATTATTATGATAGGACATGACGAAGCCATCCACTTACTTTGTACCGGTCATACTCAGCCGTCATGCGACCTCTATCATGCTTGGTGATCTTCCTGTGAGCACAGGCGCCGATGTACAGAACCAGGAAAACCAAAGTTAGGTGTCTTGAGCAACCGATCTGCAAAGAGGACATTATTTGCACGGCTTCTCTTCTGCCCATGCCAGCCCGACTCCCTCAAAGAACTGTATGTAAAAGCACACCACCGTGAGTCACTGTACACGGAAACACTTGTGCAGCTCGAATGGTGATTCAATCTTTCCTCTGCTGTCTTAAATCCTACTCTATTTTTCTTTTAATCTTTTCCTTACATTTGTGTGCCTGTAACTTTAGTCGATCTCATGTAATAAGGCAACACTGCCTGTTTGTTATTCGACGTTAAATAAACCAATCCAATCAGAATTCAGTCTGCATTGGTAGGGTCCAATCAGCTGCTGATTCCATGGCCCAGTGAAATACTAAAAAATCAGTGTGAACTGCCTGCTGGGTGCATGGGTAGCAAAAATCAAAACATCAGCACTAAAGCGTGTGTTGGCAACTCCATACCTCCCAGTGTGGCGGTGAAATTCCTCCTCGAATGTTTTCAGCAGCTTTCTCAGCTGTCCCTTCTCCAGGAGAACCTGTAGTTGCAGGTCAAGGAGCTCAGCTCTGAAGCACATAATAACACATACATGTGCACATACACATATACACGCGCGCGCACACACACGCACGCATGCATGCATGCACACACACACACCACACACACACACACACACACACACACACACACACACACACACACACACGTTAGTACATGACCATACCCGTGCACCACAATGTACTGAGACAGACAGTGCCCCAAAATTCATGAACGAGGAGGAATCCACTGATGTGTTACTTCAACTTACTTGGATGGTAAACTAGGGTGCACTACAATCCACTATGGACAGCCCATTTTAAGCAGTTTACTATAGGCAGTCCGCTATATGCAGTCCACTATAGGTAGCCCGCTATAGGCAGTCCACTATAAGCAGTCCACTGCAGGCAGTCCACAATAAGCAGTCTACTATAGGCAGTCCGTTTAAAACAGTCTACTAGGAAGTCCACTACATGTAGAAGCAGTCTACTGTAGGCAGGCCACTACAAGCAGTCCACTATAGGCAGTCTACCATAAATTAAAATTTCACGGTTCGCGTGAGACTCGGCTGGAAACCGGGTTTTCCGCATCCGTAGGAACGCCACCACCCTTCAAGGATCAAGGCGCAGATGCAGCTCCTAAAGCGGTGTCCACCATAAGCAGACTACAATAGGCAGTCCGCTAAAACAGACTACTATAGACAGTTCACTATATGCAGTCCACTATAGGCAGTCCACAATATGCAGACTACGATAGGCAATCCGCTTAACATTCTACTATAGACAGTCCGCTATAAGCAGTCCACTATAGGCAGTCCACTATAAGCAATCCACTATAGGCAGTCCGCTAAAACAGTTTACTATAGGCAGCCCGCTATAAGCAGTCCACGACAGGTAGTCCACTATAGGCAGTCCACTATAGGCAGTCCACTATAAGCAGTCTACTACAAGCAGCCTACATAAGACTATTCAGTTGTGTTTCCATCTTGTGTCTAACTGCTGGTGCAGCATGCAGAAATAACTGCTATGTCCAGGTCATCTGATAGCGAGCTCAATGCACAGTGTGCTGCTGATCATGCCACTGCACTGTGGCTTCATAACAGCCACTGTGTAAACCACTCTGTATCGGTCATATGGAACCACTTCAGTCGTTGCCCATTGAATGCAATTCCTCTGGTCATAGCAATACCAAATCAGTTTCAAACTTCCGAATGGCCACTGCTGCCAGCTTGATACCCGTAATCTGTGCAGTGTAATAATATTATCGCCATCTTAGTACTGAAGTATTTGACCCCACTGATTTCCCTGATACCTAAGCGGTCAAATATATTGAACGCAGACTCCTTTTTTGGAGAAGATGATAATTGACCTCATAGTCGCCCTATGCATGCCAACTATACAGACCTTGTAAAAGACCTCGGGGGACCTCGATCCCTTATTCCGTCTATATAGCACGTATACTTGAAACCGCCACATCGGTCGATAATCTATAAATATCTGACTATTCGCACTAGCACCAGGTCTTCTAGACCCCAGCCTCAATTCACAACTTCAAAGTACAGTACATGTTAGTGCGCATGCACACACGCACGCGTACACACAAACACGCACACCCCCCCCCCCCACACACACACACACGCCTGTACATACCTAGTTGCTCGTTGTAATGATGTTGTCCACCATAGCGGACTCTGTACAACTGTTGCTGGGTGGGCGGACATGGGTGCTTGATTTAGGTTCATAGCAGCTGGCATGGAGAGCCCTGCCGGTGCAGGAACCTTGAAAATGTGAACAGCAAACCAACAAATAATTTAACAATGTGAACTTGCTCTGCACGAACTCAGATTCCACCCCAGGAGTGCAGTCAGATGTGCATGCGCGGTTGCTAAAGCAGCGCCATCTCTCTAACTGAATATTAAAGGCATCCAAAACAAACTACTCTACACTGTACAGGCATGTACATTTGCAGTGAAGCATTGATCCCATGCTGCAGCATAACACAAGCATCTATGATCGATATGATGTATGGCATACACACCCCGTTGACCACCTACAACCCTTCTTTTCTCTTACCCCATTCCCGGCTTCCTCTTGAATGCCGTGCAAGAAGTGCAGATCCCGGCCCCGCCATAAAAATGAATGCATTATCCCAGCCACCGGCACTTACCATTCCGCCTCCTGCGCTACTCCCTCGCATGAATTGCATCTGATGCATTGCTGATGGCGGCGGGGTGGACATGGCTGGAGAGTGAATGGACCCAAAGCTGGAGACTGCACACAAACATTCCGACAAGATTACCGATGGTGATGACAATGATGATGCAGCATCCGGAGTGCTCAACAACATAGACACACTGGAACTAAATACAGTCTGTATCCGCTATAGAGTGACCGGATATAAGAATATATCAGCTACAGTGATATTGGTACGAAGTATCAAAAGCAAAACGTATTTCATCCAGTAAAAATATCACTATAACCAATATTATCGGATGTAATGATATATCAGATATTATGATGGCAACAAAGAATCAAAACATGCATAACACACTATATTATTATCGGCTATAGTGATAGCTTTAAAATACCTGGTGTTCACGAGGTGTTTGTCGCGTTGGAAACAAAGCGTCTCTGTAAGTTGTATCCCTGGTGATGGTTTGGCCTGGAGAGCAGTATATAAGTGGTGCTTTTCAGGCACAATCTTCCTCAGCCTACTCAAGCTCAACTGATGAGGGGTGAATTCCCCAAAACACTGTGTATTGAGCAGGGAGTGGTGCTTTCCTTCAGGTTTGCCGAGCGGAAGGTGCGACGTGCTCCTCGTGTGCTCCGGATGGCAGTCGTGAGTCAGTCAAGTGTCAAGTTTGGCAAGAAGCATGTGCTCCTCGTTGGAGCAACCAACTTCATGACTAATACCGCCATAGTCGCAACTTCTAAGTTCGTATTGTTGTCTCTCACGCGGACGTGCAACTAGTTGTTGGAGGTGACAGCGTTGTGAATAGCTATACTGGCTCTCAACGTCTGTTTAGCACAACTCCATGAGCGACTCTGACTCACGCTGCTACCTGGGGCTTCACGAGGTGTTTGTCGCGCTGGAAAAAAGCGTCTCTGTAAGTTTGTATCCCTGGTGATGGTTTGGCCTGGAGAGCAGTATATAAGTGGTGCTTTTCAGGCACAATCTTCCTCAGCCTACTCAAGCTCAACTGATGAGGGGTGAATTCCCCAAAACACTGTGTATTGAGCAGGGAGTGCAGTGGTGCTTTCTTTCAGGCTTGCCGAGCGGAAGGTGCGACGTGCTCCTCGTGTGCTCCGGATGGCAGTCCTGAGTCAGTCAAGTGTCAAGTTCGGCAAGAAGCGTGTGCTCCTCGTTGGAGCAACCAACTTCATGACTAATACCGCCGAAGTCGCAACTTCTAAGTTCGTTTTTAAAATACATGTAGCAATAATATCAAAGGCCCTATTTTTTACTTTCTTCCCGTTGCTTATTTTTATAGTGATACATATACATGTACATACATACTGTAACAGAATTTTTTCATGGAAATGCAAGCACTGTTAACTATGTAGCATGCTCATTTGTCAAAACGCCATGCTGGAAGTATTTCCTTGCCTTTCATCTGTCGATCGAAAAAAAGAAGAAGAAAAATTGATCGTATCGCATTATAGTGATGCATGGGTTATAGTGATAAAATCAAGGAAATCAAAAGGGTACGCTATAGCCGATACAGACTGTAGTACTAAATACAAGTAGTTCACCGAGGAACTAGAATCCCCCGCCGACCCTGGCACAGTAACTAGGAGACAAGACATATTCTTGGAACAACTCAGAGATGGATAGGTTTCCATTCAAGCAACCACCATTTAAAAGAGTAGGGTTGATCTGAGTAATGTCTTCTAGCATGGCTCAGTACACCATATACTCCACACCAGAGTTGCAAAGCCAGCATGCAAGAAAGAATGCACGTGGGGAAGCTTGTGCATGCATGTATCTGCATTGCTCTACACGTGGAGTGGCACCGTAACCACGGTAATGCTGCATCTAACGCTATGTGTACTCCACTGTAGTGCTGAACCAGCAGAATGGCATACAGTTTAGAGTGTCCACATGCACACCATGCACACTGCGCAGGAAAACACTGATGTGTTGATAAGTCGATTCAAGCATAGGTACGCTGTTAGTTTTAAATTATTTTGCACTGATTGTGTGTGTGTGTGGGGGGGGGGGGGGAGGGGCACGAAGGAGGGTGCAATGTCATGCTATGCCACTTTGACTACAACCCAGCACAACACACCCTTGTTAAAAAAAAAAAAACATTTGCTCTTTCCAAGAAAGCTAGGCAGAGGATCTTCTGGCACTGTTGCCTGACCAGCTTACCAGCTTACCAGTCATGTTGGAGGGTGATTGTGGAGCCGGCTGAACCATTCCACCTGCCATGAAACTATGTATCGGAATGCCGATGAACAGAGAGAAGCACAGCACACAATCAGTCATGTTCACCTTAGCGAGTGCGACAGTGCATGGCAAGCCATCTTGCAAGACGAGATAGGAGCGCTGCGGGACCGGCGAACAGAGCAGTTTCTGATTGGTCCAGCCATACCCCCCCCCCCCCACCCCACCCCCTCGGCCTCGGCAGTTATCACCCGTTGTTGGCCAAAGAGTTGTTCCGGCCATGGCCTGACCACGGACCGGTTCTGCTGCCCCCTGTGCCATGCCCTGGGGATATAGCCAGTTGTCATAGCAACATGCGAAAGTGAAAAAGCGAAAGCCATACAGCCAGCCTTGCGACTAACCAGCCCTCGGTTGAGGATGAGAAAAGTGTCGTTATTTGTGAGGTTTAAAATATGCAGTCAAGTAGTCACTGCTTGTAGGTCTGAAGGTTGTGTCGTTATTCACGAGCTGTTCTTATTATACCCGAGATTAACTGCACATATACCACCTACTTTTCAACATAGGTTTGCGATGGGCGGCTCTGTCTACTGTGCCGCGGTGTTGCATCGACGCTGGAGAACACGTCGGAGCTTTGCCTGCTGCTTGCCGTGGTGGAGACTGACTCACGATGGGGGCTGTCCCTGTAGTGCTGCTGCTGCTGGTGGTTGTGAAACGGATAGCAACACACAGACACACAGTACAGTAAACACCTAGCAACACAGTCAGATAATACAGTAAACTGACTCCCCTAATCCGGGTTGCAGGTTGGGACCGAGCATTGCCAGTAACTAGGAATTGCCAGTAACTAGGAATTGCCAGTAACTAGGAATTGCCAGTAACTAGGAATTGCCAGTAACTAGGAATTGCCAGTAACTAGGAATTGCCAGTAACTAGGAACTGCCAGTAACTAGGAATTGCCAGTAACTAGGAATTGCCAGTAACTAGGAATTGCCAGTAACTAGGAATTGCCAGTAACTAGGAATTGCCAGTAACTAGGAATTGCCAGTAACTAGGAATTGCCAGTAACTAGGAATTGCCAGTAACTAGGAATTGCCAGTAACTAGGAATTGCCAGTAACTAGGAATTGCCAGTAACTAGGAATTGCCAGTAACTAGGAATTGCCAGTAACTAGGAATTGCCAGTAACTAGGAATTGCCAGTAACTAGGAATTGCCAGTAACTAGGAATTGCCAGTAACTAGGAATTGCCAGTAACTAGGAATTGCCAGTAACTAGGAATTGCCAGTAACTAGGAATTGCCAGTAACTAGGAATTGCCAGTAACTAGGAATTGCCAGTAACTAGGAATTGCCAGTAACTAGGAATTGCCAGTAACTAGGAATTGCCAGTAACTAGGAATTGCCAGTAACTAGGAATTGCCAGTAACTAGGAATTGCCAGTAACTAGGAATTGCCAGTAACTAGGAATTGCCAGTAACTAGGAATTGCCAGTAACTAGGAATTGCCAGTAACTAGGAATTGCCAGTAACTAGGAATTGCCAGTAACTAGGAATTGCCAGTAACTAGGAATTGCCAGTAACTAGGAATTGCCAGTAACTAGGAATTGCCAGTAACTAGGAATTGCCAGTAACTAGGAATTGCCAGTAACTAGGAATTGCCAGTAACTAGGAATTGCCAGTAACTAGGAATTGCCAGTAACTAGGAATTGCCAGTAACTAGGAATTGCCAGTAACTAGGAATTGCCAGTAACTAGGAATTGCCAGTAACTAGGAATTGCCAGTAACTAGGAATTGCCAGTAACTAGGAATTGCCAGTAACTAGGAATTGACCGTAACTCAGAACTTACATACTTACTGCGTGTGTCATGGCCCTGCGTAGACAGTACTACTCACCAATACTATAGTAGTGCTGCACACATTCATTATCAGCCTGTCACCTACCTCTACCGCGGCTCTTCATCAATGTTCTCTTCCTTTTGATTAGGATAGGGTTACCTCTCCTGTCGCCGGACCTAGACTATCCATTACCATAGAACTGTCAGCTATTGTCTCTGTTGCCGGTCCGCTGGTCTGCTGTTCCGCTTAGTTGCTTCGATTCATGATTAGCATTAGCTTCAATACTTAGATACATCACTCTTTGCTGAGTTTAGCACAGCTCACTACTCGTTCGCTGCTGCCTGCTCGATCCTTCCCTTCGTAGCCGCTCGCATAGATTTCAGCTAGTATAAGTTCGCTGACTTAGCCAGATATCGAGGAGTCTTGGATTAGTCTTGTTTGAGTCTTGTATGAGTCTTGTATTAGTCTTATTCTCTTTTATAGCTTTCTTGACTTTCTTTATAGGAGTTCCGCTGCCGCTCAAGCGGACTTGTCCGCTTGAGCCGGTGTGGCCTTTGACTTTGTAGTTTCTTACTGTTCCTTTGTTCCTTTACTATATCGGACCTGAGGGCTCCGCCACCCTGACTTCTCTCTGTGCTTTGGGTCTGAGGTACGCCTGAGTGGAACTACCAAGAGGCGCACATATACTTTGTGCAAACGGGCTTGGGATAACTAACACGTAGGGATGTGATAGAGTGGTCCCATGGTAACAGGACTTGGCCAAGCATGCGCATGCTCCAAAGTTGTTGCGCAATGATGTAGTGCCGGTTGTTGTGTTGAGCCCGATTTTGATGGCGGCTGGTATGTAGTCTTTTCCTTTTTGTACTTCCCGTTTCATGTTTGTTCAGTCCTAATAATTATAATATTCCCGTCCTATCCGGTTGTGTTGCTGTGGAGTCCGGGAGGAGAGTTTTCAGTCACAAGTGGTGCCGAAACCCGTTTGCTGAACCTAGTCTTATTCGTTTTTTTCTGACAGTGTTTTTGGTCGACGGCCTGTATAGTGATGGCGTCGGGTCCTCGCGTGGACAATTTGCTGCGACCTTTTCGGGGGCGCGATGATAATCTGGATGAATTCTGGCAGAAGTTCCAGGTGGTGGCAGGCATCCAGAAGCTTGAGTCGTCAGCAGCCCGGATGGCCGTACTCCCATTGTATTTGTCGGGTGATGCTTTCACTGTTTGGTGTGAGATGGCCAGTGGTGATCAGAAGGACGAGGCCAAGGTAAAGCAGCGGCTCGTGGAGTCATTTTCAGTCACCCCTGCCGATGCCTACCATCAGTTTGTCAAGCGGAGGAAGCGTGCGGACGAAACTGTCGACGCCTACTTGGCGGATCTTCGGCGGCTGCAACGGCTGAGTGGACACAAGGAGGCAGCGGACGGCAAGGACCCGATCCTCTTGGAGCAGTTCCTTGTGGGGCTTCCGCCTCACTTCGCCGTGCAGCTTCGTTTGGATGCAGCCTCTCAACCTGCTGGGGCTACGGTAAGCTCAGTTGCAGCCCAGGCCCGTGCCCTTTGTGCTGCGGGCAGCTTAGTCAAGGAACCCGTTGCTGCTCTGACAGCCAGCCCTGCTCGACGACCCAGTGGCAGTTCCACCCCTAGTCGCCTCTGCTATGAGTGTCATCAGACTGGGCATTTGCGGTGCGATTGCCCGAACCGGCAGAGACGTCCTCCTGTTTGCTTTCATTGTCAGCAGCCCGGCCATGTCAAGCGTCAGTGCCCTCAGCTGAAGTCTAGTGGTGGTGCCAGTTCTTCTCAGACGCCCACTAGTACCGCCTGTGCTGCGGGCTCGGGCTCGTCGACCACGGGCAATGCCTGCCTCAGTGTCGTGGCAAGTCCCTGTTCGTCGCTGCCCAGGATTCATGTCTATAGTGAGGGCCAGGCCAGGCTGCGTGCTGCCGTGGATTCCTGCTCTAGTAAGTCCTTGATCAGCTATCGCGTTGTCTCCGAGTTGGGTGTACCCGTTCAGCTCGTAGAGTCCAACCCGCGCATTACCGCCATCGATGGGCAGGAAGTTGTGGTGTCTGGGCAAGTCCGGTTGACTGTTCATCGTGACGATGACAAAGTGCACCTGCCTGAAGTTACTGCTGATTTCCTCGTTGTCGACACCTTGGATGTGGTTGACGCTGATATCCTTCTGGGACTGGACATTATCTCCTCCGTGGGTGGCGTGCACCTTGGTTATGCCCCCGATGGTGTCCTCGCAACCGTATGGTTTGGTCGCCCGCGTGATCCGTCAACTGCATCCGATACCACGTCCGAGTCTGACAACCCGGAGAGCTCCGCTAAGTTGCCACGCGATGTCTCTGTGTCACGAGATGGGCCGAATGTCACCCTGTCCATGGGTGATGCTGAGGTCGCCTTCGACGCCGAGCGTGGTTTTTGGGAAGTCCAATGGCGTTGGTCGGCAGGCGCACCACCGCAAGCCCCTATTGGCTCTGGTATTGGCGAATACTCCCGCCAGAAGTTGTCACCGGAGCAGGAGGCCAAGTTCCAGGCCGAGATTGACCTTTGGCTGGCGGAGGGATGGCTTGTACCGTATGATGCTGATCGACATGGTCCACCAGGCGCCGTACTGCCACTGTTGGCTGTGTGTCAGGAACATAAGCCTACCACACCCGTGCGTCCGTGTTTGGACTACCGTGCGCTGAACGTTCGGATCATCTCCAGCCCTGGTCGGGAGGCACCCGCGTGCCCTGAGAAGCTTCGCGAGTGGCGGCAACGGAAAGGCGCGTCCAAGATTGTCGACATCCGTAAGGCCTTCCTGAATGTTCGCATCCACCCAACCCAGCAGCGGTTCCAGATGGTCGTTTGGCAAGGACGACAGTACGTGATGGAGCGCATGGGCTTTGGCCTTGCCATTGCGCCGAAAGTCTTGGACACTATTGTGAAATGGGTGACCCGTGACTTCACCGACACCGATAATTACATTGATGACATCATCACGCCGACAGATCAGGCGGAGGCCCTTGCGGACGCGCTGACCGCCCATGGATTGCCTACGAAACCTGCTGTGGACGTTGATGCGACTCGCGTCCTTGGTCTGCAGACGCACGATGGCCAGTGGGAGCGACGCGAGCCACTGCAACCCCCTCCTACCCAGATGACTAAGCGGAATGTATTCCAGTGGTGTGGTCAACTGACTGGTCATTATCCGGTCTGTGGCTATCTGCGCCCTTTGGCTAGCTGGCTGAAGCGCTTGGCGTCTGCAACAACGGATGCCTGGGATGCAGCTGTCCCCCAGGAGTTGTGCGACCTTTACCACGATGCGGCAAAGCGTGTGGAGGGCGACGACCCTGTTCATGGAGCCTGGACTGCGGACGATCCCCAAGACTGGCGTGTTTGGTGCGACGCCTCCAGCATTGCCTACGGTGTCGTGCTCGAAGCTGATGGTACTGTACTCGAAGACCAGTCGTGGCTCCGCGTTGCCACCGATAAACGCCACATCAACGTTGCCGAGCTAGATGCCGTGGTAAAGGGCCTCACTCTCGCGTCGTCTTGGTGTATCCCGAAGTTGTGCATCATGACCGACTCCCAGACGGTGCATGGGTGGCTGCGTTCTCTGTTCGACAACATCAAGCGGGTTCACGTCAGTGGGTTGCACGAAGTCCTCGTGCAACGCCGGCTGCAGGTTATTCTCGATATCGTCGACTCGTCCGGCATGAGTGTTGACGTGGTCTGGGTACCCACACAGCAAAACATTGCTGATCAGCTCACACGTGTCCCACCGCCGTTCCTCCGCTTTGCCCGCCAGACTGCGAAGATGTCTGGCCCGATTGGTGATGCCGATGTCGTTGGCGCCGCTGTCGCTGATGATGCCGCCTGGCGTGTCCTAACCCTGGGCGAGATTGCCGCGGCGCAGCAGCAGGACGAGGTGATTCCGGTTGTCGTCGAGGACCTTGTGGCCGGCCATGCTGTCCGTTCGCCGGCATTCCAGCGTGTTCAGCAGCAATTGACCGTCGTGGATGGCGTGCTGATGCGGAGCGTCAAGCTACCCCCTAACGAGGTCATGTCAGTACCAGTCGTGCCGAATGACATCGAAGAGTTCGTTCTTCGGGGTGCCCATCAACAGACTGGCCACGCCTCCTGGGAGGTCATGTGGCGGTTTCTCCGGGGTGTCTGTTACTTCCCCAACATGGCCGAGAAGTGTCAGGACTTCATCCGCCGCTGTCCCCCCTGTACGGCTGCAAACCCTCGTGGTGGCCCCGGTGTGCCACCGACACGACCTGTCTCCGCCAACGGCCCCTGGAGTGTTGTCTCCATCGATACCTTGGAGCTTGGTGTCAGCCGTTCTGGTTACCGCTACGTACTCGTCTGCATCGACCATTTTACCAAGTGGGTCGAAGTTGTCCCGATGAAGCGCCACTGTTCAGCGGAGGTCGCTGCTGCCATGGTCTCTATCTGCTCACGATGGGGCGCGCCTGAGGTTGTGCGTAGCGATAATGGCACTGAGTTCGTCAATGCCATTGTGTCAGCCCTGTTCAAGTCCTTTGGCGTCACGGTCCAGCGGGGCGCTGTTCGACATCCCCAGTCACAAGGTTCTGTGGAACGTTTCAACCGGACGCTGTTGACGATCATCCGCAAGACGCTCGAGGATGATGACGACTGGGAGACTGCCCTCGAGCTTCTGTTGTTCCACTACCGTTCTCGCCCGCACACCGCTACGAAGATTAGCCCGATGGAAGCCATGCACGGCTGGCAGCCTCACCGTCTTCTCATCGAACAAGATTCCACTGAACTGTCCGACAGCGCCTGGGTGGACAAGTTGCAGCGGAAGTCTGCCCGCCTGCGCGATCACCTCGAAGTTGAGCTAGCACGGCTTGACTTCCTCGATGCTCCTGTGCCCGAGTGTCCATACCCCGTTGACACTGCCGTCCTTCTTCGGCGTCCGGAGCGGCATTCGAAGATTCTCACCCCCTTCGAATCTGGATGGCACGTAATCCGCATCATCTCCCCGTCGACAGTCCGTATTGCCACAGCTGATGGTCGCTCCAAGCTGGTGAACGTGGATTTGCTGAAGAGAGATCCACAGGCTCCTGATGCGCATGGCCCTGCCGACGCGCCGGCGGCAGTGGAGGCTGACGACCGGGACCCCGTTGTCCAGCTCGTGTTGCAGACGCCCCCCGTACATGATGCCATGCCTGACACGCCCGTCCATGGCTATGGTTTGCGCGACCGTTCCAGTCTGCAGGTCCCTGGTCGGTTCCGTACGTAACTCACACCGTTGTGTTCATTTACTGCATGTGTCATTCTGGACTTTTTCGTGTGATGGTACATTGCACCATATGCTTTGTGGCTGCTCGTGCCGCATCTATTCTGGTTGCGTGGGTATTCTCTTTTCTATTCGGTTCCGGTATGGTTGCCCTTCACTTGCTGTTTGCCATCTTTTATGTATATCCGTGTGTATGGTCCATCTGCGAGACCGTTGTCTTCTTTCCCGCATTTTGTGTCCCTTCTTTCCACTTTTGTCCCCTTGGAATGTTTCTTTGCCCGTTCACTTTGGTGATACAATTTCCCTGTTACCAGGCGGAGGAGTGTGATAGAGTGGTCCCATGGTAACAGGACTTGGCCAAGCATGCGCATGCTCCAAAGTTGTTGCGCAATGATGTAGTGCCGGTTGTTGTGTTGAGCCCGATTTTGATGGCGGCTGGTATGTAGTCTTTTCCTTTTTGTACTTCCCGTTTCATGTTTGTTCAGTCCTAATAATTATAATATTCCCGTCCTATCCGGTTGTGTTGCTGTGGAGTCCGGGAGGAGAGTTTTCAGTCACAGGGACGATCAGCCAGCCACGACACGTGCAAGTGAACAATTTTCTATGCCAATCAATAGTTTTTGGACTCGGATACTGAGCCAGTAATACATGTAAAAAGGAGAAGAAACACACGAGAACGAGTTATGCAGCAACTATCAGGCTTTTTTACAATAGTTTTTAGGGTCATGTTTCGGTGGAAAGCCAGTTTTTGTGACTCTAGTAGAGTAGATGGGTCAGAAAGATGCCAGGTAGACGAACGTGCCTGGATTGGGGACGTTCGGATCTGGGGAGTTTACCTGCACTGGAATTTGACCATGTATTTATATCCACAAGACATAGAGTGCTCACAAGAGGGGCGTCCCATAGACTATAATTATTACTACATTTCTTAATGTAGCCTATCTATGTCAGACCCCATTATGTCGTGTGTACAGATGTAAGCGATGCAATGTTGACAAGAGGACACCCCTGCCTGGCACACGTGCATGTATGCTACTCACCACACTGTTGGCGAGCTGCAAGTACTTCTTGACCACGCGATACTGCTCGTACAGCGGGCGCATCAACTGCCGCTCGGCCTCAGAACTCTGCGGCGTGGTAAAGATACACACGGGCACAGAATTATATCATAATCATGGAAAGCCCCGTTGCGAACACATCTTACCAGCTGAATTGTTCACTGTGACGTCAACGTAAGCATACAACTGATCTGAGCAAACATCCCAATCAGACTTACTTTTCAACATAAATAGATCATGGGAAGCTGCAAGGCACACATGATTCAGCATTCAGATATAGAACATGCTCGCAAAGCTCACCGGCCGGCCAAACTGGGCTTCGTACTGCAGCAGGCACTTCTGGATGTTCTTCTTCTCTGACAATAGCTGGTCACCGGTCATATCCTGCAAAACAGCGGGAAGAACATGTAGGTGAGTGATGGGCACAGCGTGTAACTGTACACCCACTGGTCAGTACATCGGGAACTCGTGACCTGGCATAAGGCTTAGGGTAGCATGAATGCAGAGAATGGGGTCTTCTGTCCTGGACCACTTTGTGGAAGATCTGATGTCCTCCTCCTCCTCCTCCTCCTCCTCCTCCTCCTCCCCCGGCCTTGGTAAACCGGCTTGGCAGCTTGTGTACAGGTACCCGGGCGTGATGTGTTTGCATCACTGGAGAGTTGCTCTAGCTGAACGCCAGTGCACATGTCATTTGCCTATAGAATGACTGACATACTCTGCTCACCGTCAGTGGTTTTCTATTCACGGTTCTACCAACCTCTTCCCAACCAGTTACATACTTAGCTCACACTGTGTGGCCGGTAAGTGCTGAAGGTTGCAATGCCACAGTTGGACAGCGGCACATGCAGTACTGTGTTAAGTTTTAACCTCCAGCCGAGTATACATCACTTACTTTGAATTCACTGGGCCGGTTTGCCAAGGTCCGCTTCATCGCCAACTTAGAGGTAATGTAGTTCACCACCTTGCAAATCTGCTCCTCTTGCGTATTCGTCGGCGTGCAGCTTGGTCTTGGCCGCCGGGGATCTAAAAGACAGAACATCATAGAGTCGGTCCCAGACATGAGTGACATTGCTGCAAAGAATCGCCGTGACTTTTGACCATCCAGCGACACCAGTCATGAAGCTAGGCGATGCAGTGAAGGTGTGCCACATCAATAATATCTGTGTACAAGTACATTTTCGCAAGTACAAGGCTGGGCTGTGTACTGCTACATGACATGCAAGTACAAGGCTGGGCTGTGTACTGCTACATGACATGCAAGTACAAGGCTGGGCTGTGTACTGCTACATGGCATGCAAGTACAAGGCTGGGCTGTGTACTGCTACATGACATGCAAGTACAAGGCTGGGCTGCTTACTGGTACATATATGTGAATACAAGACTGGGACTTGCTACCAAACTCACCATACTGATTGCCATGAGCCTTGGCAGAAGCACTGCTCCAGCGACCCTTCTTACTGGACATTGATGGGTGGTAATCGCTGTATGCATCCGATGCACTTCTAACAAGCACAGAAGCACAGTGCATGGTTATGTCGTCACCGTACCTACGTGTGCGTACAGGGCATTTGCATGCATGCATGTGTGTGTGTGTGTGTGTGTGTGTGTGTGTGTGTGTGTGTGTGCGTGCGTGCGTGCGCGCGTGTGCAATGTTTTGTATAGATGTGAATGTCGCGCACATGAAAACAAACAATGCTCGTAGCATGTCCATGTCACTGCGTATGGAGTGCAAGCCACAGTCTCTGCACATGCTAAAGCCAGTGGTATCACCTACAACACAGGTGCAATGGCCCCAGCCTACGTCACGGCCCGGCAGGAAGATGACATGAGCCAGGGGAATGCAAAGCAATGTGGGCTTCTCTTCGGAGTTTCCTGGATCAGTAACCCTTGCCGCACAAGGGCTGATTCATGCAAGCAGGCATATGACCTCATTGGTGTGGACCGCACTTGGGGTCAGCAAGTCCAGCCATATATGGCGTACATGTACAGTCCTGCTCAATGCAATCCAGTTGCGTGAGTCAAGTTTGCGCCTTGCACAATTTCGCTGCCCAGTGTTCGCAGGTCTAGGGCTGCACAACGCCCAGCGTGTACTTGAGTGCATTGACTGGATTTCATTGAGCAGCACTGTAGGTCATAAGTCCCATAGGACCTCTAAAACTAGGGGTCAAAACGCATTAGTTTGAGTACTATTGTAGTCAGACATGAGACTCTTAATCTCAGGGTCGTGGGTTCGAGCCCCACGTTGGGCGCCAAATGTAGTCAGACAGAGCCCCCCCCCCCCCCCCCCCGCGACCAGTCAGACAGAGCACCTTGAATGTTCGGGTTAGCACGTAATCTTACTTGGCCTCTTATTACGGATAAGGGGACAAAGGAAAGGTACAGGGTGAAACGACAAGAGTACTAAAAGGCAGAAACCACGAGAGAGAGAATAATTACGGATCTAGCACGAGGAGCTGCGACGACTACAGCCAAAACGGAAGACTGGGACACGGCGCAGGGCCACGAGTTATCAACAAAAAACGGACCCAGGCACGGACACGTAATCTTAGCAGTATCCAGTAACCAGGCAAACACGTGCAGACAGCATGCAGCTACACTACGGACAACACTATGGTCTCGTGTAGTCTCCCTAGTTGTTGCAACATCAACTGGCCAACATGGGCTGCCATCCCACACTGAAGAAGGCAGAAGACCATCAATTGCGTCTACAAGAGCATTTAGCTGCCATGGAAATGCCTCCCCATCACAAGAAAACACTCATCCCGGTCTGAAGCCGGAAGCACTCTAGAACATCATAGTAGCGATGGTCAGTACTGCTTACCGTTGCCCATAGGCAGAGTGCTGCCTTGATCCACTAGAGCGCGGTGTGGAGTTCCTGGACGAGAAGGCCACCTTCGCGCCTGGCTCCTCGTTAGCGGCGCCGGAGTCTGCACCCACACATACGGATGACATGTACTATATTTGGTAAGCACTGAACTGCAGGCTACATTGTAAAGAGACTGTCTGCAATCTAAACAGGAGTGCCATGATTTTCAGGATTATGCAAACGTTTGCGCAAGGCAAACTGAAAAATGAACTACGTGTAGACGGAGAAATCCATTGAAGGATAGGCCTAGTTGACAAGCTGCATTTAAACTGAGTGTGTGCTACAATTCCTAACGTATTAACTTTGAAGTATACTCACCTCTATTGGAATGGCGGCCAGAGGATGACGCAACTTGCCGATTGTACTGAAGCTCACGGAGTAGCTGCAGCAGATCAGCATCTAGCCGAACTTCATCTTGCGTGTCCTGTCGTCGTTTCTGTACAGCAAGGAAGTGAACAAGCAGTGTGCACACATGTACAACATTAGACTGAACATCATACAACAGGCTTGCGTAGGTAGGTTGGTCAAGGAGGAATGCATGCTGACAAGTTGGTGGGAGAGTATGGCAAAGGACAGGAGTCTACTTGTGCAGTGCTCCAGGAACAAGCACTACTGACATGTTTAGGTGGAAAAAGCTAAAATGCAAGAAAAGGTCATAATGTGCTTGACTGGGAAACACTTGCAAGGATTGCTGGCTTCCAGATCCAAAGCCGGTAACCAACCGTGTCAAGCAATACCAACGACTGTATTTTATCACTGTTTCATAGACCCAGCTCATCATCGGCTAAGAATGATCTCTTGTCAACTTGGTGAGCAAAGCCTAACCGTTGGTTCCAGATGAAAGCACATCAGCAATACACTTGAATGTTGGCCGGATCATATCAACTGACTGCTGGACAACTCAACGGAATCATCCGTACTTACCCTCTTGTGCCCAAGGTATCGTCCAGTTTCCTCCGAGTCTCTGCAACTTTCAGACTACAGCATGAAAAGGCACAACATGTATGGTCACGTGGAGCAGGCAGGATAGGCAGGGTTGACCACCGGATAGTCTACGTCTTGCTTGTATTTTGATCAAGCAACATTACCTGCGTTCCTCGCTATTATTTACTCTCCCCCCCCCCTTCCTCCTCCTCCCCTCCTCCCCTCCTCCCCTCCTCATGGTTTTACTGGATTGTGGCGCACTATGTCTGCGTAGATGCCGAGACCTTCAAGGTCGGCAGAGCAGCCTGGCCCCACCACCACTTCTCACGCATATTCGGGAATATAGTGGACTTTTGTATTAAAAAAAACCCAAAAAAACCTGCATCTAACCTAACCTGCGTTCCTCGCTATTATTTACTCTCCCCCCCCCCCTTCCTCCTCCTCCCCTCCTCCCCTCCTCCCCTCCTCATGGTTTTACTGGATTGTGGCGCACTATGTCTGCGTAGATGCCGAGACCTTCAAGGTCGGCAGAGCAGCCTGGCCCCACCACCACTTCTCACGCATATTCGGGAATATAGTGGACTTTTGTATTAAAAAAAACCCAAAAAAACCTGCATCTAACCTAACCTGCAGTACAGTTTTCACTACGGCTGACACCTTAATCTGTTACAACAACATCCTAACAGCACTGGAAGCACACCAATCTATTGCAATATATCCCCTGCTTTTCACCATGCAGATAGTCTTGCTTGCCCAGATTCACCATTCACACATGATAAGAGCGTACATTCAAGCTTCCCAAGGATATCCTTCACCACATGTCCGCAACGGAGTCTTGCTGCTACAGACATGCCCGGTTTGGGCTCTTCCCAACATAGCTGTGGCGTGTAGTACAAACTTACATCGCCGTCATCAGCGAGCTCCAGTGGTGGCAATGACTGCACTTTCCTCCTGAGCACGACACAGCGCAGTACATCCATCAGAGGCAGATTATCAGAGTGCATGACTGTACAAGTAGATATGCGGCAGGGGATGGAATCATGATCGCCACACTACCAATACCATGCTGATCAATGAAATCTGGCCACCGTGAGTCAGCCAGCACCAAGGACTATGCACCCCCCCCCCCCCCCTCCAGGCCTTTAAACAGTGGGCTGTGCTCTGGTGCACAGCGCTAACTGGTTCATGAGCCGAGACTTGATACAGCAAGACTGCTTGTAGATTGTAAATGTGGAGGCAAAACATGCAGGGAAACGCTCCAAAGAGACTGGAACCTTACGCTTCTTTCTATCAGACGTACGCGTGTATGCATGCCCTGGGGTTCCGGTATATGCAACCTAATACCATCATCTCCACCCTCGCGTACCGTACTTGTACTCTAATTCAGCGAAACACTTCAGATTCCGTACCACAGCACAAGCACCTGCGCAAAGTCTGAATTGGTGCCAACACCGAGCTGAAATTTTATTGGACCAGAATTGTGTTCATTTATGCTAGCAGGCTAACCAGTTGCATTACATACCGTTCGATCGATGACACGCGGGGTAGCCTCCGGGCAACAACAGGTGGATACCGGAAGGATGCCTAGGAAAGCATGCGCCCAAGACAAGAAAGGACAGTGACATTACATCACCATGAACTAAACATGGTAAAAATGCCGAACGAGGCAAAAGTGCACTTGAAACAGTCAACCGATGATCAGCCACTTCGAAGCAATAAGTTCCTTCAAAAATGTTTTACTCCTGGCACGTGCCGAGCAGTATCCAAGACCCTTCACAGAGTCAGTCTGCATCATCACTCCTCGAGCTGTCAGTGTCACGAGTTCGGCAGGAAGCATGTTTTCCACGTAGGAGCAACCCACTTCATCACTAATACTGCCGAAGCCGCTACCTCTAACTTCACAGATCAGTTCAGATAATTATTGGATTGGATATGGAATTATGGATGCCTGCAACAGCCTTCACAGCAGACACCTTCCCAAAAATCAGGTAATACAACAGAACCAACATGAGCGGGAGTGCATACCAGGTCCGGGTTCATGATAAACCTAACAACTATATACTTCAGTACTACAAAGGTCAAAAAGAATGGTTACACCAATTATATATACATACGCTGTAACGCTGCATTTCATGCACGTAGCTAAATGCTAAGGCAATCATCAGACAGCAATTGCCTTAGCATTTAGCTACGTGCATGAAACGCAGCGTTACAACGTATGTATATATAATTGGTGGAACCATTCTTTTTGACCTTTGTGGTTAAGCTCCGCCCTTGTGGTGTTGAGCACTGTTGAAACCTGGGTATACCGACTTATGTACTTCAGTACTAGGTAAACAACGCTGATTCTATCAATGTAATGTTCCTGGAGAGTACACAGTTGTTCTCAACAGCTGACATTGGCACTGCTATACGGTACAAATTTACCCCCCCCCCCCCCAATCGACTGTGTAATCCGGGTACAATAGGCACAAGTAGTGAAACACTCCATACTACAATCGGGCACTGCATGGCATGGCAGGCTGCACTGTGACTTGGTGATGCTTGGGATGCATGCTTGGCATAACAGGCACCACCACCATAGTACTCACGGCTCGTGCACTGCCGCGGCGCAGTCCTGCTCGCTTTTCCGCCGACTTAGGCCGATCATCGGTCCTCCTGTCTGCGTCGTCACTTCTGGAGCTAACAGACAGCATGTTGATGAAGGAGTCATAAAATTAAAGGAGTCATAAAATTAATGATGAAGGGTGGTCCTATAAGCCCATTTTGCAATGACTTAATTTGTACCATAAACACCCCACACAGCCATCTGGGCATGGTCGTCTGGGGGTGTTGAACAATGCATTGCTGATCCCAGTGTACTCACATGCATTACTCATGCAACCCATATTTGGCAATGCGCAATGGACTTATTTATATTTTTTCATATGTGACCAAGAGTGCATAACTCCCTAGAGTGTCCATTCGCTTGCACATCTCAGTCTATCCAGTGCTGCGGCGGCTGTGACAGCTAGTGGGTACGGTTTGTCACGTGATGCGCAGATCTGCCGTCGCAGACCCCGTAGACTGGGAATCACACAACCTCGGGCGTTAGTTACTCTTGATGTGCCCCAGCAGTGACAATCTCCACTCCTTGCATTCAGTTCTTCTGAGTGTATTGAAATGGACATGCATATGGACACCAATGAAACGTAGGTTGACTTGATGGTAGAAGTGTGCTCTGCTGATTCAGACACCTATCCTATCCTGGGAGTTGTTGGACAAGCATTCTGAACAAGATTGCAGCGCAGTGTGTGCACATACCTGGACCCACTCCTTGACCGTCTGCTTCTGCTGGGAGTTGAGCGTGCCGGGGAGCCGACTGAGAACGAGTGCGGGGATCTGCGCGGCAGTCGGGGAACGACCTTCTGCTCATTGTGGACCAGCGGGCTGAACTGTTTCCGTGCCGCTCGGGCATCGCTTCTGAGGCTCCGTGCTCGCTGCACGTGGGCACCGGCTGTCAGAGTGATCTCATCGGCTGGGTTGGAGAGCTGATAGTGGAACGAGTCATCTGACGAAGCACCTGCGTATTGCTTGTTCGCTGGCGGTGCCTTCTGCCGGCGGCTGCCTTCCCTGCTGCTACGTGTGAACATGTCCAGGTTTCTGTACCCCACCGAGTCGGGAGTTTCGGACGCAGAGCGAGGAGGTGAGTCTCTATCGCGGCCTGGCCGATACGCTCCAGTCGTCTCCCCGCTGGTTTTGACGGGTGTCCCAGACTCCAAAAGGCGAATGATGTCGTCAAGGAGACTGGACCCGGTAGACGAATAGCCGGGCGAGGAGGTTTCACGCTCCTGTTTAAAACTCCGCTGCGACTCCTGCTGCTGCTGCTGCTGCTGCTGGTGGTGGTCATCTAACCGCCGCTTTGTATCCTCCAAGAAAACGGATGGTATGGCAACACGCGGGCGTCGACTCAAATTCCTGGAGAAGCCAGCAGAGCGGCTTGGAGTTGAATCGTAGAGATCATCAGCGGATATTGATGCATCGGTGTCATCCAAGGCGCCAGCAGTGGTTGTGCTTTGCACAGCCGTCTCCCACCGATCCACGGCATTGCGAACACGGCCAGGCAACACAGCGGAGTAGCGCTGGGGACCCGTTCTTGCCGATCTCCATGGCGACACGTCAATGTCTATTGGGCCGATGCTTGCCGCTGCCAGTTGCAATGCACGGACACGCATATACATAACACACATACACACACGGACATACATACATACAAACGTACACACAAACATACATACATGCATACACACATACACAATGTTGAACGGGGATTTTACCTTTCCACAAATACACACACACCACATAGAAAATAGTCTAGGGAAGACTACTGCTCTTCACATAGCAGGTACTCTAATATTCAAAAATTCACTAATACTTCAATCTAGTCCTGTGCATATTCAGAAGTGGGCAAAACACCAGACTGTACACAAAAAAATGAAAAATCTGTCACAAAGAACTTCATATCCACAGAAATGCCTTTCAGCTCCACTATAAGCAGCTCTTGTGAACTCAGGACGCACACGGCTGCCTACAGGGGTATTCCATTACACTGCTGGTACAAGGTGCCAATTCAAACATACCACTGGGCTACAGCGGTGGGTCTGTATTGTTGCCAGGAGTGGTCGGCGTCTGCCAAGAAACCATCGTGTATATTCTAGCACTGTAATCAATATTCCAGTACATCATGTATATCATATTCAAAAATGTGCATAGTGCTAAGACCCCCCCCCCCCTTACAAGTTACAAGTAAGGTGGAACAGAATTCTATTGCAACTTAGAGTTTCACGTTTGCGTGATCATCAGGCAAAATTAATTAGGTGTGAACAGAGAGGACTTCATAGTGGAAGATCCAGCTCAAATGGCGGAGTGGTTGACCAGTGAGAGATGCATTTGTGTTTACCTTCCCTGTTCGACCCAGCAGTACTTGATACGCTACTTCCTGGCTGGTAGTTATAGGGTAGAGGGGACAGCTTGTCGTAGTAACTGGCGCAGCTGGAGTTGCTGTTAACACCACTGGAGAAGAACACAGAAGTACAGTATTTACAAGAAATTTACATAGGATATGTAGACGATCGCTACAGTTCGAGTCTTGCTAATTCTCCCAAGCTTTGCATATGCATAATGGGTCGATTGAATCGTTTTTTATGCATTTACCGTAAAGTACCGCCAGAGCGCCCCCACCATCTCGTCCTTTCGTGGTCGTATTGTGGAGGTGGTGTCCTGTCTGTAGGTCACACGACACGAACCTTGTACACACATTACACGTTGTGCAGTCAATCCGTACTCAATTTACCTTCGACCGGACACGAAATCCACACAAAAGCCTGCTAAGTGTGACCTTAGTACACTAAGGTTCTCACACCGTACAAACTTTGTTGCACTCTGCCATACGATTTTCCTTTCCCTGGCTGTAAAATCAAGGTGGGGCGCTCTCGCAAGACGGGGCGCTCTGCCGGTACTTTGCGGTAATAAACCTTTATCATGGAAAGCAAGATTGTGCCTTCTGAGCTAATTAATGTTTTTGAGAAGAACATCATTTGTAGTATCATTGTAATTTATTATTCTTTTATTCCAAGATGGCGTGACGCCAATAAGGATGATTGATAAGTGCGATAGAACTGGTACTAGCCAGAAACAGCTAGATGGAAATCAACCGGGGAGGCAAGAAGCAATGGATCATGAAAAATCAGCGGGGGCAATAACGTTAGCAGGGGTGATCGAGATAGTTAAGTACACATTCGAGATATCAGAAACCAGGGGGATGCGCGGAGCAGGAACAGGTACTGCTCAAAAGAAGACTGGATGCATTGTTTCGGAAAGAATTTCTACGAGGTTGGGTTGTGATGTCGATAGGGAGTGAGTTGTAGAGGGTGAGGGCACTGTTGATGGGGGAATCTCGATGCCTGTTTGTGTGTGCGTGTCAGATGGAGTAGGTCCTTGTCTGTCGAAGGGTGTATGGTTTGTGTTGACGTTGTGGTGCACGATGTGGCTGTTGCAGGTGTGGTGGGGAGGTTTGGTGGTGGATGTCCCATGCTAGTAGGACTTGTTTACTGACAAGGAGTCGTGAGCTAAGGGTGGGGAGCTTTGCATGATGGAGGAGGGACCTGTGGTGAACTGGTGCAAAGAGGGGAATCCGAAGGCAGATGCGTATAGCACGGCGTTGAATTCTCTCCAGTGTGTCCCGCTGTTGCTGTGTGGTGTTGGAGAGGGCAAGGCTGCCATATTCGAGAACGGGTCGGATGTAGGTCGTGTATATTAACTAGTGTTGAAACGAATAATCGAATAATCGAATAATTTAGAATATTCGTGGGGTGAACGAATAATCGAATAGTCGTAGGAATTATCAGAAATCGAAAAAAAAAAAAAAAAAAAAAAAAAAAAAAAAAAAAAAAACGATCTATGCTCGGTGCTGACCCTACTGATATTTGTACTGCGTAGATCTGCTCGTAGTATTTCTTCTCAATCTCTTCTCCTCCAAGTTTTAATCTCCTATCGGTATCTAGTAATACTTCTGTTCTTTCCATACGAGGGAAACATGGATGCAGTGAAGATCCAATTACGCTCGACCAAGACCCTATGCAGAGCTGGGTCAGGCGTTGCACACTCTGGGGGGTTATGTACTCTTGGCGGTACAGGTTAACCGGTTTTGCACCTCCACATAACAAAATCCGATAATCAGCAAACATTTTTTTTAAACTGCTTAAAAAGTGCTGAAAAAGTGTTGAAAAATGCCATCATGCGTATGATAGAATATAGATTATTCGTTCGATGGAGGGCGAAATTATTCGATAGATTATTCGTTCGAAGAATCCGTGTTCGGTTTAAACACTAATATTAACAATAGGCTGGACGCGTTCATTGTGCCACGTGTCTTGTGGAGTTGGTGTAGTAGTTTTTTGGCTTTGTTGGTGGTTTCTATGATGTGTTGGGTCCATGGTATTGGTATGGTATGGTATTGATTTATTTGAATTTGGTATCTCAACAGTACAATGTACAACTAAGATCCGAATGACATACATACATAAACATAAAAGTGGAGTAGGTGCTACAGCTGATCATTTTATCGCAGGTTGTGGGACTAAACTAATACCAGTATGCAAGTACGCAAGAAATAAAAGCTGAATAAATACGACTGCATGACATTGGAGAAAAGCACCAAGTAGAGCAAAACAAAGCGACCCCATCGCATATCGTCTTGGAGTGTAACACCAAGGTGCCTATGTTGGTGGACCTGCTGCAGCCGAGTCGAGTGGAGCGTGATGTGGACGGTATGTTGGGGTTGGAAGGAAAGGACGACGGTTTTCGTGGTGTTGACGAGGAGATGCCAATCCTTCAACCATCGTCCTGCTGCGTCCACGGCACGTTGGAGGAATGCAGCTGACAAATCCCTCGTGTAATGAGTCGCGATGAGTGCCGTGTCATCGACGAACTGGCTGCATTTGGTGTGGGAGTTTGTACATGCTGGGGGGAGGTCGATCGTGTACACCAGGAAAAGAAGAGGCCCCAGGACAGAGCCCTGGGGTACTCCAGCTGGAATGGCTTTCCATGATAACAAAGCGGAGCCAACCTTGACGTGTTGTCGGCGGCGAGTCAGGTAGCTTGTAAGCCAGGTAAGGGCAATGCCACGGACACCAAGGTGCTCGAGTTTGGCCAGGAGGCCAGCATGCCAGACTCGGTCAAAAGCCTTTGATAAGTCAAAATCTGGCTTCTCTCGCTCATTTCATATGTTTAGTTGTTATCTTTTTTAATTTGCTTCTTCGGTGTTCATTTGTGTACTGTATGCAATGAGGGTAGGACCTACACTTAAATAGCAGTCAGTCTCACCAGAGGTTTGGGTGATTGACATGATACTCCATAGCCGGCGGTCGGGAGTTGGACATGGTGGAGTGTTGCGAGGCCTGGCGGTGGACGGACTGGCGACGGGACGCTGCAGTCTCGCCGTGCCATATGTCAGATGTTCGACTAAGGCGCTGCTGCTGCTGTTGCTGCTGCTGCAGTCGCCGGCTGCTGCTATCAGCAAGGCAGGACCGCTCTGCCAGCAATACAGAGTCAGCACTGGCCGGTCGTGGCTCGTCCAAGCTATCGCATGATGATGTGGGTACACTGGACAAGTTCAACTCCTACGCAGGGTGCGAGAGACATCATGTGTAAACGAGTATAGCAGCTCATAATCATCTGCTCTGGGTATATATCAGAGTAGCATTATACAGCATACACCAACGCAATGGAGTGGTATCCAACAATGATACTCCACTGGAATATTGCACTGCACACAGTCCACGCAGAAGAGATTTGTGAAGCACTCATACTTATATTCACCACTAGTATAACAATAATAAAACATGCATCACCATACAGTCTAGACATCCGTGCACTGGGAAGACCTTTACACACTACACACTCTAAAACAAGTAGTCACATTACGAAGAGTCAACGGACTCCACGTTACGACCTGGCTGTGATAAAGGTGGGCCAGTCAACTGGTACACCAGAAAGTGGAGAGCCATTGCTACATGGGTGATATTCTGATATTCATGCGTGCACGTTCGAAGCCAGCGGTGACAGACGTAGCAGTAAAAGACAAGTCTTGAAGCACTAACTTGTAAACAGGGCACTCACCGTGAATATGTCTCCGTGGTACATGATGAACTTCTCCACAATGTGATTCGTGTAGGTTTGCTCTTTCAGACCTTCCAGGCCTCCCGAACACCTTCAGAAGCAATATAGTTATGAAGCAGAATCGCAATGTGCATACAGCACCAGTGAGGCCTTTTAAGACTGACACACATGACTCCTCACCTGCTCCCCTCCTCCCTCACTGCCTTTTTCCACTTGCTTCATACCCCGGTAGATTAGCCTGAACGTTACAGTTGCCTGCTGGCCCTGCCGCTAGCAACATAGGTGTATTCATGCTACGACCTGTATACTCACTATTCGTATTTCCCGCTCGTTCCCCTTGGCAATGAGAGCCACTCACATAGAAGAGCGCATGCTCCGGTTCTGTTCTAGCTGTCTTGAGTTGTCAGTGTCCTGTTCTCCTTCTTGTCTACACTCTTGTACTTGCATAATTCAATACATAAAACCCTTGTGTTTTGGTGTGAGGGGACTTCATTAGCCGGGAGCGGCTAACACTGGTGGCAGCGGTGGGATTCGAACCCACGCCTCCGGAGAGACTGCAACATCATCTTCCTCTCCCTAGTCAGGTGTGAGGAAACTCAGCCTGGCTCTAAACAGTACTGTATGGTGCTACCTGCTGCTGACACATGGTGTCATCTCCCTTCCTTTTCTTCTTTTGTTAATGCTATTTTCCGTGGTTGTATTTACCCTCCCTTTCTTGTATTGGCTATGTATTATTATGTGTCATGATGTGGAGACGATAAATAAAAATAAATAAATAAATAAAAACAGATATTGGAGCACTCTTTGAATAGCCAGGTATTAGTACCCACTGGTTTGTTTGAACTGACATGTTCTGAAACCATGTATGCAGCCATGCCTGTGGAAAACAGATCAAGCAGGCGTGGCTCCTTATAAATCCGCATGGGTCTTTCAACAACCCCGGCTCGAAAGTACTTCAAAATATCACTAATAGCATCAGCAATTGATGCCAATTATACACAAAGTGTCCATGAGTTCATGTGTGTTGGTGCTCTGCATGGGGCAAGGAAAGGGTATTAATGTGAAGCTGCTCCTTGACAGCCATTTTTCTATTCCCCTGGAAAGCGAAGCCACAAATTCAAACAACACGACATGTAAACTTATCAGTGTGACTGCTTACCGAAACAGATTGGGTCCAAACACAATACCCAGAGCCTTTGCAGTCATCTTTGTTGTGTCCACTGCACAAAATACAATGAATGCAAATGGCCATGGCAACATCTCTTGTGTGTTGGCACATCATCATGTAGTCAAAAAGTGGGGGACAAACCTCCAATCATCCTTTGATTTGGCATTCAAACATAACTAAAGTATACGCATCAAGTCGGGTTGTCAGAGTGCCGGTGGTGCCGGGGAGATATTCGGACCTGATCAGAAGCACAATGCATGTACTGTTTACACAATAACAGCAAGATATGCCAGCAGCAGGCCTCGGGTGGACACACCCGCACTGCCTTGAACAAGGGCTCCGTGTAGTCATGTCTGCATTCACAGTTCACCCAGCTTAGCTGTTGTATGTAGAATGGTGATCTCAGCAGGTGGACAATTTTCAGAGAGATTTCCAGGGGCATCGCTTTTAAAAGGTTTATTTAAAAGATCCTACTCAAAGCCACATCTTAGCTATAATGGGTTTAGAAGGTTTGTTCAACTAAACAATTTTTTTCATACACCGTCGTAATAGCCCTTGCACTGTTCAACTAGAACTCAACAAAGGAATACATTTTCTCCGCCAGGCATTGGCTCTTTGACTAGCCCGAGTCGACTTACCATGGTCCGCGACGGTGCGTAGAAAACCGCACAGGTACACCAGGAGGTCTCTCTCCGCGTCCGGAATGGCATTGACCAGCTCCCTATGCAGGAGAGTGTATGCATGGTGGACAAGCACAACCAAGTACAACAGGGCGGATATGTACGTATACCACTGGGATTTCAGGTGGGCCGGCCAAATGGAATACGTAACCGGAAACTAACAGCATTGACGAAAGTACCCGTTGTGCACGAATTTGGTCCGGTCAACTTTTTTAAAATACGGTTCAGCAATGGCCAGGGCGGCCGGACCGGGTGCTACACTACTAACGGCCCTCCACACATAGGCATCATGCATTGCAGTGCATTCAGGGCCCGGCAGTAGACCAACCCAACCGAGCACACACATGGCAATCATGGCACAGCTATTAAATACAAGACTATAATTCTTAGTGGCACAAACTGCTATAACCACTTTAATGAAAATCAATATCATCTGGAATGACTATGATACTGTCTTCACCGTACACGATCAAATCAACGGAACGGCAATCAGAGCAATTTTGTCATTGACTGGGATCTCACGGTTCAGAGCAAGAAGTGCGCTGCTTTACTAGAAACCAATGCAGGACCAAAATTGTCTATGTCTATGTCTGTGTCTATGTCTATGGTGATGATGAACTGATTACAGGAGCTCAGTAGGCTCCCTGGTTTGGCTATAGCCCTGAGCTTCATGGAAGTATCCTTACCGTAGCTCCCAGACGCATTGCTCGACATTCTGCTCATTGTCTGCACACAGCAATATAGCAACATGCAGCGTTTTAACATGTGCTTTTTGTATGAACCAGTAGTGCTGAGCTTACTGAAATGGTAATGCAGATTAGCATCCATCACACGTTTGCTGCAGCAACTGTTATAGCTATAGACTAATGAGCAACTTCAATGTGCAGTACTGCCTAATGAAATCCTATCGCATGAGTAGGTACCCGTCTGCCACTATGCAGCCATTGACCTGCGAACACTGGCACGTGAACTGGTGCAGGGCGCGAACTTGACTGACGTGATCGGATTTCATTAAGTTGCACTGGATGAACACTTGAGGGAAAGGCAAAAGCAATATCACACTTCTAACATTTGGTAGTCACCACTGCCTGCTCATTCCAATTTCCTGTGGCATAACGTGTTGCCTTGTGTGTGTGTGGGCGGGGGGATGTGACTTAATCCCCTGCAACTACTACAGTGTAGATTCTGATGTTGGGAAACCTAAGGACCTACACTTTCTCTACCAAAAAACAGTGCTTTCCCTACCTGCTTGTGCCCGAATGAACATTGCATGTACAGATGTGGGTATAACAGCCTCCGGTAGTTCTCTCTGCACCGAGTGACAATGGAACACGTACACATGTGCACACAAATAAACACACACACACACACACACACACACACACACACACACACACACACACAGAGTGCATTTTTATCGTTATCTGCATGCAAACATTAGCACCCGGGATACGTTTCAGTGCCACACATCTGTTCTTCGTTCCGTGCTACACAACGCAACAAAAATACCCAGACCCATTCTAATTCCATTCTTCATTTATAACAGAAGTGCGGCCACTTCTATGGTCCCACATAAGCACCCCACCCTCCTAGTATGAATTCCTGCAAGTACAAAATACAGTAGTAGATCACCATGGTCAAAGGGTCAGTTAGCTTATGTATTCATTTCACCTAGCCATGCGGCCAGGGAATTGAGGCCAATATGGCCCGGGGAGGGGGCGATAGCCCGCTTGGCGTGGAAGGCAGTCGATCAACTATCACCTACCAGAAACATCTTCAGAATGCTGGCCACCGCAGCCATATCGTCCTGGTAGGGCGAGAAATCAATTGGGCAGCCACCTACAGGAACAGTAGAACCAGTACATTGTGTACACCAACTAACTTAACCAATCTTCAGTACTCGGACGCTCCACTGCAGCCAATCAATCATGTCTCCAACGCCTTCCCAACCAAGGTCTTCCACGGCAATTGCAATTAAATTAGTCTCCAAATTTCGCAGTTATGGCTTCATCAGCTGGGAATATTACAAGTAAATTAACCTACTTTTAAAAATATATATTCATTAGCTTCATTTTCATTAGCTTCAGGGAGTTTAAATTAAAAGGGGAAAAGAAGTCTAAAGAGAAAACTGGCTCACGGTCAATACCAGAACTCGAACCAGCTGCATGGGACAGACATATTCATTGTTTTCAAAAATACCGGACTTCAGGAACACCGTCCCCCATGCCATCAAAATATATGGTCTTGAATTCTTAAGTGCTGGATTCTCTCTCCCCCCCCCCCCCCTCTGGGACGGATAATCCTAAAACTTGCCCGTGCTCTACATAACCGGCAATTTCCCTTGGACTGATTCCTTACGTGTTTCAAGGGCGGCCCTGATCTTCTCAATAATACGCACATTGCCACTGACACGGAACAAGCCTTCTTCCTTGAGACCTGACACAGTAGACGAGCAAGATTAAAGGCAGAGGGCAGCATGTCAAATTGGTACCGGCATCGCGAGGCACGTACGTGTGACCCCACATGCACATAAGCTGAGCGGTAATGAGCGGGGGATTGGTGGAACATAGTGCACTTTCCGATGGTACCCACCCTAGGACTGCACACTGCGGCGCAAGGTGCCAACTGGCTGGTGAGGTCGCATTTCATCGAGCTACGCTATAACACAACTGCAGTTCATGTACATGGTATGGGATCAAGAGCTTCAAATGCCCCTGTGAAGACGTATTCCAGCCTCAACATCACTGCATGCAACACATTGTAATATTGGTATGACCCAAAGACCCCTACCTTCACACAGGGGGAGTGCGCCTTAACCTGCTACAGTGCTCCGAGGGCAGTGCCTGTGGTGGTAAAATTGCAGTACGCCAGAGCTCTTGTGGATCCCTGCTTTTTAACCTCTTTATGTGGAAGCTGTTAATCAGCCCCCCCCCCCCCCCCCCCTCTCTCTCCCCAGCAAGCACACGAACTTCCGAAGTGTCCCAGACTCTCTCTCCCTCTCTCTCTCTCTCTCTCTCTCTCTCTCTCTCTCTCTCTCTCTCTCTCTCTCTCTCTCTCTCTCTCTCTCTCTCTCACACACACACACACACACACACACACACACACACACACACACACACACACACACACACACACACACACACACACACACACACACACACTATCTCTCTCACCATAGCTGCTTAGGAAGGTAACAATGTCGCTGACCAAGTAGGGCACCTGAGCATTGGCTTCTAGGACCAACTGAGCTAGTGGTATACCAAACACTTTGCTTTCGCAACCTGCAGAGACAGAAGCAAAGAATCATACCATTGCTGAGCACGCTACTCGATTACCATCACTGTATGTAAGTTTACCCGACGGTCAGATAATTGTTACAATGTACATGTAAAATGAAATATCTCAATCAAAAAGAGAGCATCTCTCACTTGTCTATCGTGCACCGCAATAGGATTATTCTAGGTGCGAGTGGGCTAATGTTACCCTGCCTCATTGTTCTGTTTCTATTTTCATTTCATGACACTCCTTGTCACCATTCTCATCAACATAGCATTGCCTATCGCTACACCATTGCTGCATGTGATCCTATCTTGTAAGTACCGTAATTAATAATAACTGTTATTATGATTTGTATCATGCAGAGATTTAATCACTACACGAGCAGGCCTTGATGTGATTGGTACCTTGGCTGCGACCTGGGATACATCTGTAGGCTGCAAAACCAGACCGGTTGACAGCAGGGTTGCAGGCTACCAGGGGCACGCAGCGGCCCAGTCTCCTCCACCATGGCGGCTCAGAGTCAGAGTACGAGTCCCTGCTGAAGTCTGGCTCCCATGGCACGCCAGGGCTGCATGCACTACACCTGCTCCTGGGCCGTTTGAACACCATGGCCATGCATTGGTGATGACTAGCAAAAGAACCGGAAATCCAGACTGCCAACAGCACCAAGTGCTCTTTGCTGACTTCTGTAGCTTCTGATCTCCAGGTTCGGTCAGAGGAAGGGTAAACTACTGTGCAATAGCCTAGCTGAAATACCACCTGAACTACGTAAGCTGCAATGGTTGTCAATAGGGAATCCTGCCATTCTGTCCTGCCCTGTCAATGCAGAGAAAGGACGGATCGGAATGGCAGGGCTAGATAGTATACAGAGTAGCAGCAACTACTGAGTCCGTGTTCTTTCTTTTTTAGCCCCTTGGTGTTGTTCGCTTGTAGGTTTCTCAGTTGTGTAATGCGCACTACAACATTCGATGTAGCACTGCATTGCAATAGCACCGATGTGTGACCGTGGGTAGCGACAGAATGCAGATAACATTGTGCACAATGTGTACTAATGCTACACTCTAGCTGTAAACAGTGACCTCAGGCACGAACAGGAGTGAGCGTCTCAAGGGAACGTAGTTGCCCGAGGTGACACTGACAGCGTGGTGGAATTGCTACATGAGAGATTTCTCTGTGACTCTTCCTCTCCTCAGCACCTTGTTACGCACTGTAGCCGGAAATAGCATGTGCACTTTCCAGGTGTAGCTTGCTGTCAGTGCTGGGGCTGTACTACCATGGCATGAACGGCTTTATCCACTGGACCAGCATACAGTCATGTATCTAGAGGGTCAGCCTACTATTAGTACCACCATGTGTTTTATACGAATGTAACCTTTAGCTTCAGCAATCAGGAGAAATGCCAACTAGGGTATGTAGTCAGTCACACAGACCATCTGATAGCAAGTGTCTGCATCTGCCAGGATCCGGACCGGACTGAGCCCCATGCATGATGTGCACAACTCCCTGGTCTGCGCAATGAGATGGTGGTGGCATAGTGCACAACCAGTGCCTGTAGTGTGTTTTGTGCACATGTACATCTTTGTGTCGGTGTGTGTGTGTGTGTGTGTGTGGTGTGTGTGTGTGTGTGTGTGTGTGTGTGTGTGTGTGTGTGTGTGTGTGTGTGTGTATGTGTGTGTTGTGTTGAGGGATTCGCTGGCCAGAAAAAAGCCACTTCATAGCTGTGTGGTGTAGACCAGGCTGAATAATGGCGGTCAATTCTTCTGCCTTGCAAGCTGTTGAATGGTGCAATCCCAGCACGAGTTGCTATGGCTTCTGCTGTAGCATCGCTATCATCGCCTCCGGCGATGGGCGTCAAGTGGTCAAATGGTGTGTTGTGTGTGTGTGTGCGCGTGCGCGCACGCGTGTGTGTGTCTGTGAATGCGTGTGTGTACATGTGTGTGTGTGTGTGTGTGGTGTGTGTATGTGTGTGTGTGTGTGTGTGTGTGCGCGTGTGTGTGTATGTGTGTGGTGTGTGTGTGTGTGTGTGTTTTGGCTCGGAGAAAATGTAGCCAAGTCCAGCAACATCTCCACAATACCGCCAGGCGCAGGCATGGGTCACACAGATCACAACATTCAGTCTTTGCATCCTATCTTGTACAGGACATACATTATTATGTACACAACCAGGGAGTAGTACATTACCGGTATTGTACTACTCCCTGTACACAACCTTGAGTTTGAAACACAAACCGTGGCAATATTAATTTTATAGACTAACTTTTACACACAAGCGGAAAAACCGTCAGAGATCAAATTCCATTACACAGTGTTTCACCGTTCAAACAACGGATCATCCATCTGATGATCCGTTGCTTCGGATCATCCATCTGATGATCCGTTGCTTGAACGGTGAAACACTGTGTAATGGAATTTGATCTCTGACGGTTTTTCCGCTTGTGTGTGATGAAGCTCTGCCTCGCTTGCATTGAGCGCTCTCCGCAGTTTGAGACCATTCCCTTGTAATTCAATATTGTGTAGACTAACTTTTAAAAAGTCACTCTAGTCTACATACAAGACATGGCCATGGCGTTGCTGGACTACTATTAGAGAACTAATAATTTTATTACTTAGAATCTGATGTTTATGGTCGCCTGATGTACTGTGGCGCAAACAACTGCATAATTATTATTGGGGGGGGGGGGGGGGGGGGGGCGGTAACTGGCTGCAGATCCACCACAGCCACAGGCCAGGATGATGTCTTGATGATGATCGATGGCCATGGCCGGCCAGGCGTGCGCCTCAAAAATGCCATCAACAAACATAACGATGCAATCTTTATGTAGCCTGCGCATACTATAGTGCTCGCCACACAAGCAGGTACATTGTGCAATCACAATGCGGTCATGGGCCATTACATATTACCTGACACACCTTTTTTCTGCCGACTAGTCGAATACCTAAGTCCTTCACGGCTTCATGTACCACCTTCACATGCATGTACATGCCATGGGCATGGCGTTGAACAGTAACAGTTGTGCTCGCTCACTCTAAGCCGCTCTTCCAGCAAAAACAGGCAGAAATCGATCGGCAAAATGAAGCGACAGCACAAAGCGCAGCATGCAGAACTAGACAGGCGCGTCACACGTAAAGTCTTTCGCGATCAGATCACCCAGACCTTGCAAGCTTGTTGAACAAAGAAACACGCTCCTCCGCTCCTCCGCGCCGTGGCTTTACCCTTGGTACTTTTACTTTTAGCAAACTTTCTGTTGTACGAGTATCTCTCTATTCGATCCAATGAATCTCGCCTGCCTGAGAATTTTATTCCGTCGCGCTAGCGCATCGTCCATAGAGCCCGCCCGATAGTCTTGGTAGTTCGCTGCTTGGCATACTACTACTAGTACTAGTACTAGTCTACGATCAGAAGTGTTTTTTTGGAAATACTGCACCCGGAATGCACTGCAACATGATCGATGATTCACCGAGCCGCCGATCACATGGCAATGTAGTACTACTAGTAGTAGATAGAAGCAATGATTGCAATGCTACATTCGAATTTCGGGCACTGTACTCGTGCTGGTGAGCGTGATCAGTCATCGTTGTGGGGACTTGAACTGCTGCTTCGAAATGAAGGTGATCGTGATGGTGATTCTAGCAAGAGGACGTTGTTATGTACTCTTGGTTCTGCAATGTACTAAGTACCCTGGTAACAAACTAGATAAGAACGTTTCGAAGAGTTCGCACGCACATAATCATTACTCGACGGAAAAAGACGAGGAAGAAGACATGGACGAGTAATATGCGCGCGCAGCCAAGGTCAAAGGTTCAACTGTTACCTCTTCAAGCCGCGCCAGTGCAGCAGTTGTCTCGCAGATGACGAGTGAGGTCAAAGGGGGCATCGTCACACTCATAGTCATATTCAGAGTGACCAGGTGACAGAGCCTAGCCAGGGTAGGGTCCAGACCAGGGAGTCGTATAAACTCGCTGGTCCAGACATGCAGCATAGGGTAGCACTGAAGCCATGAAGGACTGGTGATCATGGTGATCGTTACGTACCGGTATTCAATTCACGTAAGTAATGAATTGTATTCTACCTGATTTGACCACGCACAGTGGCATGAAAAACCTAGCTTATGAACTGTACATGTAACACTTAGTTATGTGCGTAAGCCGTAAGGAGCGCCTATCTTTACCTTTTCCCAAGCTATGGATGCTAGCCAGCGATTGTCGTTGATCATAGCTCAATCTTCTTCGCGGGTTGCTTGCCTTCTTCCGCTTGTGTCTCCATGGAGTGCCAGGCAAGGTGCGATATGCACTCTCCCATTGCTTGGACCAGTCGAAATTACGGAGCAGGCCCAAACCTTTGCTGGCGCGTTCTTTTTCCTGAGTCTTGCCACTGGGTGTGACAGGTTGACTGATATCCGCCTTGGTCAGCTTTGACGACGACCTATTTAGATATCCACGAGGCATAGCTGCTTTCTGCTGTCCGTCTGTAGGATGGCAATGCAGCCCTGACCTGGTGAAGTTGGTCTACTCGCTCTGGTGCTCAAACAGCACGAATGCAAATCAACCGACTCGAGAGGAAGTCGGCTGTGTAGATTGACGGAGATGGTCGGCCACGCACGGTCAGTTTCTGTTGAAACTGGGCAGACCTTGAAAGATTTGTGGTCGCTACTTGCTAAAAGACGTGGCGTGGCGCGGAGAGGCCGTATGGACAACCCCTTTGGTCCTAGTCAAACGCAAGAATGGAAGATGGACTCCCTGGCTGGTGTGACTATCCGCCTAGTTCAAGTGAGCTTTATCTCACTCTCTCACTCGCTGTGCATGCCCGGCCCTGGTGGTGTTGTTGTTGATCTTCGCCGGCGAGCGATGATTTCGTGCTCGGTGATGCTGCTGAGGCTCGAGCTCCAGTCATCCTGCGCATTACCAATAGACCCGCGAGCGCATAATCGTATCCTGCAGCAGGCATGTGCAGCCAGCCTAGTTCGAAGGTCACAGTATCACATCGCGACCATCGCACAGTATCACGTCACAGTGGTTACGTCGTTGTTCACTTGTGCTTGTATGGTCAGTGCATGCCGCCACGCCAAGCAGCTAGGCGGCCCGAGTGCACCATAGTTAGGTAAGGAATGTGTCAATGACAATAATAATCATTATCGGTTTTCACTTCAGAAATTCTGCTCCTTCGGTACAAGTCATGTAGTGGAGTTCCCTGTTGAGAAATCCATTGCTATATGTACGTACACAGTTGTGCCAGCACCGCAGAGCTGGGTGAAATTCGCCTTATGTACTGGATTTCAGTTCTGCAATCTGTGCAGCACCCGACTTACCTGACTGTACTCTGTAGTACTAGACATGTACAATCACTGCCTCTGTGTATTGAACAATCATTGTAGATCTATTCAGGCTGGATTTTACCTGGCACTTTTGACTGACTCTGTGCAACTACTGTTGTGTGTGTGTGGGGGGGGGGGGGGGGTGTATGGGTGTGTGTGGTGTCACGTGTGTGTGTGTGTGTGTGTGTGTGTGTGTGTGTGTGTGTGTGTGTGTGTGTGTGTGTGTGTGTGTGTGTGTGTGTGTGTGTGTGTGTGTGTGACCACAACGGCATGACTGCTTTTGTTCGGGTGGATGGCAAGCTGACTGTCCCAATAACTGTGCGGAATGGATTGCGTCAGGGCTGCACTCTCGCACCAATGCTCTTCAATTTGTACTTCTCTGCCGTCGTTGCCAGTTGGAGGTCCAGTTGTCCGGACGCTGGCATATCCTTTCGATATAAAGTCGGGAGGAAGCGAGTTGGTGACCGAACAGCGAAGGGCAAGCTCCTGGCATCAACGGTCACAGAATCCCAGTTTGCTGACGACGCTGCACTCTACGCAACATCTCGGCCTGCCTTCGAAGCGATGACTTCCAGCTTCATCACATGTGCAAGCAGCTGGGGCCTAACGGTCAGTGTGAGAAAGACCAAGGGTATGGCTGTGGGTGAGTCTGCTGATCGCCGTGACGTTGTTGTTGGAGCAGACACGATTGAGGTGGTGGACCAATTCACCTACCTTGGCAGTGTGCTCTCCTCGGATGGTCTTGCCTGTGCTGATGTCCGCTCTCGCCTTGCGAAAGCCTCAGCTGTGTTCGGAGCCCTCAAAGCTCCTGTCTTTGATAACAAGACCCTGTCGCTTCACAGCAAGAGGCGTGTCTATGAGGCTGTCGTCCTCACGACCCTCTTGTATGGTGCGGAGACGCGGACCACCAAGGCAGGCCACCTCCAGAAGCTAAACACGTTTCACCATCAGTGTGTTCGGTCCATCGTCGGTATCGGCCGTCGTCAACAGTGGGATGATCGGATCTCAACAGCCACCTTAGCGGCTACATTCGGTGTTGACCCTGACATCACCAGCATCATCCGTCGCCACCGGCTTCGTTGGCTGGGTCACGTCGGCAGGATGGACGACTCGCGCGCACCGAAGCAATTGCTGTTCGGCGAGCTGCCTGCCCCCCCCCCCCCCCCCCCGTCCTCGTTACGGCCCGAAGAAGAGGTGGCGAGATGTGGTGTCGACTGATCTGGCGGACCTCGGCGTGACCACCTGGCTTGAGAGTTGCCAAGATCGTCCCGGCTGGAGACGAGTTGCGAGTAGCACTCCACCGCCACGGCCCGCTCCTGATCCTCTTCTATGTGTCTGTCGACGCCCGTTTCGTCGACCAGGAGACCTGAAACGACATGCCAAGTTCTGCGCTCGTGTTCTCACTTGAACTTTCCGACATTCGCTATCATTGTGTACGCAATGGGCAAGATCAAGATCAACATGTGTGTGTGGGGGGGGGGGGGTGCCAGCTAGTTCAGTTGGTGGGTACACTAATGCCAGAGAATGTTGGGTCTGTTGCCAACAGGCTTTGCTGCTTGAAGGTGTAATGTTGTATCTGCCACCTGTGTTGGTTTCAGGGTTCATATACTTTCTATCTGAAGTGTAAAGTAAAAAGTAAATTATCGTATCCGTTCCCGAAGGGAACTCACAAGTACTGTATACATACCTGTTAACCATGGACTACTTCTGGCTAGATTAACTCTTGTCTAATCATGGTGCTAGTGAAGCTTATATCAGATCCACTCTGATTTAGCCACCCACACTTGTAGCAAGAACTACCTTCACGGGGGGGGGGGGGGCAGGGGTAACTGCAGTTGGATCCCGGGACGGATACCTTGATGCCGTAAATCCTTTTTCTGCACCTTGTCCTCAACCACATACTGAGGTGTGGTGAGCCCATAAGTGGAATCATTTTCAAGTCCACCCAGAGTTTTGGGGATTTCAGGGGGTGTCGGCCGTTGGGCGGTTCAATGGCCAATTGAGTCATCTTTCCAAGATTCCTTTTGAATCTCTCTCCCCTCTTCGGGGGAGACTCGCGTGACTAGTCATGGCAGTGAGAAAGTACAGTACAGTACAGTGTGTGTGTGTGTGCCAACCTGTCGGAAGGCTACCTTCTTGCCAAAGCAATTGGAAGTTGGACTACATGTAGATCTAGGACACAAGTCATTACGTAGTGCAGACGGCCCAGTACAGTGCAGTGGGGTGGATGTCAAGGGCAAGGTGCCAGAGCAGTTTCGCGTGGCATTAGTCCAGCCTGATCGCCTTCTTCGACCACGAAGTCAGCAGATTCACACGCAAAGCGCCTCGATCGCTACATTTTAAATGTAGCGATCGAGGTCAAAATTATGTCGATCGCTACGGGCCAGGGCATGTCTTGTAGTGTCTTGTCTTGTGGGCTAGCATCAAAAAAGAACTTTCCTAGGCTGCGCTCGAGCCCCTGCGTTCTTCGGCGCCCGATCTTACTGTAGTTTCGGATCCACAATCCAGTGTGTCGTTACTATATTAGCATTCATGGGAGAGGTTGTTGGTATGTCTGTCCCTCCAGGAAATCGCGATTCCACGGATGCAACAAATTTCGCAATTTTGGCCCAAACCCGCGATGTTCAGCAAAATCCGCAATTTCCCGTGTTTTTGGCACTACTTGTATATCTTTAGGCACCCAGGATGGCAGAGGTCGTATCTGTTCACGGGGGAGACAGATGAATCCCGGGACATACCACCCTGGGGCCTAATAAATTACAACTCCGAGGAGAGGGCAACTTTGTCTAGTTGTTGTTGTTTATTTTAGAGCAAAGAGAAAGAAATGTGTCCTGCGCATATCTGGTGAGGAGCTGACGTCATGCAGCGAGGTCGCTACAGTACTCCCCCACCAGAGAACAAGCGGAGCGCAGAGAACGACAGAGAAAAAATTAGGAAATAGCAAGAGCGCTGCATGTGGCGTACCCAATGTTTGTTGTTAAACGAGGCTAACAAAGGCCGAAACAGAGGGAAAAATGCAGGAAGCGAAAAGAGATGCGTGACAGAGGCGGGTTAACATGTCAGAGGTGGTTTAACGTGACAGAGGTGGAGAGCATGTCAGAGGCAGAAAGAGAGAGAACAAAACTGTATGCAAACTGTGAAGGCAGAGGCAAAGACGCGCAGTAATCAGTTGCGGGAAAACTAGCCGATGAACAGCCCATATACATGTAGCCGTGTATCAATGTGGCGAGGCGGCGACTGGGTAGTCAGCAGCCAATCCAGGTACGGAACATGACAGCAATACAATTTTGTAGCAGTAGCAGCAGTGCTGGCTCCACGACTGGGGAGGCTTTGCGGGTGGGAGGGGGCCAAGCTCCAGCTTGTGGCCGGTGCACACTGGACGGTGGTTGGAGGGTGGTTGCTCCACAGCTGCTCCAGGTCCAGGCGGTGAGGTGCGGATGTTGAGGCTCAAGTTTAATGTCAACAGCCGGTGATTGACAGGCAGCCAGAATGCGGTGCACGCAGGAACGGACTGCGGCGAAAACCAGTGATGGCTGGCAGGCTGACGGGCGGAAACAGCATGACGACGGATGGCGGCGGCAGGAGGGCGTAGTCCGCAGCAGCTCCAGGTGTGCCGAGGGTGGGTGGGCGGCGAGAGGCACCACAAATTCCCAAATCCGGAAAGTCAAAATACTAGAAAGCTCCGCGAGCGCAGCGTCGGGGGTCACCAATTTAGGCACCCAGGATGGCAGAGGTCGTATCTGTTCACGGGGAAGACAGATGAATCCCGGGACATACCACCCTGGGGCCTAATAAATAATTACAACTCCGAGGAGAGGGCAACTTTGTCTAGTTGTTGTTGTTTATTTTTAATAATAGAGCAAAGAGAAAGAAATGTGTCATGCGCATGCGCATATCTGGTGAGGGAGCTGACGTCATGCAGCGAGGTACTACAGTCCGTTTCAAAAAGATTTACAATCCTGGCGATCGCCCGCGGAGTTTGGCGTCTTATTACCGTATGAGCACTCGAGCGCTTTTTTTTTTTTTTTTTTTTTTTTGAGTCTGTAAAAGCCTCTTTTACGGGCGAACAAAACACAATTTGCCATGGCGGAGGATTGAAAACAAATCACATAATGATGACGTCGCATGTGATCAGACAGCAAGAGAAGCATAGCATAGTCCGCACAATCACGGGGCAAGGCTCAACGGGACACCCTAGCCTCCACGACAGCCAGGGAGGCACAGCCATCCATTGGAGGCTGCCAAACTCGGCGAGCCCCACGCAGACACATGACACTCGAACGCAGCAGGGCGAAAGACAGCCTGCAGCGGAGGTGGGCAATTAGCACAGAATACGCCTCCCTCCCACGTAGCGACTGGAGATGTGCAATCCGGCTCACCAGTGCAGCGGCACCCTTGCCGCATCCTCTGGTGGAAGAGAGCACAAAGGGGAGAAAAGTGGATCGCTCCACTTCTCGGACTCTCCGATCATATCGACGCCGTTTCTCTTGCT